AATTAAATAACTAAAAAGCAAATCCAAAACCCCACTAAAAGTGACACTAAGATATTTCGAGATATGACGCATCTCAAAACTCAAATGCAAATCCAAATTCACTAAAATGAAACTCAAATTACAAAGAAATTTGACAATCATGGAGAGCTCAAAACTAACAACCATCAGCGATCGGTGCTACCACCGCGACAGCAGCCGGTGATGTCTCGCCCTTCCCGGCGTTCACGTTTTCTCCGGTGATCGGAGCTTCGCCGTTCCCACAATCTCCGGGATCCACGGCGGGCGGCGCGCACATTTCTTTGGAACTCTCCGCCGCCGGCATCGGTTTCTCCGCATTTTCCACCTGATATAAAAACCCGCTAAGAAGTCAATTCTCAAAACCCAAAAATAAAAAAAATAAAAAAAATGAATCGTCTTCGGATGCGTTTTATGCTGACACCTTTTGCCGTTTTGGAGACGGAGGCTTATCCTCGGAAGAAAAAGATCTCTTATTACCAGAGAGAGATCCACTTCGTCTCGTTGAAACCATGACTCTCTGGGTTTCCTTTTTTTTGTTTTTTCTTAATTTCCTTTTTTCTTTGTCTGTGTTCACCACTATATAAAACAGAGAAATTGAAAGATTTAATTATAAAATTGTTGGGGATTATACTTCTTTAACAATTTTTTTTACATTTTTTTATTTGAAAAAAGGTAAATAAAAAAAAAATTGGGGACGGAACGGAGGTTTAACGACCCCCCGTCATACTGATTTTTAGAGTTTTAAACGAGATCACACGCTGTCGTTTTGCTTTGTGTGATTGGTGGTGTAAGACGGCGGCTGGTTTTGCTGTTTCTGGTTATTGACGTGGATACTAGGGGAAATGATACATTAATATCAATATTGCAAGTTATATAGATTTAAGTTTCATTTGTTGTAAAGAAACTAATTTTTCAAATATAATTTTTAAAAAATATTTATATTTTTTTGTTATTTGGATGAGTTAATAAAAAATATTTTTCGTTGTTAGATTGTTTTTTAAAAATTTTGTTTTGTTTTTTTCAAATACTATTAATATAAATATTAAAATATTAAAATTTATTTATTATTAAAATATAATAAAAAATATTTTATTAAAATTATTAATATTCAAAACTAGTTATATTTTAATAATAGTATTTAATATTAAATATTATGTTTATATAAAAAATACTTAAAATAAAACTATTTTTATTTTGTATATTATTTATTAATAATATTTATTAATATATTATGCTAATAGTATATTCTTTATTAATAATATATTATTTACTCATATATTATTATAATATTTATTAATTAATTTAATAATTATTATATTATTATTTATTAATATAATATTATTTAGTAATACATTATAATATTATTTCTTAATATTATTTATTAATATATTATATTAATAGTATATTATTTATTAATATATTATAATATTTTTAATAGTATATTATTTATTAATATTAATATATCAGTATATATTTATTTATAATAATATTTTATTAATATTATACTATTTATTAATATATATAATATTATTTATTAATATATTATAATATTTTTATTAATATGTTTTATTCATATATTATATTAATAATATATTATTTATTCATATAATATTATTTATTAATATATTGTAATATATTATTATCTATTAATATAATATTATTTTATTAATTAATATAATATTATTCATAAGTAAATTTATGTTCAAAAGTATAAATAAATAGTTATACTCACAAACAGTTTTTTTTTCAAAAAATATCTTTCCCTTTTCAATTCCATAAGACAATTCCCAAAAAAATTGTTTCATTTTCATTGACCAATAAGTTATTTTGTGTTGACCAGTCAATTTTCTACCAAACAAATATCTGATAATGTGAGATTAATTTTCGAATGTCATTTTTCATGAAACAAATAGAGCTTCAGTTTGAATAAAATTTGAATTTAATTTAACAATTATTAAGAAAAACTCAAGCAGCCTGATTTATCAAATAAATCAAGTTTGAATATTTTAATATACAGGTTAAGTAGTTCGTAAACTTAATCAAAATTTTAAATTTTAATATACTTTTATTATTTAATTAGAAACTAATATTTTATCCATATACATATATATCTTACCTTATATATATTATTTTGAACTCGAATTTGAACACATAGTTAAACTTAAAATCGAATATAAAAATCAAGTTTATTTTTATTAAACAAATTTAATCGAAAGAGTTCGAATAATTTAATTTAATCGAATAAATTCGAGTAATTCGATTTTAATATCTAGTAAAACTCAAACTTAAAAATTAAAATTTGATCAAACTCGAATTAAATTATGAGTAACAAAATTTGAGTCAAAATAAAATTCAAACTTTTTACTATATAAATTTGGCTCAATTCGATTACATTCATAACCTTGGATGTAAGTTTTTTTTTTTTTTTTTATTTGTGCAAATATTTGCATATTTGAGTACTAATTCATTGATTTTATTTGAAAAAAAAAGTATAAAAAATTATATGTGGACATAAATCTTACTACTTCCAATTTAGAATATATATTTATTTTACATTATAAGAAATAAGAATAACGCTAGAAATATCTAATAAAATGCAAAATTATTTTAATATAACATCTTAAAGATTAATCATTTTAGGTTGTTATCTTATAAGTAATTCAAAATATTCGTATTTACACTATCTCATTGAGCATAATACAAGAAGGCATGACATAAAAAGACGTCGACCGAATAAGGTTTTTAATAATATATTGAATGATATGTGTTTTATGTTAAATGATTTATACCCTGAGATATGTTGCCAGTTTTTTTTTCAATGTAAATTGCTAAATTTTATTATTTTTCATTTATAATTTGTTTTTAATTGTACAATTTATTTAGGTTCTATTTAGATGGACAGTGAGATTGAAAATAGTAATAAAAAATATTGTAATTACGATTAAAAAAAAATTATTGTAGTTGTGATTGAAAAAAACAATTTTAATGAAAAATTTATGTTGAATGTATTTCATTGTAATTGATATTTGAATTCAATTGATGATGCAATGAATTCAATCGTACTACATTAAAATAGTAGTCGAATCCAAATGGACACTTAGTTTTGATTTGGTAGTAGGATATGATTCATGTAGATGGTGTTTTTAGGTGTGCAACTAGAAGGAAATTGTATAAAGATTGATCGAGTGAAAACATGAGTATACAGCAAAAAAACACAATCAAAGAGAGTCAGAGTTAGTTTTTCAGAATGTGCTCAGATGCTCAAATCGAAAAAAAAGTTTAAAAGTTTGGTGAGAATGAAGTAAACAAGGAATACAGAGAAAGTTTAGAGTAAGGATGCTTAGTTCTTATATACCTAAACATTTTTTTTTAACATTACGAGAAAAAAATAATGACATGATCAAGATAATTGACAATTAATAATAAATCTATATAAACTCGAAGTGGAGTCACGTGAGTGATTGTATATTACATTTAAAGCTCCCAAATGAATATGAGTTACATTTAATAATTTCTAGGTAAATTAAAAGTCATTTATGCTACTTTGAAGTGATATTTTGATGGGATATTAGTAGAGGTGTTGGGCAAATCTCTTTTTGGTGAGGAGCAAGCATGTTTTATGATAAAAAGTTTAAATGTGTTTATGATGACGAAATAATCGAACATGTATTAACTGAAAGGTCAAAGAAATTAATCTTATTAATTGAATAAATAAGTACAACAACTTTTAATTTTCATTTAGATGAATAAGACACAATAGTTATCCAAAAAAAAAAAAAAATCAAATCAAAAGAGAAAACAAAAACGATAACAATCAGGTTATTAAATACCATATATGATTGTGCTGCATTAGATGGGGCATTAATGCTTTCATTCGTCTTTGTGGGGCATTCACGTGGGGAAGAGCAATACAGAGTTACATAGTGTTTTGGATGTGGATTTTGTTGATTTAGATTAACTAATACCAAAAAAAAAAAGGCCAATGGCTAAGAAGAAAAAGAGAAAAGATTGCAAGCTGCAATCCAAGTGTAGATACTAGGCGTTTTCTCAAGATTCCCTCGATAAAATAGATGGTCATTTTTTTTTTTGGCTAAAATTTTAAAATACTATATATCATATGAAATGATATAAAATGCGAATTTGATTTTATTCTACAAATATATATCAAATTTATTATTACAAAATGGGATTTATTTTTACTTATAATATTTAAGTTCGATTTTCGGTGTCAACAATTTTTTTTAGGGGATGATATGTAAATCTAACGTAAGTAATCACTGAGATGTGCATTATGTTTTGATCCTAGAATGAAGCAATCATCTTTAGCTAAGAGGAAAGTTTAATGTTCATATATATACATATGTTTTACTTAAATTATGTAAATGACTCCTATATTGATATGAAATTTGAACTTTAGTTCATAAAGTATAATTTGGGGATAATATTTTATTTAATCCCTAAACTGTTATATTTTTTAAATGTGGTATTTAAATAATTTTTTTTTAATTTAATACTTAAACTATATTTTTGTGTATTAAATTTCTTTAATTCTTAACATCATTAATAAAAAATATTGATATAATATAAATATCCAATAAAATATGATACAGGCTTAAAAAAAATTTAAAAAAATTCAAAAATTTTTAAAAATTTAAAAATTTCTTTAATGAAAATTTTATTTTCGGATAATTGAATTTGATAATATTGATTCAATTATTAATATTTTTAGCATTTCATTAATTTACTGACATGATCATTAATGTATCATTAATTTTGCTTCTGACATGATAATTTAAATGGGAATCAGTTTTTATTTTTATTTTATCTTATATTTACATGACATTTCGGTATTTTTTAATTGTTAATAACACAAAAGAAATCTAGAAAAAAATAGTTTAAAAGAAAGTGGGTTGGCCCAACAGGAATGGGCCTCTGGTACTATTGTTATAAAACTTTTATTAATTACAAAACCCTACACCTTCATATAAATCATTCACTAGAAGTAGCAGTAGCAGACCAGCCGCGCATCTCTTCGGTCCATCGCCGGTAACATACCTCTTCTTATCACATTGAATTGTATTTCACAGTCTGATTTCACTTCGATTTGACACGTAATCTGTTTAATGATTTCAGAAACAAGTCGCGTACCTTTTCTTTTTCCGCTATGGCAGTCACTTTCTCCGACATGGGCTCTGCTGCTGGCTTGAAAAAGCTTGATGAGTACCTCCTCACTCGCAGTTACATCTCTGGGTAATTTTCCAAAACCATTTTAAAATAAAATGTTCTTCTGTTGTTAGCTTTGATCTTGGTTTTTATTGATTTTGTAGATACCAAGCTTCAAAGGATGATATCACCGTCTACGCGGCTCTCTCAGGGGCCCCATCCTCTAGCTATGTGAATGTTTCTCGATGGTATAACCACATCGATGCCCTTTTGAGGATATCGTAAGTTTTTTTATTGTTGTCTGCTTTTATGTGGTTTAATTTTAAGTTTATCGATGTGGGATTTGGATGTTTAGCAGAACTCTACTGTTATTTGTTATTTTAGAGGTGTTTCTGGAGAAGGGTGTGGTGTGACTATTGAGGGATTTGCTCCTACAGAGGCTATTGCCACTCCTCCAGCGGAGGATTCTAAGGCAAGTTGATCTGTGCTTATATGTTGTTTGAATTTAGTAAACTGGGCAAAATTGATGGTTTGCTGATTTGTTAGTTGCTTGAATATATTTTGCAACTGTAGGCTGCGGCTGCTGAAGATGATGATGATGATGACGACGATGTAGATCTGTTCGGTGAAGAGACTGAGGAGGAAAAGAAGGCTGCGGAAGAACGTGCAGCTGCCGTTAAGGCCTCTGGAAAGAAGAAGGAATGTAAGCCCTTCAACTCGTTTTTACTACGAGTGAATCTGTTGTGCTATTTTCTGACATTGTTTAGCATGTGTACTCTACATTGGTGGTTTTAACTTGTTTGGAATTGTCCTTCTTTATTCCCAGCCGGCAAGTCCTCTGTGTTGTTGGATGTTAAACCATGGGATGATGAGACTGACATGAAGAAACTTGAAGAAGCAGTGAGAAGTGTCCACATGGATGGACTGCATTGGGGGGCATGTAAGTGGTTAATAAGATATGATTTTGTTGTAGGCGTTTTGTTTAATTGTGTGAAATAGCTCGGATAGTTTTCCCCATCCAATCAAATCATTGTTACTGTTTATGCTGAGCTGACTTCTAAGGGTAAAACCCTGAAATCAGATTAGAGAGAAAGAGAGCGAGTGGTTAAAGACAAAGGTTGAGAGTGGTCATTGCATTTGTGTTTCGACGCTCAAATTAGAGATCGGTCAAAGAGGCATATAGGAAGGAGAATATGAAAAATATAAGAAAGCAATATGGATCATATGGTACTTGGATGGTGTTATTTATACCTTTACTGTGGGGATCTCGGGCAGACTAGGTTGCTCGAGGTCAGCCTGAGGGTCAAAGATGACCTGGCAGGTCAAGCTGAGTTGGATGTTGACCATCCAGTTACAAGATGACAAGTCAGCATTTGAAGAGGTCTAGTGAGTAGACTGGTGAGGTGTTCGAACTAAAGTGGCACCATGAAATTTGGATTGACAAAAAAATGTCACTAACGGTCTACTGATTGATTGTCTTTAATGAGGGAAAATGACTATTCTGCCTTTTGGACCCAAAAATGTCCCTAACAGTTTACCTTATGTATTTCATCGGACATAAAGTTCTTTTCATGTGGCAGGTAAACTTGTGCCTGTTGGTTATGGAATAAAGAAATTGCAAATTATGTTGACCATTGTGGATGATTTGGTATCGGTCGACACTCTCATCGAGGAACATCTGACAACTGAACCTGTTAACGAGTATGTTCAGAGTTGTGATATTGTTGCGTTCAACAAAATATGTAAGTATCATATTCTGAAGTGCTTTTCGGATGTCATTTCATCCCACATTATTTACATTTGAATTGTGTTATTTCTGTTTCTTCTTGCAGAATGGGTGTCTGTTGCTGTTTGGAATGCATGCGATTGCAGTTTCTTGGAGAAGCCTTCTAGGATGATATATAAGCCTATATGTTTTAAGATTTCTATCTGTGTTTTTGTTCACTAGAACTCGATTTAAGGTTTGTGTCTGTTACTTTTGTGATGGATATTTCTCCTTTATGGCTGTATGGACAACTTTTCTTTCTGAATGGATCATTTGACTATATGGAGTATCAGTTTTGTCAGGCACTCTTAGAGCAGATTTGAGCTATGTTGTGTTGGTTCAAAAAATCTGCCGAATTAGGGATTCATTTGAATGTAGATCTTACAATTTAAAATATGATATAGTGATATGTTTCGAGCATGATACAAATAAAAAATATCAGAGTGATACGGTTTAAAATTTTATTAATAATTATATATGAAATTATAAATATTTTATGGTTTAGTGTTGAAATAAATTTAGGTATGTAATTTTTATGTAAAATATAATATAAATATATAAATTTTAATATTTTATATTAAAATAGATGAATAGTTAAATCTATTTAAATGTGTCTGGCGAGATACACTTTCACTGCAAAATAGGCGCCGTTTTATGGTTGTACTTCAGCCTTCAAAAGAGATACGTGAGATCATAATTGAAGAGAATGAATGAATCTTGTTAATTTAGAATCTAAGCTTAAAGGAATTTGTTCTCCTAAATTTAGCATAAAACATTGATCTAGATCCAGCTGCTTGTGCGGAATCTGAATCACAAACAGGCCCACCATTCGTGCACCACTCATCATCATCGCAAAACAAATGAGGATAGGAATTACAAAATTCGGAAAAATTCCTAGAATTTAGAGTTCATTTCGGAGTGTGGGAAATGTTTTTTGGATTGAAGTACGTTTCTAAGGATATAATCAAAAGTTTAATATTTTATCGATAAATTTATGCATAATATTTTAATATTTTATTGAGTAATTGTGGGTAAAATATATCTTTAATCTTCCAGTGCTTTTGTTGTTGGGAATAAGGAATCCACCAAGACTAACACAGTTACTTTGAAGGAGGAAAAAAGTGCTTTTATAGGGATAATACGAATTTTTGTGATTTACCCTTCTCAATCCAACCCATAACAATTAGTAGTAAAAATCATATAATAATACTTATAAGATATTTGAATTCGATTAAAATAAAATTAAAATTTAGATTAATATTGAATTTAAATTCAAATTATTTGATTTATCAAATAAATTAAATTTAAATATTTAATTTAAATAGTTTATTAATCTAATTAAATTTTTATATTTTAATTAAAAATTATTATTTTATATTCATTTACGTGAATTTAAATTTAAATTCGAATTCAAATATAAATAATAGAATGTAAATTCAAATATAATAATAAAATTTTTTTTAATAAATTAACTTAATTGAATTTACTTAAATAATTTAATTTTTATATCAAATCAAATTTAAATCTAAAAATTAAAAATTAATTAAATTCGAATCAAAATTTAAATTGAATTGAGCTCTCCTTTCTTATTATATCATCTCGACTTGTTCTCCTCGATAATATCCTACTAACAACAATGTATAAAAATAAAAATAATAATAGACTGTGTTAAACGACACCGTTCAGCTAGCAGCTTGCGGCTCATTTTTCTAGCTTGCCTCCGATCCAGTGGAAACGTAATTTGTTTGGGTATAAAAGAACGAAAGAACGTGAGAAAATAGTATTGAGGTAGAGCGACTGCGAGGAAGAAAATGCCGAAGAGAACAACGCACACGTACTCAAGCGAGGACGCTGCACCAGATGGACCTGACTCTGATCTTTTCGTCTACTATTGTAAGCACTGTGGTTCCCACGTCCTTATTACTGGTTGGTTCCTCTCTCTCTTCTCCTCCTTTTCCTCTCAATCCAATCGAATCTTCTAATTTCGCACCGATTAGGTCTAGAAAACGAGGTTTTATTTGAGAAATCTTGTGGAAATAATTTCATTGTTGATTCTCAATCGTTTTATCTAGATTAAACATTTTGAACGCCGTTTCTTTTGGGTGAAAATTCAAATGTTTTTACCTTGTTTATGTGAGGATTATTATTCTTTGATACGCTATCGAAGTTCCTGCACCTTTCGTGGCGTCTCTCAGTTAGATCTGACAATCTCATATACGACACTACATGAAAACCATACGAATAAAAAACACGAAGATGACATGGTTTAAAATTTTAACAAAAACCATAAATAGGTTTAACAAAACAAAAAAATGTATTTCATGTTTTCGTTTCGAACTGTATCATATAAGTTTTGTGTAAAATACGGCATGAACATATGAATTATCAGTATTTTACATGACACAAATACACGAATTGTCAAGTCTACTCCCAGTCCACCACGACTTGCACGTAGCTTCTCTTGATCTAACCAACTCATGCCGTCACCAATCCAGTTCCCAAGGAACTAGACCTTATGCAAAGCACCTTTTTCACATAGAGCTGTATTCCAGATCATAAGGGAGGCTATTATCTTCTTCACCCACCGTGATAACAACCCAGGAGAGGTGTCTCAGAGGCCATGTTTTATAATCCAAAAGGTCACTTTCGTGGCTTGAATGGGTCAAGAAAAGTAGGACCCTTCAAACAGATCGTTTTTGGGGCTTGATTTTTTTGAAGCCCAGTTTTCCACTTAATTTTCAACTGTATATATAACAAGGAGTGGAGCTGGAGAGTCTCTCTCCCCAGCTAGGCTACAATGTTTTCTTGTTTGAAATTCTGGGTCTGGTCTTCATTGGTATTTGCTTTTTGCTTACCCACTATGTTTTTTTCCTTTTCGTTTTTCTCCTGCCCGGTTGAGCTGTCTGAGGTAGATAGTGCATCCAGTAAACTCTTTTGGTATTCATCTCCAGAGCTCGGTCAGATACTTCAGTCCTTCATTCTTATCCATCTAAATATCTGGTTTCCATCTGTGTATACTGGCCTGCTAAAGCAACTGCTTTGGATCAGCTTTTATGTGGTAAAGCCATGATTAAGGCAAAGTTAGGTATTACTGTTTCATAATGGTGAAAAATGTTCAATCTTTCTCTCTTGGCCACTTTTAGGCCAAGTTATCTGCTTCGATTCGCGTTTCCATGGCTTCATGGAAAAAGGTTTTTGAAATGTGTATGTAGTAAAACCTTGTGATGAGTTTGTCCATAAATCTAAGGATAACTGCAACTGCAAATTTCAGAAAGTTACAGTCTAAATGATGTGTGTGACTCAACAAGGTCATCTGCATCCTAATGGAGCAGCTCAAACCTTAGCTTGATGTGCAAACCACAAGTTGTTGGTGAAATTGAATTCTAATATGTAGTTTCTAGATCTTGCATTTCGTTCTTAACAGACAAAAATAATAATAAAAAAGATTGAAAGATTGAAATCCTCTTTTATCTTTTTGACGTTCTTCTTTTTGACAGATATAACACTATTTGATTGATCTTTTATGGTTTGAACTTGTTAGTTGCTTGATTAATTTAGATATTGCCTTTTCCCTTACTGAAATATATTTGTTATAAGATACCCAATTGCAGAAAATGCCCAAGAGAAGGACTGACAAAGCATATGTGTTGGACAAGAAAAAGCATCTTGCTAGGCTTAACATAACTGAGGCAGGAAAAGTTCTCTTGAGGAGGTATTTAAAGTTTTCTTTGATTTATTGCTGTTTTGCATAATCATGGCTGATCATCATTCACTTGTTCTATATTTCCTAATCTTTCGTCTAAAATCATATTTTTAGATGCTATGTTCCGTAATTTCTTAATAGATTCATTTTCTTAAACCATTTTACTCTTAGTTTTGGCTACTGGAAAAGAGGAGGAAAGGGGGGGGGGTGATTCTTCCTTTAACTTTTAGTAATTAAACTACAGTTGCGCGAAAGTTTGTAGTTGTGAACATGGTACCTTCTTTCAGGGGAGAAGGGAAATTGGAGAAGCAATTCCGTATGAACTGTATAGGTTGTGGCCTGTTTGTTTGCTATCGGGCTGAAGAAGATCTGGAAACTGCTTCTTTCATTTATGCTGTTGATGGTGCCCTTAGTACAGTTGCTGCAGAAACGAACCCGCAGGTACTAACAATGATTGTGGAGTATTCTTTTTAATCCATCTTCCGTGTTTCTTCATTTCTTTAGTTATTTAGAATTTGCCAATATCTATTTTCGAGGACTGGAGCACACATCTCTGTCAGAAAAAATTTCTTACCCATTTGGCTTTCTCCAAGCGACAGCCAATATAAATATTCGTATGACTTAAAGCTTCCTTTTTCTGGTTTCCTTTATGTTGTAGGATGCTCCTGTTCCACCTTGCATATCACAGTTAGAGGGAGGACTTGTTCAAGTGGCCATAGAGGTGGAAGATCGTGCACAACGTTCAGCAATTACAAGTAAGAGGCTCGTTCAATCACCTTTTTTATATTCTTTATGCACACCTTTCCTCTCACTCCCTCATATTTCCTGAAATATTTTTCCAACACTAGAATGCGTTATCTGCTAAGCCCAATTCTTGTCATTTAGTTCTCTTTCCAGTACACAGGTTTGAGGACCTCTTTTTCATGCTTAAAGAGACCAATTCAGGCCTCTGATGGAAAGATCATACTTCCCATCTGCATCTAAAGAACCATGGAGTATTTTGTCCACAACTCTTTGAGGAGTTTAAAAACATATCTTAATATTTATGGTATTGGAAACACTATTATTTTAATGCCAATTTATACCATTAATAAGCTGCATACAATCAGTAGTGGAGGTGGGAGATTAAGTATGAAGCAAGGAACTCAAGTTTAAGTGGATGACATGATGAGCTAGACATAGGCATTCTAATTCTGATCTTTGATGTAATCTGGATGAGGTCAAAATTATGTTCTACGCAAGAATGGGAATGTTATTGACAATCATTACTCTAGTCCTGGGAGTAGGTTAAGTGCACCTAGCTAGGGTTTTGATTAACGACATTGTAAGGGAATGGTACCAGCATTATTGGTCTTCTTTTGTTGGTCCCATTCCCACCGCCCTTGGACTGGTAAACTTGAAAGCCCCTGGCATCTCAATCTGTGGCATGATTTGGGACCTCCATGTACATGCTGCCTTCAAAGAAACCCTCAATGTAAATCAACAAAGTTGAAGGAAAATGATACTATATTACTTAAGAAACCTAGAATTCTTGAAAAATGTTTTTTTAAGAGGCAAGTAGATATTTTTTGCCGTAACAGGCAGAAACCATCATCTTTTTGATATCTGTAACCCTTCAGGATGCTTTACATGTTAGTCCTCAAAACTGTGAAGGATGAAGATATCTTTTACTAGTCCTGATTGTATAACTTTGTCCTGGCCTTTTATTCTTTCCAGGAGTAAATGCAGATGATGTACGAGTCACTGTAGCTGCACCTGCAGCCCGTGGTGAAGCTAACAATGAACTTTTGGAATTCATGGGAAAGGTTTTCTTCGTTTTTATCCAAAGCTACTCAATTAAGCTCAAATATAGTATAAATCACTTTAGGAAGCTGAGTTGAAGTTATCCATCGGTCTTTTACACAGGTGCTGGGTCTGAGACTGAGCCAGATGACTCTTCAGAGAGGATGGAATAACAAATCAAAGCTTCTCGTGGTAAGTAAATTGAATCGAATGCCCTTAATTGTATGTTAGTATGCCTGTGTATGTGCGCTCATGCTGTGGGCACTTGCTAAAATGTTTTAACTGTATAGTTTTTCCATCAGCTGAATCTCGTGCGTAAGTATCTGTCATCCTTTCCCATATTGAATGTTACCTCTCAACCTTGAGTGGCCATTGCAGTCTGGTAAAAGTTTCACTTTGAATTCTTGCCTGCCAAAATCCTGCGATTGATTTGTTTTTCTTTGCATCATTTGCACTCTATTTTCAAGAACGATCACCCATGCTGGGCACTGCTTCCTTAAGATTATGGGCAATTTTCTAACATTTTGATTCTTGCATCAGATTGAGGATTTGTCAGCCAGACAGGTGTACGAGAAACTTCTAGAAGCTGTGCAACCTTGATGCCTTTCGGTTACATTTTGGGTTCAAATTCTGTGTCAACCGTGAGAAATGACGTTACCCTTAATGAGTCTGTTCAACTGTGTAATTTATGGATTTTGCTTGGATTCATCGTCTAATGTCAGCCAAGTTTGTTCTTTTCAGACAATAAGCTCTTTGATTTGTCAACGATTACTACAATTTAGAATAAATTGATAAAAGACTTTAAGTAGAAACCAAGCATACTTGAGTCTTAAGCACCTCACTTAAGGGGACAAAAATGTTCTCACAATGAAAGAAAAAAAAAGACAATAATTTCAGAATATGATGCATCACTCGGCAGTTCAAGAGGAAGCACCGCTACGTAGAGATTGACCCTTTGATTTCCGAGGAGCCAACTGAGTCTCAGGCTGCAAAAACAATCAAGCATTATGAGATGCAATGTCACACTAACACAATGGTGTTCAACAGATGAACAAAATGAAGATTCCTAGGCATTTGACATCAATAATCAATGACTTTAAATTAAGGGCTATTTTCTTGTTGAATAATTACCTCTTTTTTGACAGGTTCCTCTTTCTCTGACAAAATCAGCTCAATGTGGCATGGTGAAGACATGTAAGCTGCCAAAGGAAAGCAACATAAGAATAAACTCGGAAATTAAAAGTTAAAACCACCCCATAAGTAAAATAAGGTAGTAAAAAGAAATCACTCACGGTTAATTCTTCCATGTGCACGATACGTTCGGCGCCTTTGCTTCTGCGCTTGATTCACTTGGATGTGAGATATGAAAAGTGAATCTACATCCAAGCCTTTCACCTAAGAAAAAAAGTGGGGAGACGATGCACAAGTTTAACAGATAGGAATGTGGCTGCAATAGATTAAAATGCCAATTCGTTGATATATACCTCTGCGTTGCTCTCGGCATTCTTGAGCAAATCAAGAATGAATTTTGCAGATTTCTCAGGCCAACGACCTTGTCCGTTAGAATGGCGATTTTTAGCCTGTGCAGTTCGCCCAACTCCACCACAGAAGCGCCTGAATGGAATGGCTTGCTTGTGGGCCATTACATCCTCCAAGTACCTTTTTGCCTTCGCCAAAGGCAACTTTCGGATTGCAAAGGCTGTTTCCCGTGTATTCTGTTAAATTAAAAGAATAAACGCATTATTACTAACTCATACGTACTTTACACAATAATTAGATGTCTCACTGTTATTAGTCATATTAGTAACACCTTAACCATTTTAAACGCCCAATGCCACAACTATCGAGAGAGTACACATCTAATAGGTATCTTCACATAAGCTCGCGTGACAGTTTGAAATATGAAACCTGAAGGTCGACAATAATATTCATAAAACAATAACCAAGTCATGCCATTGGAACAAAAAGCAAACCAAGTTGAAACATATTGAATGTCTCACTGTTATTAGTTATCTGACCAACACCTCAACCATCCTAAACTCCCAACGGCACAGCTACCAATAAGTATCTTCACAAAATCAAATGAGACAGGTTGAACTACCAAACCTGAAAGACGAAAATAATCATTCATAAAACAATAACTAAATCATGCCATTGGAACAAAAAGCAGACCAAGTTGAAACATATTGGATGTCTCAATGTTATTAGTCATCTGACTAACACCTCAACCATCCTAAACTCCCAATGCCACAGCTACCAATAGAGAGATACACATCGACCCGAAGGACGACAATAATCATTCATAAAGCAATAACTAAGTCATGCCATTGACACAAAAAGCAAACCAGAATCATATCGTGATTACATAGTAAAACAATGTCGAGGGATTCGGGTAACAAGACAATCCAGCAAAAGTATGAATCTTAATAAGCTACATGTAAATTACTTAGATGATTAATCTAATATCATTGAAGGGTGAAAAATGCACCTTTAAAAAGCTCCTAGCAACAACAAAATTCAAAGAAAACAATATTTCATAGCCAGATAATCACCGAAAATAAATCAGCATACCTTAAAATGAACACGAAGGTCAGAGCCCCTGGCTTTGCAGGCTGAAACACAAGTCATGAAATAACTAACAATCAAGTTCTAATCTTTTTCAATGAATTAAAATGAGGTAAGATATAGAAAAAGAGGGCATAAAATCCCATTGAATATCGCATTTCCGTTTCGTACATTTTCCCACCTACCAAACAGAATATTAACAAGATATTAAGTAATTAGTAATAATTAAAAAAGAAAAAAAATTTAAACTTACACTTGGTGTGGTTGTCTGGCTCTCTTGAGTACTTCACCTAATAATAATAGTGACAAAAAAAATAAAAACAAAAAAGTCAATAAAAAAACAGAAGATGAAACAATTTGAAAGTAAAATTGAATTTTTTCAAGAAAAAAGGAATAAGATTTCGAAATGAAGAAGATTGACAAACCATGGCTGCTGCTTCTGCTCGTAACCAAAGAGAAAACCACCGTGCCAGGGTTTTTAGCATATAGGGGTGATGGATTTTAGGGTTTACCATTTTTGGGCTTCCGTCATTTGCCCTTTATCCAGCCCAAATTTGTGGTTTTCTTGGCCATTTCAATTGGGCCTCACCACTCAATAAATGAGTCTTTTTGGTTAACTACAAGCCAATAAGAATTTGCCACGTGGAATCTTGGGAGGGCGAGAAAGGAAAAGGGTCGAGGAAGCAAGAGTTCAGAGTTGGAAAGGGGACAGCAGATTTGGGTTTGTCTCCGTCTTTCCTTAAAAAGGGGAAAAAAAATTCAATTTTTTCTTATTTTTAAAAAGAAAAGGCGAGAAAAAAGGCGCTCCTTTAACCGATCTGAGAGAGAAAGAGCAGAGCAGCGAAGCCAAAGAGTGAAGCAAAGCAGAAACCGAACCGGACACGACTGCTCAGCTCTTTGACATTGTAAGAGAGCTTTGTTTTTTCTCTGTTAATCATCAGAATCGCCATAGCTTTGTTTGTTTTTTGAAATTTGCAGTTTTGTGTTTTGGCAGCTTTTGAGTTAGAATCACAGGAAAATTGCATGCTGAGAAATAGTATTAGGGTTTTTGATTCATGCCCAAGATTTAGTTCCTTTTTCAAATTGGTGTTTTTTTTTTTTTTCAGAGATTGAGATGATTTGGGTGTGAATGTTGAAGAATCAAGATGGACGGTTTTTTTTTTTTTTTCTGTACCCAACATCTTATTTTGATGTTATTTTTGTTGTCAAAAGCAGGGCTTTGGTTGGCTACATGTGGGATAGTATGCTTTGGGAGAATAGTGTAGTTTAGCTTCTGAGAGATATTTTGGTTTAAAGTTGGAGGCTTGATGAATAACAATAACCTACCAAAGAATTTTGGGGCTCAATCCCAGTTTGGGAATTCTGGGGCTGTGCCAAAGTTGCAATCGACAACGATGAGCAATCAACCTCAAGCGCAAGGTGGGCCTCAGTTTCCGGGCCATTTTCAATTGTCTGAGCCTCAAGCACAGGTGCTTGCACAGGCACAGTACGTGCAGGCTCATGCTCAAGCACAAGCTCAGGCTGCCCATTCCCAATTCCAAGCTCAGGTGCAATCGCAAAATGTTAGTAATAATAATGCCACTGCCATCTCTTCCCCTGCAGTTTCCTCCCCTGTCTCGGGAAGTACCAAGCGGTCTTCTCAGAAGCCATCTTCTAAAAATTCTGGTTCATCTAATAGCAATATGGCTTCTCTGTTTAAAACAATGGAGTTAACCCCAGCTGCTCTTAGAAAAAAACGGAAGCTTCCTGAGAGACAAATTCCTGATAAGGTGGCTGCAATCTTACCAGAATGTGCTCTATATACTCAGTTGCTTGAGTTTGAGGCTAAGGTGGATGCTGCTTTGTCAAGAAAGAAGATCGACATTCAAGAGTCACTTAAAAACCCTCCCTGTGTTCAGAAGACACTTAGACTGTATGTTTTAAATACTTATGCCAATCAGGGACAAACAGATCCTGACAAGACGAGTACAGAGACTCCATCATGGTCACTTAAGATTATTGGTAGGATATTGGAAGATGGGAAAGATCCTGTTCTGGCTGGAAAGGTGCAGAAATCATACCCAAAATTCTCATCTTTCTTTAAGAAAATTACAATATACTTGGACGCAAGTCTCTATCCAGATAACCATGTGATTTTGTGGGAGAGTGCTAGATCACCTGCCCTTCATGAGGGCTTTGAGGTGAAGAGGAAAGGAGACAAGGAATCTACTGTGAGAATACGACTAGAAATGAATTATATGCCTGAAAGATTCAAACTTTCACCTGTTCTAGCAGAAGTCCTGGGAATTGAAGTAGATACACGCCCAAGAATCTTGGCTGCAATTTGGCATTATGTGAAGTCAAAGAAGTTACAGAATTATGAGGACAATTCCTTCTTTGCATGTGATCCACCACTGCAGAAGGTATTTGGGGAAGAAAAAATGAAATTCATTATGGTTTCACATAAGATAACACAGCATTTAACTCCTCTACAGCCTATACATTTGGAGCATAGGATCAAGCTTTCAGGGAACTGCCCTGTTGGATCTACTTGTTATGATGTCCTGGTTGATGTGCCCTTTCCGTTAGAAAGGGAAAAGTCTTCTTTCCTGGCAGACATGGAAAAGAACAAAGATATTGATGCTTGTGATGAAGTAATTTCTGCTGCCATAAAGAAGATACATGAGCATTGTCGGAGACGAGCTTTCTTCCTCGGTTTCAGCCAGTCTCCTGCAGAGTTTATTAATTCTTTAGTTGCTTCCCAAAGCAAGGATCTGAAGCTTTTTGCTGGAGATGCTAACCGTAATGCTGAAAAGGAGCGGCGATCTGAATTCTATAACCAACCATGGTGAACCTTGTTCCACTTATTTTGTTTTTGTTTTGATGCCTATGTTTAACATGAATCTGTCAAAATTACCTGTTTTACACTGCTTGATCTTGCTATTTGATTTATTTGGACTAGTAGAATAGAAGAAAACTGGTTGAATTAGTACTCTCACTGAGAAGTATTTATCACCGATATTGATTATCAGTCTATAGAAGAAATTCTTAGGACTCGCTAGGATTAAGCAATCCCAGGCAATATAATTTACTATTTTGACATCTAGCGTGAATTTCTAGCTATGAATAAGTACATTATTTTTTGGTTTCTCTGAATAAAATACAGTATGATCTAGCTATGAATTTATCCTGGTTGGTATGAAAGAAACATGCCCTATAGAGCCTAATGGAACATAGTGTTGCTTTGGTTTTATTTGAAAATTGTAGGGTGTCCGTGGGGTGTTAAAGTTACCTTTGGAGCACCATTAAAATGTAACAATTTCTTCATAAAAGCTTTTTCTGACAGGCTTTTTGCTTTTTCCCTATTTTCTGGATCTTTTAGGATTGAAGATGCTGTAATACGTTACCTGAATCGCAAGTCTATGGGAGGGGATTCTCTTGGAAGCACTTAGCAGGGTTCTGTTGAATTATTGATTGTTCATATAAATTTCTAGGCTTCTAACTTTTGGCTTGCATCTTATTGCTTGTTGGTTGAGGGAACATCAGATGCCACAGACACAGAAAACATTCCAAGTGGCACTTTGGATAGAAAATTTCCTCTTCAAGTTGTCTGAATTCAGCATGGCATTTATCAGCTCCATCAACCAACACATTTGCTTCTTTTGTTGTATTGCCTAAGTGCAAAATGCTTAGGTAGTTAGCCCTTCCATTATTTCCAAGTTGTCCCAATCATCTCCAAATTGATTTTATATGGAGTTTGATTTCTAGAATATTTATTTTCGATTCTGCTATCAAGGGTTTGTGATTGATTCTAATTAAAGGACTCAGCAGCTGTAATGTAAGTCGATTTGCTTTCTATTTTCTTAGGTGTATAATAGCTGAACGCAATTTGTATCCTTTTACTAGTTAATAGTTCATCTTTATATGGGAAAAAGAGAATTTATTCCCTGTTATTTTTCGTTGCTGCTGATTCGTTTTGCTTTTTGCATTTCTACTACATGATGCTAGGCCATTCTTTTCTTCATGTATTGCCTGTTAAATCAGCAACCAAGTTGTCAAAAACAAAGGATGATCCGTCTGCATTTGTTGTTGAATCTTCATTTTGATTGAATCTAACCATTCTGGTTTTTTCGTCGCAGCTCGTTTAGCCTTCCCTGGAGCAAACAGGTTACAGCACCTCCCTTGCTTAATTATTTTTTTTAAGAGAGATCGTAGCTTTGGGTAAGAAAAATGTTAATGGTTGAATGAACTGAGTTAAGCCTCGAGTTGTACAATACCTTTTGTTTGAACTTGTTTTATTTCTCTCATTTGTCTCTCTACATTCATCACAAACCACATTGCATTATCAAAGAATCAAAATTTCCAAAAATGTCCACATTTTGTTCTTGGGGATGAATTAATTTGATTTCAATTAGGCTGTTTATTTTTTGATTTTAATGGAATTAACCAATCGAGTCAAAAGCAAAAAAATTTCACCAAAGTCTTAATAATCAATTTAAAGGAAGATAGTAAATAAATTTCAATAAAAGCAAATCAAAACCATTTTAAAACTTGAAGTAATTACACAAATATTACAAAAAAAAGTTTTAAAATTTCAGTGGTGCCCCTATTGCCCCCATTGTAATTCTGTCTCTGATTCAATCTTATTGTCTTCAGAGAACACTATTCTAAGCCAAACCTTACCTTTTAGGGCAACTTTCCTAAGTTAAACCAAAGACAACATGATCGCCTACTTCTCTTACCTCTGGCTGCGTATAGATTGAGATAGATAAATCGTCAGTCCGACTTCTGAGCTGAACCATTTACACATTTCAAGCGCGCAATCAGCTCATCCTGCACAGTTCAATGCATCATTAGATGGGACCAGAATTTGACAGTAATTAGTTAAGCATGTAAGTAGATAGCCTTGAAAATGTAGTTTCACTGCATCTAAAAGGTAAACATATCATGATACCGATATCTATTGTTGGACTATTAAATATAATCAATTCAGAGGCTTAAAATTAAAAGAAGACTTTATGACGGTATCCAAGAAAGCTTTCACGAGAACATGCCTTCTTTCCTTTGGGTGAAAGTCCTCTTTCCTTAAGAAGGGCTCGAAGCCTCTCTACGGTCAAACTATGGTAGTCCTTCTCAGCTGTACGACTGCTCGATCCCTCTGCAAGGTTTTAAGTCATTAGGAGAACTCAAGATAATAATTCTCAGAATAATGAAACCATTACTCAAGAAAAGGAATGATTGAGACAGAATTTTAACAGAAAAAAAAAATCATACTGATGCTGGAGGAGAATGGGGTGGTCTTGTGAAAATGGAATGGTTTTATTCACATTACATGACAAGTTACTAAATCATGGAACTCATCACTAGAAAACAATAAGAAAAAAAAAAAGAAAAGAAAATTGAAATCTCTAACTATAACCAGCCAAAATAAATCCATAATCTGTGTCAAACTTGCTACGTTTCCTTCTAATTGAAGACATCTCATACATCCAACTTAGTCTGATAAGTTTGTATGGATAAGCAACATGAAAAGTGAAAAGTGAAAGAATCAAACTTCTAACAGGTGATCAGCCAACATCGTGAGAGGATAAAAGTTTCAAATCGAGAGCATTAAGTCATAAAGGACCAACAGATAGGCCAAAACTGACGTAAAATACAGAATCTAAAATACTGCATCAGTATTAATTAGCATTCTGTAGAACAATTGTTATTCAAAGTAGAGACTGAATTGTATTATAAAATCGTTTTTAATATGTAAAATAATATCAGCAATAAATGACCATAATGACTTTCTAGTTTCTTGACAATGTTGACCCCATCTATTGAACCATGCAAGTGAATATACACATAAGTACTAGTACAAAACATCCATGGACTGACCTGATCGAGAACTACTTTGTGTATTGGCTTTCTTTGCTGAAGCCCTGCTATCCATGACTCTTTCAGCAGGCCTGGGGTAAAAAAAAAATTGGCAGGCATCAAACAATCTTGGCCTAGACATCAAGTATGATCACATGCAACAAGATGCCTTTTTGCTATACATATCTATAGGAATGCAATAGCACATGATGTAATCCATGCAATTTGCTACAAACAGCAGGCTGAACGAAGCTATGAAAGGATGTTTACATCCCTATGTCCCGAATGAGGGTTAAAATGAATCATTAGACAACTAACATAAATATACACACTAAATTGTAACAAGACAAGTTAAGTCTCATTCACCTAAGAAAGATAAAATCAATACCTCTTTCTAGGACCCTCAGCTGTAGCTTTCACATCCTTTGAACTGGAATCACCCTTCTTGTTATTAAGCATAAGTGATCTAATAAGTATGTTCTGTTGGTTTGTCTTTATGTGCTGATTCTCTGGAAGCACAAGGCAGAGTAAGATTATCTAGCTTGTGAATAAGAAGAAATCTTAAAACTATTTCTTGCACTAGTGCCTAACTTCTTGGGAATCCACAAGATACCCACCAGAAAAATGCATTCATATTCAGATTATAAACAAGCAGATTATATCGCAGATATTGGATGTTTCCTCCACTATCTTACATTTATGCATAAAGCATGAACCGATAACATATAAAATAGAAATAAAATGATAATTGCAATTTAATCACCATTCAACACTGAAGATATATGTTCATACTATTAATAGATATGTGACTAAGTTACAGCTGGGAAGAAAGATAGATATAGGGCAACAAATTTATATCCTTAAGATGGATAAATAAATTCCGTACACACTGTGCATTAGGAATATGTTAAACTCGCAACTATGGAATCACATAAACAAACTCTTGCAATGAGTTCCAAATCTTAAATTTACAATGAATTTTTCGATCACTTTTCTGTTTAACTATTTTCATAAAATAGGTGAGGTTCAAGGGTAAATGTTGATTATAACCTTAATTCAGTCAAAAAGAAAAGTAACCCATTAAAAATATGAAGGTGGAAAAAAGGACAGAGCTAAACCAGGTGCCAAAATGCAATTAAGAGTAGTGAGCCTTACAAATTGTTTCTTCAATATACAAGTGACAGCATTAATAACAGTAATTAATGATTCTTAAGTTGCAAAAAGCAGAGATTTTGTGGGCTAAGGGCCATGCGTATATTAAATCAAAATAAAAATTATTTGCAAACTCTCAAAACATATTGGAAGTCCTTAATAGGTTGAAGTTTACAGCCACCTGGCGGAGAAGTGTTGTGCTCACAAATATAAACTCGCATGCCCCCCTGCAAAATTTTGCAATATAAGCAACACTTTACACAAAATGATATGCTCTTGAAACAAGGAACTAATTCTACATAAGAAAATAACGACTAAAAAAAATTATCAGTTCAAAATCCAAAAGCAGAAAAAAACTTATGCCAAGAAATAAAACAATTAAATGAAAAGGACGATATTAGTTAAAAAGATCCAAAGATGCATTTTACAGCAAAGAATCTTATTAGCAGCAATATAGGTGATTGCAAAAATTCAAGCTAGACAGCCACCCAACCAGTTTCCCTCTTACTAAGTTGGTTCATTAGTTAACCAAGTGAGAAACTCTTCTTAGCTTGTTTCCCTATTAGAAAGGCAGAATATGAATGGATTGAAAAATAGGTTTTACATTTTTATATGTTTCAAGGAGACTCCCTGAAAGAAATAGCATGGAATGCTTAGAGAGTTGCCAGAAAGGGAGCTGCTGAATGGGCTGGACTCAAAAACTGGATGCTCATTTAAAGAAGGAAACAAAAGCAGGGGAGACGAAAGAAGCCAAACGGGCAGGGACCTCCACTGCCTTACAATCTTCCAGCTCATCTTTGTGGCAAGATAGAGTTAAGGTAATTGGAAAAGAAAATGGCACAACAATACAGAGAGATAATACAAAAAGCTGTTATTTGAGTAGTATCTTGACCCCATTGAAATATAAAACAATTGGGGAAGTTGCTTTATTTTGAAATGTAGGGGACAGGACAATAAAAAAGATGACCATAGCATGTCCAAATTCCTAAAACCACTGAAACATAAGAATCCCAGGTTCTAATCAGCTATCTCCTAAACCCTCATTACTTAACACATGAAAGGAACAATTAGATAGTGAAGGAATAAAGGTTATGCTGTATCAAACGCATATGTGCAAAAGGAAACATGCTTAGAAGACAATGCTAAACGGGCAAACATGGCATTGAACTCGATTGGTAAATTGAAGTGTTTGATAGCCAAAAATCATGGGAAATTATGCCAAGTTGAAATTAAGAACCCCTAAAATAATATTACTAGGGACAACCCAAAAATGGTAATCCCAAAAAGATCATACTTTAAAACACATCTCTATAAACAAATCCTGACCCTGTATCAAAACAGTGTATTTCACTAATAAAGAATCTTCATTTGCTCAAACAACAATTTGTTCTCTACTTTCCACGTCAAATTCCCACACCATAAAACCATAGCAAACCATCCATCAGACACGTAAACTTACTAATCAAGATAGCCTAAAACCTCGATTTAGAACCTAAAACAATTTTTTTCGCTGCAAAAATTATACGATCCTGCTTTGAAATCGTTCTTCTAAGCTAATCATAACCATTATTTTAGGCTGAATTCAGTGAAACTACTTTACTTTAACAAACAATTCTAAATTTCTTTTACTTGTCGCATTTTCTCGGGAACCAAGCACAAAAAGTCAGAAAAAAAAAAGAAGTGAAATCAATTAAACAAGCGACTGAAAGGCGCGAAACGAAAAAAAAAAAAAACCAGATTGGAGGTGATGACGGTGGAGGACAGGTGGCCGCGAGAGGGAAGGTTAGAGAGGAACTTGGAAGCGCCAGAAGGCCTTTGATTATGATCAAAGGACTGAAAAGAGGAGCCCTCCATTAGCCTTTGAAACAAAAACCCTCGCCTCAATTTCTTTTTTTTTTCCGAGAAAAAAAAAAACAAAAAGGGGGTAGAAATAAGAAGAAGAAGGAGGAGGTGAAAAGTCGAAAAAGGGCAGTGAGTTATATATATATATATATATATATATGTGTGTGTGTGTGTGTGAATGTGGACAATATTCTGCTCTGTTTGGTTGTTTGGGAATTTGCACGGGAAAACGAAAAAGATTTCATGAGAAAAGTGGTTCCGGGCAAACAGTTCACTGTTGTATGCAATCTAGATTTATTTATTTATTTTAAGGATTTATATTTTATATGTATTGATAGTATATAATTAATAAATAAACTTAAAACTTGAGAATTAAAGTTAATTTTTATTATTTACATTTTAAGATTTTTATTTTTAAAAAAAATTAATCATTAATGATATAGTAAATATAAACTCTTATTTTATTTAAAAAACTTTTATTTTAATATAAAAAACTAATTTTTTTGAATTAATATTATAAATAGTTTTTAAATTATAATAAAATATTTAATATGATATATAAATTTAAATTATTTAATAATACAATATTCATCCTTAACATCGTTAATTTTCGATGATAACACCGAGACAAACTTAACTACTTAATTTTGTTTCTGTAACGGCATACTATGGACAAAGTTTGGTATTTCATCCTTGTTCAGTTGGATTTTATGAGCTACCATCCTTAACTATAATTTAAAAGTGCTAATCTCCATTTTTCTTTCCACCCTCTGTATATATTTTTTAGAAAAATCTACTGACGGTTAATTTTGTTTACATACTAAAGCCAAAACCTTGTAAAAATTATATTTACAGCTCTACCTGAACAAACCTATAGCACAACTATTGGTTCAGTACGTGTCAGTCGATGTTGTTTTGAGCCTGTGGGAAATTTTAAGTAATCACTATGCATGCGTGATAACACCTTCATGAGAGCAAGGTTTCCTGATTTCTTCATGTTCTTCCTGTCTTTATCTCTCTGCATATCCAGCATTTTTTTTAACATAGGTTACATTCAACTAAACCTGTTCTGCAGCAATCAAGATGTTAGTGAATCCCTCATTGTAAGTTAGGACTTAGGCGTTCTAAGTTAAGTCCTTTTGATGCATAGATCTATCACAGCGAAGAACTTCCTGATAGCAGTTAAAAAGTACTTGGAGAAACATGACAGGAGATCATCAATGTTGGGTGGCATGATTACTTGCAAGAGAGACAAAACCGTCAAAGAGTTGATTCAGACACTCGACTCGAAGAAGATCCATTGAGTGTATGTTGTGGATGATGATGGGAATTTGGAAGGTGTGATCACACTTAGAGACGTCATTTCTGTTGGGATTTGCTTTGAATTTCAGAATCTCACATCGAAAGTTAAGTAAGTTTGAATTTGTCTTGTATCCCACATCGGGAGTTTAGTAAAGGTATAAAGGGTTTCACCCCTATAAATAAGATGTTTTAGTTTTAGTTTAGTAACCCCAGAGAGTTAGACACCAAGAGAATAGCTAAGTGAGTAGGCTATTAAAGGGTCTAATTGGGTTTTGGGTTAAGTTTTGAGTAAGGAGTTTTAGGAGACTTTTCTCATTCTAAAAGTCTCACAATTGTAAAGATTTATTTGATAGTGGATTAGATTTGGAGTAGGCCATTTTGAGTTGGGCTGAACCAAATATATTTGTGTTTTCTTATTCTTGATTTGAGCTTGCTATTTTGTGTGTGGTTGCTGCGCATGGTATTGTTGTTTTTCTCAACAAGTGGTATCAGAGCGAGGTTCGAGGTTCGTGGGTCCAAGAGATCGTGAAGCAGTGTTTGAAGATGTCTGAAGAAAGTATGTCTGGTATGTCTGGTATGTCTATGCCCTAAGTTTGAGATTCCGTTATTTGATGGAAAGAGTAATTTTATGTTATGACAAAGTACGATTCAAGATCTGTTAGTACAACAAGGGTTGGATCAGGCGTTAGAGAGTAGTAAGCTTGAAGAAATGTCTGATGCTAATTGGAATAGGATTCAGAAGAAAGCCGTTAGTACTATTAGATTGGCGCTAGCTCCAGAGGTAAAATACAATGTGTTGACTGAGAGTACTCCGAATTTTTAATAAAATTATTATTATCTAAATTTATAAATGGGATTTTAAATTACGAATTTATTTTGAAATTTAATAAATGATATTAACTTTATTAATTTCTTGAATTAAATCAGATAATCATTATATTATAAAGGATTGATATTTATAAATGTTATATATAGAACTATTTGTTTTTAGAGGGTTCCTCTAATTTGGTCTTTAAATTAGCTTTTTTTTTTTTTTAATCTATTAAGCTATAACAGATATTCAAATTCGAAACTTTCAGTCTTGGAATTATTTCAATGCCACTAAACTAACAACTTGTCATAACGAATATTGAATATCTAATTTTACGTCCTAATAATTTTCGTAAAGCAAAACAAGTAGTTAAAAGAAGATTATATTTGGCAATAGCAAGTAACATCAATTCTAACAGTTTGGACTCAAAGGTTTTAACAGGTTTTCCTGTTCCCCCTTTCATATATAAGAAAAAAAGAAAAAAAAATGTGTACTTTAAAGAGTGGTGGCCAACGCCATTAATAGAAAGGCATTGAGCAAAGAAGACTGAGCTCAAACCACTAACTTTGGTAGTAAAATAGAGAGAATATTTGCAACTAAGAATTAAGGCCTTCTTGGTGATTGAACTGGTTGGTTATCTTTGGAGGCTTTGGGAACAACCTCAGCAATAGGTTGTATAATAAGACACTAGTCACGTTCATTGCTAGCAAGGAGCCAGCCTTTCTCTAGCAACCATTTTCGTTAATAGACAATTTTCCTCATTGTAGCAGGAAGGATAGTGTTCTTCATGCTGCATAATAGGACAGACTTTTACTGCTATTCCAATGTTTATTCCAGTAATTTTCTGCTCACTGTTGCTGCAATGTTGGTTTTTTTTATTGTCTGGAATCTCCTAGTATCTAGTAGTCACTTTGAGTTCTTATTAATCTGAAATTGAATCGGATCAAACCTCATAAAAGAAATAAGCTCTCTCAATATCTGTTTTTTTTAATCATATGACCCGAAATCAAAACTTTACTTAAAAAAAACTAAGTTCCTTAACAACTCAGATCTAAGAGACCTTGGTTGCTGCAATGTTGGTCTTACCAACAGTCCAAATTGCAAAGAGAGCCCAATTTCCATTGCATGGTTGCTTTTTGAACTTGGTGAACTACCCATGGGTAGAAAATGTAATTTTTTTTTTATACAAGGAAGCATAAATAAAGAAAAAAATTATAGATGTTGAAATTAAAATTTCAAATCTATTGGATGCACCTCTTAAATATGATTATACGAAATGAGTTCTGGGTTCGGTAAAAGATGTATTTGCATCATCTTGCAGCTGCCATCTCCATTGATATCCTTTCGTTTTCCTCGTTTGGTTAGCCATCAAGAATTTGCACCTAATGGCCAACAAAGCGTGGACCAAGTTGTCTTTGGCATGCAAAAATTGCTACATTAACCAGCAATCAGAACCGGCCATGGTGCCAACCTAAAATCCAGAGTTTGTCTTCAATGGACCACCAAGGGGTATGATAAACGATGCATCAGGGTGCAAATGGACACTCCAATTTATTCGTGAATAGGCAAAATGACAAATGAATTGTCCAAAGAAAGTCCAATTAATGCGAATCTTCGGACCTGACTAGTAACTTCAAACAAGATCTATTGAGTTCCTGTTGTAATCAAAGACATTGCACGTTTATGTGTAACATAATGTCTTAAAAACATGTGGGATTTCCCGTTGCTTGGAAGTAGGGTGGCCCTCTTTCATGTCCCTCCCGTTGTCAGCCTGGTTTTTGTGCTTTAGCTACAGAAAATGCTCACCTTAAAATGCAAATTACTTCAAACTAGTTTCTACTGTTTTTCAACTGATAACACTTGATTCGAATTTGTGGGATTCGAGTTTTCAAATGGTTGTAATGCTGTTGCAGAAGCATCTGCTCAATTATCTGTGAAACTATCGGCTGACACCAGAGGGCTGAGGCTAGTTGCGGAAGGGCTGACCCTGATCCCCTCCTGAAGCCCACAAAAACTGAAGAAGAAACAAAGCTTATACATGCATGTTTGTTGAGAATGTGAAAGAACTCCAGTAATAGTCTCCAAATAAACTTTGCTACTAATAGAAAGTTCATCGAAATTTCATTTTGCAATCTATTTATCTTCACACATTGTTCAACAATTTTATCTGCACAATTGTTTCTTCAATCACATTTGAAAATGCTTGTTGCAGAAAACAATTATTTTCTATACTGCATGGCTTAACCTGTTATGGTCCTAACCATAAGAAACTTTTAACAGATATAGAAATAAACAATGAAAAAGATGTTGCCATTCCTTTAAGACAGTCATAACCAGATATTATTTCATGTTAAGCAAAACAAGTTTGATGTAAAATCTTAACAGAAGGTATTACCAAAAAGACATGGCACAATTGGGAACCAAAACGTCTTTATTGGTTTCAATCCTACAATATATAGACATTGGCATTAGTTGATATATTACAGAGTGACCAGCTTTTGTTTCGTCTGAAACAGAAATCCGCATTAGATAGCAGGCTATCAACTAGTCTATGAGGCATAGCAAACAGGAAGGTGGCAATACTGCCACAATGTTAACGGTGATTCGTGAAATAAAATATATGAGCCAAGACAAATCCATACATAGAGAAACTATAGATTATAAACATGTACAAGATACAGTATATAAAGGGGTGACATTTAACTTTCACAAAACCTGTGTTTATAACATCAAACAGACAAAATAAAAAAACATGTCATCAGATACAGATGTATGTGAACTCTTGCTCCAGCTAGTCCTTGATGGGCGCAATGGCCATACCTGAAACAAGAGTCCTGCCTGTATCCTATGAACTCTTTCTTCTCATATGATGAAGAACAAGAGATGATCCTTCAAACAAATCCAATAGGTAATTTTCTAAATCCTCTGGTGTATACTTAATGTATTTTCCAGCATGCTTTCCACTCTCTAGCTGACTCCCAAACCTCCCCATGAAGGAACGATAAGCTGGAAGTACTTTCACTGATATAGAAATTCGAAGCTCTTCACGAAGTTGAGGATCTGGGACTCTCCAACCTGTCTGAATCCTATATATTTCTTCAAAACATGCATTGAAGTTCTTAAATCTTTCCTTCAAGGCCAACTTGGAAGCATTATTAGAGCTACCACTAATTCCTTCATCCTTCAGGCAATACAGAGCTTTGGTCCAACAAGCCCTAAGATAACTTGTAGCATATTTGTGTATCTGGCCACGTCGTCTACGAACCCAATTGTCCCCCAAAAGCTTTCCTAGCTCAGAATCCTTCACCTTTTGCACGATATACAGAATATTATTCATCAAAAATATACAATGCAATGCAGCATCCTCGTACAGTTTTGATTTCACCTCAAGATTGGATTCCAAAGACGATATCAAAACCAACAACCGTTTAGCAAATGGAGTCATATTCTCCAGCTCACTATCTTCACTCTGCAATCCATCTGCTTCATCCTCATCACTCTCCAATAATGAATTCAAAGTCTCACTATAATCCACAAGCAGTTTGACATAATTCATCACATAACGTGTAAGAGGATGAATCTCCCCAGTCTGCATAGGTTTCTTCGAAGCCTCATTCTTCACATCATTCTCAAACTCCACAAAAGTTCCTTTTGCCGCAGCCCCTAATCCAGCCAGCACCCCCTTTGCCTCACAACATAAATATTCATCTGTAACCATCATCTCAAAATCCAGTAAAGCATCTGCCAACACATCATACATATCCAGAATCCTAAACAGCTTCTCGGATGATCTTTTCCCAATAGCCACAGCTTCCCCAAAATTCAACAACTGCATTACACACCCCTTAGCATTCTCATTAAAACAAATCTCTTTAATCGAATCGGACCCATTAAAAATCTGATCGCAAAGCCTCTTTTCCCCACTCAGAAGAACACTAACAGTAATCTTAACTGCCTGAATCCACTTCTTCATCTTTTCATCCAAAGCCTTCCACTCAATCTTCTGGACTTCCTCAATACTTAACTTCTCAACTCCAAGAATCACCAAACACTCATCCAAAGCATCACGCCTAACATTACAATAAGCTTGAACACACTCTTTTTCGTACCCGGACCGGATCATCCGGTCCGCAATCTCTTTCAACTCAATAACAGCATCAGCATTTATCAAATCCACGCACAAATCATCTCCCAAACTCGCTCCTCGCTCATGAAAGCACCCTCTTTTGCTATCAACCTCTCCGAAACTCACGAATTCCTCGTCAATTTCGCCTTCGTTAGCTACGAAAGAGAGGGAAACCCTCCGGATCGAACCGTAGAGTTGCTCCGCATCAAGCGGGACGGTGCCACTAATCAAAATGAGCCGAAACTCATCTTCCAGCCTCGACATAGCCATCTGAATAGCGGTCTCTGCCCGGTCCATGATTTCGTTACCGGACCGAACCGACATATCGTCAACCAATTGAATGATTTCGTCAACCGCCGAGAGGTACTCGGCGGCTTCATCGGGAGAGTCTTCCCAGGGGAGAGAGTGGCGGGAAGCGTCAGGGTTGGAGGAGGAAGAGTCCCACCGGAGGATCACTTTCTCGGCGGCATCGAAGCGGACGCCGGTACTATCGGAGTCTTCCTTGATTAAATCGGTGATGTTGGACAAACGGTTATCGAAGGTAGACAAAATTAACAGCATGTCTTCACGAACCTCTTTTGGAGTGTTGAGACTCTTCACGATCTGCTGCGCCGTCGCCATGACCCGGTCCTCCCCGCCCGCCCCAAGGCTCGTCGTAGTCGTGGCCATAGTAGTTGCTTTTGATCCTCTGCTCGGCCCCGGTTCTCCGGTTTCTTTTTTAACCCCCTTTTTAAGCAGTAGTTATAATATGGGGATTGGGAGTGGTTCAAAGTTGAGGTAAAGTGGAAACGGTCATTTCCCCGTTTTTAGTGGATCGGTTTAAGCTGGGTGGTTAGGGCGGAGGAAATGCGATTGCTGGGGGTGTAAGAAACGTCAGAGCAAGTCTTGTCGTGCTCCACAATAGAATCGTTGTAAGAAGAGAAAGGAAAAATGGAAGCTTTCCTCTACGGTTTTCGCATCCTTTTTGGATCGGGTTCTTGCCCACTTGGGCCCTCTTTATCCGGTCCAATGCAATTATATATATATATATATATATTATTTTTTTAATCTCGATTATGAAATTAAAATTTTGGATGTATTAAAAACAAATTCGTATTGGTTTTTGAAAAATATGAAATTTTTATTACACCATCTATTATTATTATTATTATTATTAGTGATTTATTTTTGCAAATTTAAAAAGTTTGTAATAATTTATTTTTATTTTGATATAATTTTGCCATCTTATTTTTAATTTAGTTAAGAAAACACGAAAAGGCAATTATAAAAGAATATTTTATATAATATTATTTTAATTTTTTATAATTTTAAATTTAATTATATTAAAAATAAGTGATAAATTTGATCGATGAATAGAATAATAAATAAAGCTTTAAACTTTTTTTCTTGTTTTATCTATAATATTGTAAGAGTAAAACCACATTGAGAGTGGTTTAAGAATACAAGTTACTAACTTTTCAACGGTTTGAAAGATGAAAAATGTTATTCCTTTCGTTTAAAAATATTTGGATGTATTGATTTTTATGAAAATTAAAAAAAAAAATAATTTTAATATATTCAATATTAAAATTAAGATATTTTTATAAAATTAAAATTTATAATTTTAATTGTTAAAAAGTAAAAAAAATTTAAAATATAATTTTAAAATATAAACAATAAGAATTTTAAATATTAAAAAATATAATTTTGAGACATTTCAAAAAAAAAAAGAGACAAAAAGAATATAATTTTTAAATCTTATTATTACCTATGCGGTCATTATATGCTATTTTAAAATAATAAATTATTATTATTATTATGTGATTTGATAATTTTTTTATTATCATCTAATTTTTTTAATCTATGACTTTTTTTTAAAAGTGTATTAACAACTAATTAATTTAGTTGTTATTTAAATTATTAATCTATTAATTAATATGATATTTAGATGATTATTTATATATCACATATTATAAAAATAAATTTTATTTTAATTAATAGATTCATAATTTATATATTATATTAAAAAATTTTAAATATAAATATAATCTTAAATATTTTATTATATCTTATTTTGATTTAAAAAATTAAATAACTTATTTATCTTGAATGATTTAAAAATAAAAAAAACAAATATCAACGTTGATATTTTATTAGCAAGCCCCCCCTTGGTCTTGGTGTTGCCCATGGGCCACCGCAATTAGCTGCTGTTGATTTTTCAAAGTTCAATCTACATCCAAAGAATGGGAAAAAATGACCTGATAAAGAGTCAAATTTATTTGCCGCACCTAACAAGCCGGATCGAAATTCATTCACACTAGGGCTTCACAATGATCTCTCTCGGGATGGCAATGGACGGGTTGGAATAGGTTTTTTTCATTCGATATTGATCTGATTTTATAAATATATATTAAATTTTATATTAAAATATTATTTTTTATATTCAATTCGATTTATATAAATATATAAAATTACAATGAATTCAATTCAAAATTAATTTAATATAATATTTATAAAATTATTTTTTATTTAAATTATATTTTAATTATATACAAATATAACATTTTAAATTAAAATATTAAATAATAATTTTATTAATATAAATAAATAATAAAAATATTATATATATGTCTTCATTTAAAACTAGACTTTAATTCGATTTTAATTTAAAAAAATCGATCTAATTTGATTTAAAACCTAATAAAAAAATAATAATTTTATAAAATTAAGTCGAATGAGTCTAAATATATTTGCTATCCCTATGTCTCTCCTATCACGCCATGATCGTCTTATAACTGAATTTTGGCAATAATATTATTTTGTAATTAAATTTTTTTCTAAATTTAATTATAAAACGTAATTATAATATGATAAAAATATCTCTTATCATTCTATTAAAGAGTTTGTTTAAAAGAAAGTCAATGACTACAGAGAGTAAACTCTTATCTCCAGACCGACTTTGAAGTTTATTACTATTTTTCTTTCTTTTCATAAAACAATTAGATATTAGTTGTTTGGGAACATGAATTCCCAGTGGTAATTAATTCAAAACCATAGGTTAAACAAATCAATTGAATTTAAATTAGACATAATAATTTAAAATATGATATAATGATACGATATGAAAATGATATAAATAAAAAATATAAAAATAATATAGTTTAAAATTTTTAAAAAATTTTAAATAAATTTAATAAAATCAAAAAATTATATTTTATATTTTCGTATCGACACGAATTATAACATGTAATTTTATATAAACTATGATACGAATAAAATATTTTACATGATACGATTACATAAATTATCAAATTTAATTAAAGTAAATGTCAACCTTTGTTAATTGTACTATATCTTATATTTACATGATGATCAATGTGAAAACATTGCAGATTAAAATCAAATTTTCGCATTAATGGGTTGTAATTAAACTAATCTATCATTTAAGATCTTTCCTGAGCTCTAAATAAACATAAATGGTTTTTTTATCATCAACAAAGACAAAATGAGTTTCAAGGGAAGCCGAGTTTGATTACGGAGGATGATGAAACCAAGGAAGTTCTTGTACGTGTCACTCTTGTTTCACCATGTAAACCAGATAAATTTGATCTTGGCATCAAGGATTATTTTCATATAATTAATCCTCTCCTATTTAAAATGATTTTGGTTCGATGAATGATGCATGCTTTTTTTTCGTTCAAGGAACAAGTTGGAATCCTCCTTTCCCAAAGCTTCATCATGTTATAGAAACACCATGGTTTGCAAAGATATGACACATGGAATATATCATGATAATGGTTGTCTTGCCTTCCGTTTCGACCTGGGATAATCTGAGATCACAATGGAAAAAAAGAGAGCAGTGAGAAGCAAAAACAAAGAAATGTGTTTTGTGTTTGTATTTTGATGCGTAAATAAAAAACCGATGCGAAAAATGTCAAAAGTAAAGAAAAATAGAAAGTTAGAATAAAATGGAATGAAAAAAATAGTATTTGAATATCTTTATTTATAAACAGAAAACAAGAGACACTCGAGAGATAAAAATGATATTATGAATTAATGTAATTTTGAATATATAAGATCAATCCAAATATTCAAAATACCTTTAATTATTTATTGACAATCTCTAATAAAAAAAAAAATTTTAATTACCCTTTTAACCACTAAATACTTATTTTAATTTTAACGACTCGAGTTTAAATCCTAAGAAAATGGTTGTCTTTGTCACCTAGAGCCAACCGGGAATGATTTCCACTTTGGGTTAAGCTGACTTCCCCAATGGAATCAAGCAGCTAACCCATAAAACCCTTCTCACGTGCATTAACCATGACTTTAGCTTTGAATATGTCAATTTTGACAAAGCTTTGGATGACTCATATGCCATCAAATAAAAAACAGAACGACCAAAGAAATTTGAAAAGTCAAATCAGCCACCATGGGCAACACCAAATATCTTTGCATATGAGACAAGGGTGTTAAAATCCTTATGATATTAACAGGGCATTATAATTCAACATAATCTCTCTCTTCCTCCCTGTCTGATATTTAATTTCTATTGATTATCAGTAAAACTTTGATCAACTTTTTCAAACCATTGAATGTTCAGGGATTATGATCCAATTCCAGGCTGCAGGTTAATTTCATGTGGACCTAGCTAGCTTTTCTAGAACAATCAAACTTGGGTTTTGGTCATGGTCAATATCAACTAATATATGATTCCACGACTGTCATAAACATAGCTAGGTAAAGCCAAAGCAAAGTACCATTTCTCATACAGGGAACTCAACTGTTGCTATGAGAAGAAAACCTGAAACAACATGCATATTTACCTCAAGCATTCAATTATTGCTTTCAGAAAACATTATTCCTTTTCCTCATATCAGTTTACCTTTTTTTAAAGTGCTAAAAGAAGTACAACAAAATAGTGCCTCAAGTGATATTCTGATTTTGACAGGGGTACTTCTGTTGCTCCCATTTGGTAATCATGCCGCTCAAAAGTGATTTGCATTAGCTACATTAGGACAAAGAGCCAGAATTGGTCATGGCCATCCACTACTGCCACCATTTTGTTTGAGCGTATATGATGTGTTGGTCAATGAAATTTCATTAATTTTGTTGTTGAGAACATTTTAAAAGGACAAATCAACCAAAGAATTCTACTGATAAAATGCACTTAATTGGTCACTCAACAAAAGATGAATGATATCGTTCAAGATGCCAATGTTGTTGCTTCACAGCCATCATGCACACAAGCCAGTACATCTCTGTAGCCCCTTGAAATGGTGAAGGAATCATAAACCTTCCCATCACGGCTCTTCTTATACTCAAATAGCAGGGATGAGTGGTTAAATGCTGTCAGCTTGACGAATCCAAAGTCATAATCTCTGTAAAGACTCCAATTTGGGATGACTTCACTGAAATCTGAAAGGTGGCTTCCTCCCCCACCAACAACAGCGTGGATCGTTCCATTAACAACGCCTGAGTAATGATTTCTTTCTTTGTTCACACACTGGTTCTGCAACAACAAGCATAGACAAGGTTATGATTAGTATCCAGCTATTCCATAAGAATGCAACTGTTCTAAATAAGAGGGAGATGCTAAATTGATGAGTATCACACTGATCAAGCAGCCACGTGGCATTGCCTGTGATAGTTTTATTTTTATCAGAAAACAAAATATTACACTTCAGTATGCCTTTAAAGGCTTTCAGAATAGGCAAGGTTTGATCTTGGAGTTTAGCTCAATTCATTCATCCAATCACCTTTAAGAGAAGGCATCTAGCAGGTTTGGAGTTCGAATCTCAGCATTTACAACCCTTTCCCATATTCCCAAGTTATGTACCCAAAAAAAATAGGCAAGATCTTTCTCCAGTCTTCTATGTGTGTGTGTGTGAGCGAGAGCAATGCTGTGGGTTTGAGGATGAATTCACAATACATACCTGGTAGATTGGGCATGTCCTTTCATAGTTATGGACATGGCCATAGAAGGCAATGTCAACTTTGTACTTCTGCCAAAGCTTCTGCAAACTTTCCCTTCCCATAGGCTCTTCAAATGAGCCCTTCTTGCCATAATAGTAATCAGAGGAATATCCAAGAACACGATGAGCTGCAAAGATCAACCAAGGCTGCCTATGTCTGTCTGCCGATGCAAGGCATTTCTCAATAAACATATACTGTTCTGATCCTTCTCTCCAGTCATGTTCACTGTCAGCTATGCAGAAGTGAAATAAGCCATAATCTGTTGAGTACCTGCAATTTCAGAATATAAGTTATAAATAAAATTGCATCCTTTTTTTTTATTCCTCTTATTCCTTATTCTTTTTTTTTCTTAAATAAATATAATTCAGATGCAGAATCCTATTTTATATTTCAGTATCACCTTATGAACTAAACTTGCTAATTTCATCAGCTATGATTCTTAAATCTTATCCAAGATTTGTTGTGGCCAAAAAATGAAAAATTGTAAGATTTTAGTACAAGAGTTATACTAAATTACCAAAACTTTGCCTTGTTCTCAGCAGGAAAATAAAACAAGGTTTCAGCTGGCACACCACATTCGCCACCTGAATCTTTAGTATCATAGAATGATCCCGTGTTTGGCCAATCACGTTCATGATTACCGCTGCAGCACAAATGACACATTGTATGCCAAACAACATCATTTTTTTGGCCAGATTCAAATGCTGTCATAAAGTAAGTCTAAAATATATTCTTGAAATGACATGCTGAGCTGCACAAGGAAGTTCAGATACCTTGCAATCATGTATGGAACAGTTGATGCTATAGGCTCAACCTGTGCTGTGAATTGGTCCCACTGTGAAATGTATCCATTTGCATATGATAAGTCTCCTATGTGGAAAACTAAGTCGATGTTGCTTAAATCCTTAATGAGTTGGTCTGTAGTATTGAGTGAACCAGGCTGATAATTACTGTACTCATTTGAACCATCACGTTCTGCCTGAGAGATGCTAAAAAATCTCATCATATATTGCAACAAATTTCTTGTCCTAAGAAAACAGCTATTAATAACAATAATATCTAAAGGGGAAGTGCGGAACAGCTTGCATCTGTAATCAAACCCTCAGCAGTGGTTCCGAGCACGTATTGTCTATTGAGAAACAATTACCCTATTTTGACAAATCCTACTGCTCACTCTCAAACCCTTCAGTATTGGTTCGTTGTTATTACCTTACCCATATCGCCAAATATTATGACCCTTTGTAATGAGTCTTGTCCAGGATATGGGGATGATTTAAATGAGTATATCTTGCTCCAGACCAATGAACCGTTAGATAAGAGATGACCCATCCTGTATGTGTATCTGAAACACCATCATTTGCAACCCTTTTAGTGGGATCATTTAAACTTTCAAATCATCATCTTGCTCGAAAGGACAAAAGGGTATTTATGATGCTTACACAAAGTTTGGCCACAAATTTTTCAAGAAACTTGTATGTATGAAACCTGGATCACGCCAGCCAACTGTTCTTGCAGGTGAACCTGCATATCAATTAGGTAATGATGATTTATCATTGACAGACTAGTAATTTTTTGTTGATAAAGAAAAATCCATATCAAGCATGTATGTTCACATTTAAAGTACTATTATAACATGTATTGCAGCATCAGAGTTCCATCATAAGTACTTCCATTCATACCACACATGCTGTTCCTTTTAAATGTCAAAGTTCCTGCAGGAGATCTCAGTTGCGAATTTCCCTTGCTACCCCATTCAACAAATGGCACAGCTTCATCTAAGTCATAACCACTTGTCCAGGTTACAGTTATCTGTGCAACAAATAAAAAAGGAACACTTGAAATGAATTCATTCGGGAACATTTACATGGCATCTTAAAGAAGATTATGATCCTTAAAAGAACCACAGTTATCATATTAGTGTTTAAAGAGGGTATCATATCCCTTAGCTTTCACGGCTTCACAAAATTTCATTAACTTATCATGAATGATACACTTGCCGGATAAGATAATGCAGAAATCTATTTTGGTTTAATTAGAACTTACTTCATTCCAAGACTTCCCTTGAGCAAGGCGTGGATACAAGGGTGTTTTAGGATTTGAAAATGATATGAAATTCGATATAGCCACCAATTTGGGCTGTAATATTCAAGTATGAAATCAGTCAACAAAAATACTTCATCAACAATGAAGAGGCACTAAGATGAATCAAGGTGATGTAAAAAAATGTTTTGCAAAGGTCCATGGTGAAAAAACAAAACAAGAATCGTGAAATTACATCTGATAATCCTCCCGAAAATAAAGCAAAGGAGAAATCTGCTCGCTGATTTATAAGCTGGAACCTCAGAGAACCGCTGCCTGTCTTTGTATAACCGGAGCTGGATTCATTTGCATACTTGTACTGGAAAATACACATAGAAAGTGTGCAGATTGAATGAGTTTTCAACCCATAGAATCATAACTACTAAATTCTCCTCAGTAACACTACAAGTTACAACACACACACCTTTATAGGAGCTGAACAGATATATGGACGCTGTTGTTTTGGGTCATTCACCGGTGGACAGGTTGATGAGCTGCCATAACATCACGAAGTGTCTCTTATTTCTAGAACAGTGCAAAATTCACTAGTGAAGTTATTGCAGTGTGGAATGCAAAAGATCCTATCAACTATTTTGATATGCTAATGAAATGAGTTTTCATAAAAACCTTAGTGATAACAATTAACAAGCATTATTAATGAGTTGCAGTTGATATTGTGAGTTGTGACATAGATGAACATTACTTGAATTTTGCTGGAGAAAAGACTCCAAGCCAGTCTCCTATAGATGGATTCGGATTTACAAAATTCACAGTAACCCATTGAGTATCCTCGCCCTGTGATCAAACACATAAAAACATACATCAAATGTCTGCCGCTAAACTCGGTAAACTGTCAAACCATCATGAACTCATACTAATCCAATTCTTTGGACAGGCCCTACAGTAAGTAATAACAGAAATTTAACATGTTTAACATATTTTAGTTACCCTTATTTCTATTGATCATCATTCATCGAGTTCTAAAATAAAAAGTCAACTTGAAAGTTCTTTAAGTGGAACAAATAAAAGAATAGACAGGTAGTACCTTTAAACCAAGAAGAACAGGTTGAGCTGTAATGGAAGCTGAGTTATGAAAGGCAAGAGAAGCTTTGAGGATATTGATTCTAGCCAGGGGATGATGTTTTGCTCCATTGAAGTGAGCCCAACCGAAGTTTAAGTTTGCAACCAATAACAGAAAAACCCAACACCATGCCATTTTCATACAGGCAATGAGAACTCTCTTTTCTCAAATTCGAAGGCAGAAGGTAAAAAAAAAAAAGATTCCCAGATTTATCCTGGTTTGATTTATCATTTAAGGTTTTGAAATCTTTTGAAAGTGAGAAGATAAGCTGAGTAGCCAACTAGATTAGCAAGAAAGTAGGAGCAAATCTCTGCTTCTACGTTTTGGTCTCTCATATTCCTAGTATGTTCTTCTTTTTTTTTTTTTTTTTTACAAATCCCAGAGTTCTTGAGTAGCACGTTGATCACATTATTGGTTCCAACATGATTTCTTTCGGTCTTCTCGTTGCAACAAATAAACAAATCATTGTTTTTTTTTTTGGCTAAAAAATTTGTCGAAGGCATATAAAATATGAAAATTATTATATTTTAATTTTTGTTTTTTATTTTGTTTCATAGTTTCTTTGGCTATATGGTTCTTCCGGGATAGAGATTGAGTTTGTGAAGTGTACAAAAACACAAATGTATAAGTCTCCAAGAATTTCAATTGCACTTATATTCGTCATTGTAAGAATTGAATTCAAGCTTTCCTCAACCCATTCTCATCAATGGACTCACGAAAGAATACGGTTTGCTCAAGAAATTCAATCCTCTCTATATATCTCTGAGATATTTGGATTTTTCAAAACTTTATGGATATACAAAAGACAAAGATACTCAGATTTTTTAGAACTCTATGGATATACAAAAAAAAAAAAAAAACATAAATTATATTTTTTATTAAATATATATAATTTTTATCAATTTAAATAATTTTGTTTTAATATTTTAATATTATTTTTTATCATATTTATAATTATCAAATCTAGTAATTAGGTCAAAGTATAAATTCAAAAAGATCAAATTCTAATAAACAAAGTCAAAATAGATGAGGGAAGGTACCCTAGTTACCCAATAACTTTGATTTTTAAGGAAAATTTGGCCTTTTTTTTTTTTTTTATCTCAATTGTGGGTATTTTGATAATGACTCCAATGTTCATAATAGGAGTACTAAAAATTTAATAACTCTGCACCAATGTTCCCGCCACCAATGACAGCCATTGACCCTGCAAAAGCCCAAAATAGATTGCAATTCTAAATTTCCCCCAGGGATAAAGGCAAACTTGAATGACAATTTATAAAACCTGATCCACTGACACGACACAAGCGAAATTAAAACATAAAATAACATAATTTAAAATTTTAATAATTATTATTTATAAATTTAATAAAATTAAAAATATATATTTTATATTTTCATGTCATTTAATATATAATTTTTATATAAAATATAATATAAAAATATAAATTTTAATATTTTATACGATATTAATATGCAAATTGTCAGACCTCATAAAGCCAATGATCAAGGAATCTGGAACCTCAAGGACCACCGTGTGCTGCTCACCGTATTCTATAAAGAGAAATGATCAGCCAATGAACACCATCCTGTCTTGAAAATTCACTCATAATGCATGTTAAACTTCAATATTGTTCGCAGTTACTCATGCTAATGCGAGTGATCGATCTGAAATGTCCAATTCGTGAAAAAAAAAAAAAAAAAAAAACCTTCATGGGAGATGCTTGAGAAGAAATAGCAGTATTTTCTTCAGCAAATGTGTCAACGTACTAGAAAAATACCAAGGTTTTATGGCTGCAGTTTGATCAGCATGAGTAAGGGGATTGTGCTTTCATGCATTGCAAGTAATGAAGTAAAGCTCAAACAATTGTGGAACAAGGATCCTGTGCTGTAATAATGGCGTATAAAATGCATGAATGAGAATCAACATAGCCTAATCATTTACAAAATCGACACCTAATGGTGAACGAAATCAGTACAGCTGTGGAACAGTTGTATACGGGTTGATTTCACTGTTTTGCTATTCCCTTCCTTGAGAACATGGGAGAAAGCTTCTTCTCCAACTCTAATAAGCTGAAATTTCAATATAACAATTACTGAAAAATTGCAAAAAAGAATGTTTTATCATAAAGATTTAACTAAAAAATGGGAAATAAAATAAGTGACTCACATCTCATATTTGCGTAAAGCTTCATTCCGTTTTGCTAAGTACAGGTCACTATCCTTAGGTAAATTGTTCAAAGGATTGCCTTGATAACATGAAAAAGGAGAATTAGACCAAACAGATAAAAGAGAGTGTTAAAGTAGCATTAGAACAAAGGAAATATCTCAACGTCGTTGAGATGAGGAAATTCGACATAAGTATCTCATATCTAACAACAGGAAGAAAACATGATAGAAAGAGATAAACAAGTAATGAGCTGGATAATACAAACAAATTAGATTACATGCTGAAGATTATGATTGAATGGGTATTACTTTCTAGCTGTTTGTTCCTTTTTCATGAAATATGATTTTGATTTTTACTTTGCAGGAAAATTTGAGAAAGTGCAAAGAAGCAAGTTTGTAAGAAACAAACAAGCAAAAGAAACCTTCAACTAGTGCCTTTGATGAAAATGGATAATAACAAAAAGGAAAAGATGTGACCCAGGCAAGCGCATAACTTGGTAATTAAGTATCCAGCAGACCATAACAGAGAATGAGACAATCTGTGAAAAGTGGAAACAGAAAGAAAACCACAAAACAACTTGAAGCAGCAAAGTTCGCGCCTAAAATAAAGTCACTGAGGCACACTAGAAAATCTTGATTTTGTGGATGCCACTTCAAATTTAGTACATGCAGTGGCAGGTGTATGTCTCTACAATGACTATTTCCTCTAAACTCTCCTCTTCAGAAAGCAAAAGAATGGCTCTAGAACATCCAAAACCTGCCCTGAAAATCATAAAAGCTAACAGAAAATGAGACTTACTTAGCACTGGTGCTGGTTTTTTTGCCACTATATCCTTCTTAACTTTCAAAGCAGTTCCATTATTTGAGGGCTGCAAACCAACCTGTTCAATTAAAGGCAGTAGCACCATTTGGGATTAGTATGAAAGAAGTGAAACATCAACTGTAATTTGCAATTAACACATTTGTAAAATTGAAGGATAAAACGTAGATGAAACGGCTGATCCTTTCCAAGTTAAATGATATGAAATGAGTCTTTAAGGCCATAAATATGTCAAGTAAAATAAAAGGCAAATATTTTTACTAGGACAAATCTACCAAATAAACTAAGCATTCACATATGAGACACTAGAAGGCCAAGCATCCAAGTATACACATCAAAATATGAAATTTCAATTGCAGCACCTACAGTTTCCACTTACAAGGGAGAAGAATCATTACCTTCTTTTCCCTCCTCTTTATTATCTTTAAATGGCACTTTTTTATATAGTGCATCAAATGGTATCGAGAATGCCTAGAACACAATTGGTCCTTGGCTTGTGGATTCTCATTTAACCAATCCGAAATATCTTTAGATTTGACGACTTCATCTGAATCCAAAGATTCTAACCATGAATAGACCGGTATCCACTGATCAGTGCGCTGAAACCGAGCCGGTGGAAGATCAGGCTGACTTGGTTCTTTTTCCTGCCAGAAGAGACAAGAGAAAAAGGATAAGAACTAAGGACATAAAACTTCAGCCTCAACACAATGACCTGTCCAAAAGGTATAAAAACAACAAACACCCATAAAATGCAAAAACAGGTTTCAAGAAACCATGAAGAGAATTCCCAATTCACCACATCCTTATCCGAATTGAATTCAGTGTAGCTGAATACAAATAAGCAATTCGAACAGATCCCTAAATTAAGAATTGAAGAAAACAAATGTACCCCATAAAAGAAATAAAAAAAGAACCATTTTCCTTTCTATTGCATGCATTGATTCTTCCCCCATGTTTTGATCACTCTATTTGACAATATCACATTGCCAGAATGCCCAAAGACTTTTCCTTTTTTTTTTTTTTTTTTCTTATTCAGTGACCAGGATCATGTAAATGGAAATAGGCAAAAGGGTCAAAAATGCCCTCAAACAAAAATTCAGTTATCATATAAGCCCCTAACATTTTATTACAATCAATCAAGTTCTGAATTTTCTATTTCGAATAAGTTGAACCTTTAAACATGTATTTTCATCCAATTGAACTCTTAAATATCTATTTTCACTCAACTAAGCCCTTGATTGAACAAAAACAATTAAACAATTTTCCTCAACGGCTCAATTGATGAATAATATCCAAAACTAAACAATTTTAGTTTAGGGGCTTTTTTTATCCTTTTGCCATGGAAATAATATCCAAGAATTAACACTGTAACCAGGTTATCACATCCGCAAATCTAAGACTGAGATTGAGATATCATATTTCACACGTAATGAAAAGAATCTATTGTTACTAAAAAGAGAATCCACTGAAATAAATGACCAAATGATTCCAACTGAAATTAAACCTGGGACTGGGGGGGAAGTCTCAGGTAATTTTGGATAGAGAGGAGTCTGTCGATGAGCTCAGATCGTGGCATGGATTGGAGCTCGGCCGGTAACGAGCCAAAGTTGGAGTCGATCCAGACTTCGACTTGGCTCACGTTCACCGCTTTCGCTTCTGGGAACGCGCTCACCCAGGCACGAGCCAGGGTCTCCCATTCTTGGGCCTGTTGGTCTTCGAGGAGCCTATTGTTGGGGCTTCGATCGGACGGTCTAGGTTCGTCGTCTAGGGTTTGCTCTGTTGAATTCGACATCTCGGGTGCCGCCAAATTTTACCCGAGTGCTGGAGCGCTCTTTGGCGATTTTCTTCTGCCTTTGAATCAGAAGAAACGACAGCGTTTCTTTTTCTTTTTCAAATTACAGCGTTTCTTTTTTCTTTTTTAAAACAACAAGCGCTAATTTCTTATCCCCTCGTTTTCTATGTTTTTTTTTAAATAGAAAGAAGATTAAAATATTAAAAAAAAACTATTGAACTATTCAATTTTATTTCAATAAATATTTTTATTTTTATTTATATTTATATAAGCCTTTATTTCAAATAAAGGATTGATTTATACCGAAGGTTTTAAAAAATAAAATATCATAAAAATTAATATATATTTCATATACCTTTTTCAAAATTTTATTAATAAATAAAAGTAAATAAAAAAGCAATAGTATTTTTAAAATATATTTACAATATTTGCTAGAACATGAAGAAAAATTGTCGGTTGAATTTTACCTATTTTCTACTAATGAAAAATCACATTTTATTTTTTTTGAATTATTATAATTTATTTTATATTATAATTTTCTTGATTTAAAATAATACTTTATAAAAGCAAAAAAAAAAAAAAAAAGAGAAGAGTTGTGGTTTGAGCCCAGCTCAAAATTAACCCTTAATGGTTTGAGCCCAATTTTTTGGCTCTCTCGCAACCCAAATTGAAATTCTCTTACAGCGAAAAGCAGTTTTGGGATCACTAAAGGCGTGCAATAACGGAATTTAAAGGGGAGCAAAAGCCACTGTGGCAGCGGTTTCGCAGGTTTCCTTGATTTGGACACAAAAACAAAGTTTGGGTCTTTAGAGAAGGACAGAAGGTGCAAAAATGGAGGTGGAATTGAAAGAGATGCTTGATGATCTACTGTCTCTAAGACAGTCTTTGTCTGATCCTTCTCTTCATGCTTCGATTGACAAGGTACAAATTTTCATCAATCCAAAAATACATACAAGCATGTTTAATAGTATATGTGTTGATGAGAATTTTTTTTAAAACAACTGGGTGATCTAGAAAGTTTAAATTATGAAGATTGAGATTCATTTGGACTCTGGGTTGATCGTTGTTGTTCTATCCGTTGTCTCGTTTACTACTTTTATTTATTAATTGGGTTTTGAAGGAAAGTTGTATTTGCTAATTTGTGCATGTGAATATCTTTTTCCATGCATTTTATGCTATCTATGTTAGTTTAGCTGATGACTAGATGCTGTTGGGTGTAGTTCAATTAATGTTTCTGTGATATGTAACTTATTGATAACATACAAGAGAAGTTAAAAAATTGGGGATAGATGACAATATCAAATGTTTTAGTTATGAGGATAGAGAAATTTCCATTTAACATGTTTGAGGCCATCTTTATTTTGGCTATAACTTGATTTATTTGTTTTTCAGCTGCGATCACGTGTTGACCATCTTACTCATCTTGCTAAGTCTGTACCTGTTCGACGCTCAAAAGTCAAGGTTTCTGTTTCATGTACATTTTTCTAGGCATTTTTTTTCTAGTTCCTTATCTGCATTCTTCTGATTATGGTTTATGATTGTAATTCTAACACGTCTAAATAATCTGGTGGCAGGATATGAGTGCTGAGGTGGTTGATAGCAATCCTTATAGTAGGCTCATGGCACTTCAAAGAATGGGTATTGTGCAGAACTATGAAAGGATCCGGGAGTTCTCAGTTGCCATAGTTGTATGTATTTGTATTCTTCTTTCTAGATCTCTTTTCTATAAAGTCTTGGCTAGCACATACTACTAGTTCCCTCATTTTGCTGTAGATTGATAGTTCTTGTTGTCCTAATTCGGTCTCATTGGTAATCTTCTTGAACTTGCAGGGTATTGGTGGTGTTGGCAGTGTTGCAGCTGAGATGCTAACAAGGTGTGGCTTAGGTCGCCTCTTGTTGTACGATTATGATAAAGTGGAGTTAGCTAACATGAATAGGCTATTCTTTCGCCCAGAGCAGGTGAGCATACATACCCTCTTCCATACTGTTTCTTTTTGACTTCTTGTTGGAAAATGACGTGTTTCTTCAAGTCGTAAGTCAAGTATTTCTTTAAAGTAATATAATGTTGAAGTGCCACTAGAATTTTCGCTGCAACTACAGTTTTTGCAACGATATAAATCGTGAAGCTTGGGTTTGTACCTTAATTTGGATAATCTGACTTTCAAATTTTCTCTTAAGGTTGGTATGACAAAGACTGATGCTGCTGTTCAGACCCTGTCAGACATAAATCCTGATGTTGTGCTTGAGGTAAGTGTTTTTCATGAATGTCACCCTTGGGTTTTACTTAAAAGGTAAAGGCATGAGTGGGATTTCGATTACATCATATGTGTCAAGTCCTACAGAGGAAAACTAAGTTGATGTGTTGTGGAGTTGGAGTGTTTGACATAAATTTTATTTTCCTGTATCTTCATTAATATCTGAAGTTGGTCCTTTTTTAGAGTTTGTTGACTACTTTTTAAAGGGGCTGACCTGCTATGTTGTGTTCTTGATTCTTCCATGCATGCTCAATCTTTTTACATTGCACTGATGTCAAGCTATAGGTTTTGGGTTTCTAGTGAAATGAAAGACATAATCCTTTTGTCATCTTACAAGCTTTGTCTTTTCTATATAGTACTGTTTGATGTCTAATCTAATCAGTATTTTTTAAGGGTAAAAGCATCATGCAAACTCTTATAATTGTAGACAATCAATTTAGTCCATCACTGAGCATTTTTAGAACTTATAACATTGATTGGTTCATTTGCTTCAGAGCTATACGCTGAACATCACAACCGTACAAGGCTTTGAAACGTTTATGTCAAGCTTAAAGAATAAAACATTTTGCCCAAGTAAGGAAGGTAGCGGAGTGGATCTTGTTTTAAGCTGTGTAGACAATTATGAAGCAAGGATGGTGGTCAACCAGGTAATATTGACTTTTAAGTCAGACATGCTTATTTTCTTTTAGACCTAAGTTGATAGATGCTGGGTTTGACAGCCTTCTTGTATATGAACTGTTTATCATTCTACAATATTGGATTCTGTATTTGATTTTCTGTATATAAACAGGCCTGCAATGAGTTGAATCAAACGTGGATGGAGTCTGGTAAGAACTTACTTTTCATTAGTTCAGTAGTAACCAAGTTAATTGAACTCATTGGTAGAAGTATGATATAGTAAGAAGTATTTTCTTTTATTTTTATTTTTCAATCGCATGCACAAGTTTCCTTTTGAAAGATGCCTGCGATCCTGTGAAATCAATAGACTTGTCATCTTAATCCAAAGCCTTAAGAAGGCTGACCTCATGCACTTCCACAGTTATTGGTTAAACTACAAGATGTTTAAGGATGCCTATGGAGTATTGAGTACCACTGATCAATGTTCTTATAATGGCATCAGAAATTTTGAGTAGACTTGGACTTATGATTGGCACATAAGCTAATGTATGATAACTAAGTGTAATACCTCTTCATGTGTCCATTTGACCTTTTAGTGATTTGCATACTATATTTGTATAGCCATGTTGCACTTCAGCCAAGAATATGCTGGGAAGATTCAAAGTAAAGATATAAAAATATCCTTGGTTTGCCCTCCTGCTGCTTCTGATTACTGAAAAGAGGAAATTTTGAGACAGGTGTATCTGAGGATGCAGTTTCAGGTCATATACAGTTGCTGATTCCAGGAGAAACTGCGTGTTTTGCATGTGCACCTCCTTTGGTACATTCATCCATTAATCTATGATATTAGCTTAATGTAGATGTGAAATCTTTAGTGCATGTTTGTGTGCAATTAAGTTATATAAAAAATGTGAAATATGAATATGGCATTCTATTCTTTTGTAGGTTGTAGCATCTGGAGTGGATGAACGAACACTCAAGCGTGAAGGGGTTTGTGCTGCATCTTTGCCAACTACCATGGTAAGCTTTTGTTCTTTTCTGGCATCCTTTGGCTTTTTCTCGTCTCTAGGATGCGTGCATCTATCTACATATGAACATACAGAAATGAATGCATCTATCTACATATATATATATATATATATATATATATATATGCACACAAATATGACATGAATGATTCTATCTATACTCACACACACACTCACACATTTGCATACATAAATGGATGCATCCATGCATGCCTGTGTCACTGTGTGCATGTGCATCCATGCATGTGTAATTGTTTGTCTGTGCATGAATATTGACTGCGCATATGCTTGTTTATCCTTTCAGCATGTATTATTTGGTACTTAAATCATAAAATTGGATTTTAGCATGTGTTTGGTACCTAAAATTGTTTTTTTTCCTGCTTTTCCTAAAATCCAGTGTATGAACTAACTTTTCAGGGAGTTGTTGCTGGGCTTCTAGTCCAAAATACGCTTAAGTTCTTGTTGAAATTTGGACACGTTTCTCCCTACCTGGTAAATCCTACATGAACTCTCCCTCCCTTCTACCATCTCTGTATGTGTGTCTGTATTTTAATCCTTGCTTCTTCCTCCGTAATAGCCTGAGGAAAGTTAGACCTTACTAATTCTATTAGAGGGGCATGTGATGTGTTCTTACCCTGACGACTTGTGAAATTAATAGCTTCATGTGCTTCCCCTTGGTTTTTGATATATTTTGGCTTTGTTGCTTGATTGTAGGGATACAGTTCTCTTAAAGATTTCTTCCCAACTATGGCAATGAAGCCAAATCCCCACTGTTCAAATGCTGCCTGCCTGGAGCGACAGGTAAGAGAGAGATTTCTCTATGTCTTTCGGGTCATTTGGTTTTCCTTTTGATGCTGGAATGGATTATTGCTTTGCAGAAAGACTACATTCTTGCAAAGCCAGCCAGGGATGCTGTGGCTAAAGCCAAGATGGAGGCTGAAGCCTCAGCCGCAGCAGCAGCAGATGTGCCACTTCATGTTGATAATGAATGGAACATAAGGTACAAATCTCAACTCTGAGAGAGGGATTGGTGCATGTTACACAATCTTGGACTAAAATTCTGGAAACTAATACTCTTCCTTTTTTTTTTGGTTGTCATAGTTGTATCATTCTGACATTTGATCAGATTCGCAAATTATATAATGATTGACTGACATACTTTCTGTGCTGTTAAAAGATGTTCTAAATTGTTTTGCATTGTTATATTCCTGGATCATATCATTATAAGGTTTTTCTTTGGGAAATTAGCCAGTTTATGCATTTTTTGTTTTGTTTTTGCAGTGTTGTCGATGATAACGAGCTGGATAGTACATGTGGCTCAAGTTCAGGTGTCTTTCTGTTAATGCTCTTTATTTTGAACATTCTTCAAGTTTTTTATTTACTGATTTTTTTACATACAATTGCATTATCTTCTCGTAAAGTTCTGGTTAATATATGAATAGAGGTCCTCTGTATAAAAATTTCAGAAGAATCACTATGTTATTCCGCTGATCTCTTAAACATTGTATTTTGGCTGTTCAAAAGGTACAGTTTTCATACCAAAGTAAAAAAATTGGCTGTTTTAATTGCTCATGTGCGCATGCTAATAGTGTGTAGCATGCAGCTCTGAACTACTTGTTGGGGACTGGTTTTCTTCTGCATTTCATACGGCATTAGCGCATAGTCATTTTATATAAGAGTTCAACCACAATTTTCCAGTGCCCTTAAATTAATTTTATGATCTGTTTTTTTGCTTTCATAGTATCCCTTCATTTGATTGTTGATGCAGAGTTACTTGAAGTTCTAAACTGCCCCATATATTACCTTTCGTTCGCTTGTCATCTTCATGTATCGCTCTTTTTTTAATGTCAATATTTCATTTCCCTAATCTATTTTCCACTCCATTTGTTCAGGTGCTCTTCCAGAAGGTCTCACCCATGAGCTCCCCAGTGCCGATGAATTCCCAAAGCCCCCTGCATCCAGAGCCACAGATACTACTATTGATGACCTTGATGATCTCCGGAGGCAACTTGATGCTCTGAATGCTGATTAATGCCCCAGTATAACTTTTAGTTGAGAGATAGATAACTTCTTTGGCAAATTAGGAACACTTTTGGAGTCCATTGTTTGTTACCATTGCCCTTTGGGGGGAAATAAAGCTGTTCTTGGGGTTCAGCATTCAAGCAAATGATCCAGCCATGCCTAAATTTTCGCACAATACAATCCATACTTGAGTTAATATGAGGCTTGCCCCCGAAGTTCTGTGCCTCAGTGGGTCATTTTTTCTTTGTATTTTCCATCATAAGTGCTGAGTTACTGTACATTGGTCCAATGGATTTTAACGTGATTTAAACCATTTTTGTAGAGCTTTATATATAGTTAAGAAAGCAACGGGATATTTCAGAATTGAAATCAGCTGTGGTTTGACATGTACGATTTTGTTATGAAGGAAATGAAGCCAAATATACCCAAAGAAAGCGTTAAAGGCAACTGGTAGAGACTAGAGATGAGATGACAGGTTTGTTCCAGCCAACATGATAGAGTGGAGAAAGGTCCAAGAGGAGGGAAGAGTGCCCACCAGATGAACGATCAAAATGGCAATGCTCACCGTTGTGTCTGTCCCACGAGCCAATCTTCCTTCCCCCATGGTAGTTTGCTGCTGAGTTTGAAAGCTGAGACATGAGACCCTTTTTTGTACTGAGGGCCGACATCCCAAAACAATAGTTCAAGCATTAAAGTTGGTTTAAGTCCTTTTGCATAGATAGGATGGGTGGTAAAGTTGGTTCTAGCTATGCTTAAACTCCTTTATCTGTATAGAAGAGGAAGATCAAAATGAACTTCAGCTGCTCCCAACTCCGGTCGCCATTGCTTCATCATCCCGAATGTCATCTAGGGATCTGATTCTTCTTCACTAAGGTGATCAATACGAAGGGCCGTAGCTTGACTTGCAACAATATATCAATCAGTCTAAGGCCAATCCAGCAACCTTTAAATTGTGTTATAGCAGGCCCCATTTGTGACTTTGATGATGTTAAGGCTGACACAGGCTGTGTTGAGTCGTTGAAATGGCAGGCGGCTGAGCAAATACGATTGGTAGCTATTGAAAAGGCTTATGCAGAGAGTGAGGGAGCTTACAAAGAGGGAAATGGAGTTGCCGCTGTCTGAATTTGCAGGAGCAAGGCATATGTGGCAAAGAGCAAGGAATGGAAAAAGCTGAGAGAATGAAGGAGAAAGCGACAAGGCAGATAGATTCTACGTGCATGGAGATTACTCCACTTGCCATTCTTGCAGGCTAAGGTTCAGGCCTTAATGCATTTATATGATCAAACATTGCTTGTTTAATCAAAGATATAGATGAGTTTTACTCCACAGCCAAGTTGTTATTTTGAGGGAAAATTTGGGCATTGGATTTTTGCAATTTCCTTCGACAGAACAGACTGAAATAAACAAAGAACACAAAAAAAACAGCAGCACCAGAACATGAAATTTGAGTTCCAAAATCAGCTTTCAATTGTGCTTTTGTTGATGCCTTCCTGAATGAACAATTTGATAAACTGTACTACCAAATAGCAAACTAAGAGGAGAACAAAGAGGATCATAACAATGGCATTGTTTTGATGACAACCTGATAGGAGTTATGACTCAAAAGAACATGTGTAATTGATTATTATGAAGAGCAAATCAAATTTTACATAGATCATTTGTTGATTAGAGCTTTAAAATTTGAGCCTCCGAATAATTTTTGTTGCATTATAACAGATCATATACATGGTATAGGTTATTTTTCTTTTTGTTTACCAAGTAATGAGGAAGAATGGCGGTTTCTTGGCGGGAATTAGTCAGATAGGCTAAGCGGTGCGTTTTTTTTTTTTTTGCCTGTGTAACTCCAGTGAAGGTGACCTCAAAGAATCAAGTAGCATTGTTTTGTTTTTCTCCTCCCATGGCGGTGAGAAACTTTCAGGAAAGGGAAGAGTGAGCCATGGTGATTATCTAGTACCCTACTATAGTTAGCAACTGTTGAGATTGCCATGATGTATTACGTCTGGATTTTCATTTTTCCCCCACTCTTTTTCTTATCTCACAAAATGTATATATAGATGTGTTTCTGCTCTTTCTGTAGCAATCAAATGTCCTTTGTTGGATTTGAACAACGGATTTCTGAGCTGTGGCACCCAGATTATATATATAGCTGGCAGCCTTAATTTGTTATTATATTTCAGGTCATACAAGATATTATGAAAGAAACTGTTAGCACCAACCAAGTGCATCCATTGTTTCTAAATTTACACGCATATGAACAAAATATGCAATAAAGCAGTGGCACTCTTCAATTCTGACTGACCGAGTGTGGCTATTGTTTCTTCATTTACAAGCATGGCACATGAATAAAACATCAATTCCAGGAACTCGCACTCTCACAATGCTGTAAATTGAGTCCACCATTAACGATTGGTGGATAATGCCCCACTGATTTTTCTGTTGCTGCAGAATAAAAGAAGGCTATTACTGTATCTGAACTGTCTGAGGAGAGCAAAACCTTGAAGAATTTGATTGATTGGATATCCTGAAGTTCCAGAATTTTCCTTTAGCAGAAACCAAGTTCTCTTCGCACAGGAATTCCCAAGAAAACCATTTTTCAATTGACCGATGAACGTCATGTACTACAACATCAGTCGTTTTACCAGCTCTCGCAAACATGCTAGCAGTGTAGATAGTTGACATCCTGCCTGGTGCTTCTGGTGCGTCACCAATAGGTCCGTCCACCACCACGACATCCCATTTAAGCTGATACACTTCTTGTGGTAAATTTCTCAATGCCAACTTGCAATTTGATTGTTGGAGCAGACTTGTGTTAGGAGTGCAAGCAGGATTTCCCCTGGCATGCTTGAGCAGCTTGTAAGCCTTCTTAGCTGGCACCTGGTACTTAACCTTATAAATTCGAGTCCCATTAGAATCAACTTTGATTTCACTTAGCTTGTAAGGGTCATCCTCGAGAAAAAGAGTGATGCCTCCTGCATTAATTGATGAGAGGTTGAGGTACTGGGATTGAAGACCAAAAACAAGGAGGTTGCAAGGTGCTTTACGGGTGATGAGATTTGAAAGAAGCATGAATTCCTTTGGGGTGAGAAGGGTTGCATTTGCTGAGGTTTTTGGTGCATTTGATGGAACCTTACTAGATTCAGAAGGAGATGAACACTCCTGTTGAAGGGACGATGACAAAGCAGCAGCAGAAGATGAAGAATGCGTAGTAATTGCAAGTTTAAGAAGTCTGAGAATGGAAAGGCATGACAGGATGAAAATAAGCACCGGGAGTAGTTTCTTTCCAGGGAATTTCATCCTTCTAGCTGCTCTGCCAAATTTGGGGCTGGAACCTGAGGCTACAGTACTACAAAACTGAACCGAAGGACTGATCTGAGGGGCACAGGAATGGGCTACTTCCGGAGGCATTTTCTTCCTTTTTCAGCACTTTACTGGCACTGCTATCACATCCTCCTCACAGGGTAATTGTGGGTTTTTGATAACATGGGTTGATATAATGTTATCAATCGTCGTATCATCTTGAGTGAGGAAGAAGAAATTTGGTTTTTGCTTTTGTTTCAAGTGTTAAACTTTTCCTTTATTATCAGCTGTCAGCAAGTCACCTAATTGCTGCGGTTGCTACATTGCATTTTTAAAAAAAAAAAGGAAAAAAAGGTTTGCTGTTTCTGTCATTTCGCATTCATCGACTCAATCATAGGCACGTTGAGGGCATTGTTTGACTGGTTCATCTTTGTCTTTTAAATGTTTTGAGCTTGTTTGGTAGGCATGAGTTGTGCTGAAGGAGGTTCCCCCAGGTTGTTGCTCCATTACTTCCAATCATTGTTCCATATTGCATGCAAAACTGTAATGGCAATTTGCACATAAAATAAGCTTTTATTATAGCCTTTTCTATCTGAGCATTTGGGTTCAACCGAAATATTTGTCTTTGAATGGTTTCTTTCTACCTGGAAGCTTAACATTTCCCACTGATTACCCTTTTTATTTAATTTTGCAATGCCAATTTGCACATACAATAAGCTTTCCTTATAGCCTTTTCTATTTGTAAGCCCTCACTTAAGGAATCTCTATAAAGAACATAATTCTTCCTCTTTAGGCACACTGTCTAACCAACAGATCATTGTTGACGGATTTCTTAAACATTGTTTCTAGCGAACTAATTGAAAGAAACTGAAACAAAATCACCCTGGAATAACTTACAAATTATCTTGCCCCATTAACATCTGTGGGTTTGCACAAGGAAATCCATGGGGTAAGGAAAATTGATCAAGTAATGTTTGGGGGGTGCTTATGTTAAAATGCTATCACTTGTAATTGAAATATGACAGTATCTATTACAGAGAGCTCAAAGAAATTCCAAGAGAGTTTTGGAATCAAGGCTACCAACTAATGCATGTAAAATGAGAAGGGAGGGTATTGTAACATTCCTCTTTGATGAGAAGCCGCAACCAATCAAACCAGCCACATCCTCCAGCAATTTCTACAAGCCTGTAATTATATATCAATACCAAATCAATCTCTTTCACTTACAGAACAAGAAAACATAAAAACCTGAAATTGATCACCAAGAATGTTAAGGTGAAACAACTAAGAGCTAAAAAAAACTTTAGAATATAACAGTACTCATAGCAGCATACCGTTCATCAATCTTGATACTTTGAGCCACACCAAGATGGCAAAGACCACCAAACCCAAAAACAGTAAAACTTAAAGTCTAAAATCAAATTTCATAGCTATGCATAAAAAAGGTCAAGCCCTGGCGCACAAAATTCCTCTCCTTACGAGGGTTGGGATGAGGGTCTATAGTAAGCAATCTTCTCTTTACATTTTGCAAAAAGCTATTTTCAAGACAACCCGTAACCTTCCAATCACAAAAAAGCAACCTTACCATTGCTCGATGGCTTACCCTTTAAATTTCATTGCTATGCATGAGGGCCAAAAATGAAGGTTAAACAAGTACAGCAACAACTGTGTTTTAAATTGAGCCAAAAAAAAAAAAACAAACACAGCATCACTTATCTTGATAAACAAAAAATAAATTCAGATCCAACAAAGCATCAGGTGTCCAGATCAACAAGAAATAAGAAATTGATGAAATTAGAAACAGTCTTATCCTCAAATCCAACCAAGACTCAGGTGAAAATGCTAGTGTATCGGAGAAGGAATGAAGGTTGCTAGTTTTGCATGCATGTAGAGAAAAAGACACGGCATTTGCACAAACCCATCAAAGGGTCCAGGAGAATCAATAAGTCTACTACAACTTTCGAAATTCCAGAGCAGTAGCTGTTGTATCACATGAATCTAATATGTTAAATTTCTTGTTTGTAAACAGCAGGACTCAATTGCTACCATTCATGATTCCAATAAAAACTAGTGCTTCAAAATTTGACCCTTTCTTTGCAGATTGACTACATTTTGTTTTCCATATACAGAAAAAAAAACCTCTAATTCAGAGTCATCCAAATGAAAAGAACCCTTTTTTTTAAATTAAAATTTGCATGCAATCATGCACATGTAAAATCGAATGTTCAGATTTCAGATTAAAGGTTTAAGGGGGAAGATTTAAGATTTTTATATATAAAAAACTTAGTGGCATTTTTGTAATTTGGTGGGTAGTCGGCTATTGTGACCAAATTGTCCATAAATATAGGTTCTCATGCGCCATTGGCCCGCCAAAAATTTTGGGCGGCTTAGAGACCTTTTCTTATATGTGGATTTAGATTGGGCCTATCTTTTAAGTCCAACATATTGTTTTGTCCGAAAAAAAAGGCTGGACCCATAATAATAAATATAAGGGTAAAACTTTTATATTTTAGCGTCGGCAAAATCAGCTTGCGAGTTAAATGCATTTCCCTCAAGTTTTATAATGTTTTTATTTTTTTTAACAAAAATAATTATGAAAAAATTTAATTAACTCGATTCGTATATTCGTATTACGTAAAATATTAAAATTTATATATTTATAATATATTTTATAAAAAAATTATGTATTATAATTCATATTAACGTGAAAATATAAAATATTTTTTTTTATTGTTATTATTAAAAATTTAAACTATATCACCTTGTGTCTTTTTTTCGTATTCTTATATTATATTTTAAATTTTCAAATAACTCCATAATTTTTATTTTTTTCCTAAAATAACATTTATTTTTTGTGCATCTAAAAACATGAATCATCTATACATAATTGAAGAATGTGAACTTCAAGATTGAAAGATTGCCACATGCTTCATTAGAGTATAATTAAAAAATTAATATGATAATCAAATATATATGTATTAGTATTTTAATCTCCCTTATGAAGATTAAAACTTTTGTTGTTGGTGTATAGAAAAATAATAATCCTAAAATCATTCAGTAATTATTTTTCTTAGATAAAAATGATCCCCTGAATCCCTTAATATGGGCACTACCAGAACAAACCTTAGTGAAACAACATCAGATCTTTTTTTTTTTTTTTTGATAAAGAACAAAAGCAGAATTTAGGTCATGATACAATGATATTTATATAAACATATATGATTCTTCAAAGGACTCAAGCCTTACAATGAGGAAAAAAAAAAGAAAAGAATTGTCATCGATAAAAGAAAGGATGGGAAAATTTAAGATGTCCATTCATATGAAAATGTAAGATAAACAGAATCCTTTAGAACACAACGAGATGATAATCAACCCAGAACTGCACCTGAGATATGATTAGGCAAGTCATGGCAGCAAGCAATTGTTTCACTGCACTAAGTTAAGGATTTGAGACGTTTCTAAAGAAGTCATCACATTAAGAGTAGCTTTCCATAAACAATAGCAGACAGGTGCATTCATAAAATCATAATCAAGTGAAATTACAAGGAGATCACCCGAGCTCTACACGGATGCCAGACCATCAAGCACCATATTGGATCAATGGTTGCTTAGCTGCAGAAAACAAAGAAATAACTCTTAGATAATGGCTGGTAAGAAACCATGATAAATGAACAACTAAGAATGCAAAAGAGAGAGAATGATCTAATCCTCTTTCTTTCAATAGACAATATGACAATTTATGGTCAAACAGAAATATAACATAAAGACCATAACTTACAATAGCAGAGAAATGTACTTTCAGAAACCTGTACTTATCATTTTTGAATAAAAAAAAAAGAAAATCCCTCCAAAACGGCTTAAACACCAGCACAATTACCACTTGACTATCACAAGTTGATAATAATAACAACTTCTTAACATTTCAAATTGTAAAACGGCTTAAACACCAGCACAATCACCACTTGACTATCCAAAGTTGATAATAATAACAACTTCTTAACATTTCAAATTGTATCAGAACTTTTCAACTTCCCCTGCCCTAGCTTTTATCTCAAAAGACATGCTGCCAATTAGGGAGCATGGCAAGGTCTTTGAAACCTTCTACATTGAAAACAACCACGGCCAGGAAAAGGTGAATGCTGGTTGGCTGGTTTTAGAATTTGTCCATGTTAAAGTGAGTTCTAAAGGCCTTTCCAAAAACAAAAAAAAAGGTTCCACAGATGAAAGAAAAGCTTTTGAGATTCTCCTTCTCTTTTGTTCAAGGTTTTAAGTCAAATCATGCTATCATTGATTGATGTACTGCATCCACACCAACCTCTTGTATATAATCAAAAGGCAATCAAGAGTGCTAGCATTTCATAGTATGCAGAATGATAATTTAACAACAATGCAATAATCGAAAGAGATGTCAGACTGTAAGATACAATAATTAAGTACTAAGACTGCAAAAAGTGTGAAAAACATGCCAATGAGGTTAACTATACATAACCTTACCACTACACAGTTAAGGAAAAAAAATCTTACATTAGTTCAAGGAAGCAACATGTAACAAGCATAATTGCTGGATTACAAATAAACAGCTAAAAAAGAACCACATAAAAAAGCAACCAGCATTTAAGAATGACTAAGACGTGCGCCCCATCCCTACCACTCACCCCTCTATGCTTTTCTTGGTAACAACCCCCTTCTAGTTGACCAACAAATTCAAGAAGTTGGCACCTACCCATTTTGTATAGGAACTAAATAAATGAAAGTGGAAACTAAATTATATAAGAATATATTTTTAAAAAAAATTACATAGAATATGATTCAAAATGGAAAATAGAAGGTCGTTCATTGCCATTGCACAATATTCAATATTATCCATAATTCAACAAAAAATATCCCAACCATCTTGTTCTAAGTAAACTCTCCCTATTTTCGTCTCAAGCTTTCTTATGTGACAACCATCTCCTTTACATTATGTTTGGATTGAGGGGAGGGGAAGGAAAGGAAAGGAAAATAAAGGAAAGTAATGGAAACAATAAAAACCCTTCTTTTGTTTGGATAAACTTTTAATTTAAAGGAAAGGAAAGAGGTAAAAACTCAATAACCTTTGGTTTCCCTTGTAATCCTTACATTTTTAATACCCCAACTTGGGGGAAAAGCTAAGAAAAGGAAAGTTGAAAAATTTTAATTTTATAAAAAGACTATTATATCTATCTTTTTATTAATACTAAAAACCTAGTTAAAAAAACTTAACATCATAATCTTCCTGTAATTTTTTCAAAGCCATCCCTTTTTGGTAAAATAAATTCATGTTGAACAACTATATGGTCATATGTTATTACTTTTTGTTTGGTGCAAAAAGGACATATAATTCGCTAGTATGTAATGTTTTTATGTGATTACATTTTTTATATTTAATAGTTTTATATGAATATATCGTCAAAGTAATAGTGTGCTGAAATTTTGGCAATGGCCAAAAAATTCATCAATGCATGTTTGTAAAACATCTTTCTGTTTCACTTGATTAAAAACCACTGATATAGCAGCAATTGTGAAGCCAAACAAGATAGCAAACATATTATACTCCAAGAGTGCTATAAAATCACAGGTAATGAAAGGTTATAATTAGAAAAAATTATTATAATGAATCATTTCCTTTCTTTTTCACTCTTTATCCAAACAATGGTTGTTAAAATTTTTTTCCTTTCCTTTCCTTTATTAATTTTAATTATCCAAACAAGGGGTATATATATCCTTTCCTTTCCTTTAAAAAACTTTCCTTTCCTTTCCTTTATCGATATTTATCCAAACAATGCATTAGTGACGTGACTAACATAATTTCTCATTCTAAACAAGCTCTCCTTGTTCTTTTCTCATGCTTTCCTAGATAGAAACCATCTCCATGAGTGATTGAATCAAACACAATTATTTTTTATCTTACACAACTAACTAAAGTATCTACACAATAGATGCCTGCTGAAGTTACTTGTAGTATCCATGTGCCACAAGGAAATGTCAGTGATATCATCACTACCATCACTGCTTAGCCATCATATCACTTATTTTTAAAGCTAAGTTCGTATCCATATCAAAGAAATAAAGTGACAAAAAGTTGTAATATAACCTGTAAATTTAGCAACTTCAACCCACCAAATCAGATCTTCATACGATAACCACCAAACAAAATCCACAGATGTCATTAACCAGCTCTTGGCAACGAAACACAACGCCTGAGCAAGACATATCAAAAATATACACGAGCAATCTATTTGTTTCCCACAAAAGCAATACAATGATTATGCTCAGCTAGACTAAAAGAACGCAACTCCTTTAACCAAAGTTCTGGAAATACTTAGTTCATAGACCTATAAAACAGGCTAGAATCTCAAACAAAACAAGTTAAACATCACTCTAGCGAATGTTACTTATCCTACAAAATGATAAGAGCTTAAGGAAAAAAACTAAACTTTGGATAGAATCAATAAACAAAAGAGCCCACGAAGTGAAAATTCTCAAAATCACCAAAGAAAATAAAATATTACACATACCCTTGTCCGTCAAGGTTCCCCTGACCACTGCTAGCTCCACTCCCATACGACCCATCCTCAGCCCCCGCCGTCTGCCAAACGCTCTGCCAAGCCTGCGAAGGAGGCTGAACATAAACACCGCCAGTGGGGTCGACGGCAGGCCTCCCTATCATCATCCCACCAGGTCCAGCAGGCTGACCCATGGGAGGATAATAGTAGGGGACCCCACTCGCGGTGGCCCCCACCATCCCACCCAAACTAGGCTCGTCCTTGATCTCGTCCCTCGGCACAGTATCGACCAAAAAATCGAAAATGTCGGTCCTGGTAATCGCAGCAGCGATGTCGTTTTTCTGAAGCGTCCGTCGTTTGTTCTCCTCGGCGTGAAGCCAAGAGCGGATTGTGAGTTCCAAAATGAAAAGCTCGCAAGCTTTGGCGAAGAGAATGGGGGCCTCAGCGGAGATCATGCGGACGTCTTCATCGGCTTTCATGATCTTCTTGATGCGGGCGAGAGGGAGTTGGTGGTTCTTGAAGTCGTTGACTTGCTCGATTTCTTGGCGTTGGTAAGTCCAGAACACTTGGAGCTGTTGCTGCTGCTGCTGGAGGAGGTGGTGGTGGTGGAAAGGAGGAGTGGCCATGGCGGTGGTAGACGAAGGAGCATGGGTTATGGCAGAAGTGGGTGGCTGAGGTGGATATGAAGAGGACTGAGCTTGTTGGTTGCTGTCCATTGGATGAAGACCAAAGGGGTGATTTTGGCGCAAATCACGGAAAATAAAATCACAAGTTTTTATCTTTCTTTTGGGTGGAGATGGGATTGATGGTTTTGAGAATTGAGATTGATCAGAGGGATAGGGTGGTGGTGGTGGATAATTTAGGGTTAAGGATGTATTGGGTAAGGTACTTACCGTACTGCCATTGCAGCTGATTCTGTTTATGGTTTTTTTTTTCTTTTTTTAATAAAAAAAATATTAATTTTTTTAAAAAATATTTTCATCGTAATTTTTAAAAATTTTCTGTTTCGTTAATTACTTTATATAAAATAAGTTAAGTTACATAAATGTTAATATATTAGAAATTTATCGGCTTGATAGGTAAGAACGGTGTTCTTCATAAAAATTTAAATTTAAATTTAATCGATAATTATTTATTAAAATTATCTCAAAAGTGAATAATTTATTGAATCCGAAATTTTTTTTATTAGAAAAAAAATATATATATATATATATACTATAAATTTTAGCTCAAAAAATAAGATTCAATTATTTTTTATTTAAATATTTACATGAATTCAATTATTTTTATTTAAATATTTATATGAATGTACATGTGTGATTCAGAAATGATAAATGTTAACGTGATAAATGAGATAAATGAAGTTAAAATATTTTTTAAATGATAATTAATAAAATATAAATTTTAAAAATGATGAATAAAGATAAAATATTATACAAAAATTATAAATTTATTATGCAATTTAACATATATATATATATATATTTATGAAACACTCCCATGAGTTCGATAAATTTTCATTTCTCATCTTTTACTCTTTCTAATTCCTAACGCTATTCGATTATAAATTTTTTAATAAATGTTTGCAATACATTATAATTTAGCAGCATGTTAAGGGTATTTTCATGGCAAATGACAGGCAGGCATAGTAACAGAAACAGCAAGACATTCAAGGAGAAGGAAACAGGCAAAGTTGAACAATATCAAAATGTAGAAGCTGAAACATTTTCCAAGTTGCTATAATAAAGAGAACTGTGGCTTCAAAAACAAGAGCAGCTCCTGGAGGATTTTTTTTTACCAGGTGCAAAAAATTTGTCCTTCCAGAGGGTGTTTTGACCTATAAAAAGATAAAAAAGGAAAAAAAACTGTGTTGATCTTCAAAACAGGTTGACAGATAAACCTAAACTCAGTTTTGAAGAACCTAAACCCTGATTGCTGCTTGTTGCATTCTGTGGTGCTGCATTCGACTGCTGAGGAGACTCTGAGAAAAAGAATTATGAACATTCTAATTTCTTGGATTTCCTTTGTTTTGGCTCACATTCTTCCCTATCACCAACATGTTGCCCTAGCTTTCCTGTTTTCTTTGTTGTCTTCTACGGTAAACAAGCATACCTGGTTTCTTCTTTTCCTTCTCTTCCTTGATCTCTTGCTCCATGATGGCTTGTTCAACACCTTCTGCACTAATATTTGGCTTCATTTTTAGATCATTCTCCATCTGCTCTTTTCCTTTGGATCTTTTCAAATCAACCGAGACAGTTTCTTCCTGAGTTCTTTCATTGATCTCCTTCATTTCTTTCACCTGAGCTTCGGTTAGCACCTGAAGAAGTTCCAAAGGAATAGCCGCAGGGTCAAGCTCCAAGCAGCCCTTAGGAGGAGCATTTAGACCTTCTTGACCTGTGATCAAATGAGAAGGGACCTGATGAGAGAACCGAAACAACTCTTTTCTTGGAATCATCCAGGTTTTGCTTGGTTCGGACTGCATCTGGAACACTGTCTTGAAGCCAGGCACCTTGACAAGTGGAGCAACAGCAACTCCTTTTTGCTCATTGTAATCTTCAAGCACCTGGACCATGTCATATTTGTGTATCACTTCATCAGCCGTGAGCTCATTCCAATCAGAGGACCAGTTCCTATAGAGAGCCCAAACATCTCCCTTTCTAGGATATATTTGAATTGCTCCTTTTCTGCCTTTTGACCACTTCACCTTGTGTGAGAAAGAATTGAGAGACATATTAACTTTATGTTTGCCTATCCAGAAATTCCCACTAGTTTTGTAAAAGCCAGAGTCAATCCAGTTCAGTGGAGCCAGTTCCAAGTTGCTTTTAGAATTAAGCCAACTCATCCGCATTTTGAATGGTTTTAATGATATCACACTGTGAATCATTGCATAATAACGAGGCATCCCATCATCATCATCATAAGCAGCCCAAACCTGGTTCCCACCGAATGACTTCTCTGTACGATCCTTGTCAAAATCATAAAAATCTGGATCTGGAACATTCATGGCCCTAGGAACAAGTTCCTCTGTAGCATCTGTAACAGAAACAACATCAGAATGGACAGTGTAAGACTCTTTGGGCTGAATGCTAGACTTGATATCAACGAACTCCATGGATTTGTTTTCATCAAATTTCATCCTTAGAGCATCTTTTCCATTTCCTTTATCCTTCTCATCCATCCCCTTATCAAAAGACTTCGGTTTATTTGATGGATTTGATAGAGAAGCTGGGTTGGATGAATTTAGTTTGCTGATATGTTTCCTAGCCATCTGCATCAGCATATTCCGAATTTCCTCCTGTGACGGCTCCCTTACGCTATTACTTCTAGAGATCCCAGCAATATTCATCCTTCCTGTTTCGAAACCATTCTTTTGAAAACTAGAAGTGCTAGCCCTTTCATTTACTACAGGCATGTGATTTCCCTTTCCTCTTTCATCTCTGTGCCTCTTCTTAGGTCTGTGTTTTTTAGCTGCAAAACTGGAAACAGAACCTGTGGATCCAGTACTTAAACCTGCATCTGTTTTCTGAGATGGGTGAAATTTCTTCAGCAGGCTTTCCTCTCTCATGGTACCTGTTTGTGACTCTTTGTGCCTGCTCTTTAATGTTTCACTGGCTGAATGATTAACACCAACAGCTTGAGCGGTGAAAGAAGCCGCTGGAGCCACATTTATGTTACTTCCTGATTTATGGAATGCGTCTTTCTGAAAATTTTTTGTAGATGAATGCAAGCCAGAAAATCTCCATCCTCTTGTGTCATGAGCCTGATGAAACCTCTGTTGCTGCATGAAGGCAGACATTGGAATATACTTACTACTTCCATTTATAGGTGGGTCTGGTGTCTCAACAGCTAAAAATAACATGCCACAGAAGACACAAGGAAGATTCAAGTTGACATAAACCCTATAGTACTCATAACGCATCTTACAGGAATTGCAGGTTGTCCAAAAAGTATCAGTTCTTTCTGAGTGAGGAGGAGCAGGTTTGGAATAGGTAGCACCATTCTGATAACTGGTGTTTGAAGTATTACCATTGAAGAAATTATGGAAACCATTACGACTGGTTTTCACCGTTGATGATGATGATTGCCCATTTAAAACATTTGTGTAAATGCCCCTTAACTTCTGGTCATAAGCAAGTCTCTTCGCTTTATTAGACAACAAATTCCAAGCTTCAGATAGAATTTTGAAGGCCCCGTCTGCACCGACGGATTTATTTTTGTCAGGATGAAGAATGAGTGCCAGCTTCCTGTAATGCTTCCGAATTGTGTCCTCATCAGCATATGGATGAACACCCAGCACCCTGTACCAGTCAACTTCCCCATTCATCTTTTTATCTGCAAATATGTAAATGTCCAGAGTTGCAAGCAACTGAGAAAGACCATCAAGCTGAGGATACAAGTTTTGAGCCTTCAAAGCAAATCTTTTGGCCCCAGCAGCATCCAACTCCGCAAGTTTCTTCTCAGCAAGCTCTTTAGCTCTGATGGCCTCATCTTTGTTGCAATCCATTTTAGTTAAGCTACTGACTCTCCGCCGGCTTGCTATTTCCTTCTTCAGTTTATTACCTGAATTTGTCAGCCAACACAAAACCAGAAAAGATTCAAACATTTAAAAATCTAAATCAAATTCAAGATTTTCCCATGCATTAGAAGACTGTGATTAATTGTGCAAGACACCAAGTGGTTGTTGAACCCAATATAAGGAAACTTCTTCAGCAAGAATGGAAATGACACGAAGTTTTGCTGGCTTGCAACTCAAGTTAAAAATAATAATGAATGCTTCTTGAGATGAATCAAACTCCATATACTCAAAAAATTCTTAACTGAGACTCTAATGACTGAAATAACAAAAATGCATGGGAAGGTCATTCCTTTCAAACTCAACAAATTTGAGCTTAATAGATTTGAAATATTGCATAAAATGTGATCAAAATGCCAGTAAAAACTACAAACAAAAAGCAATAATAAGATTAATCAAATTCCAATTATTCCAAAAACTCTTATCTGGAAATCTATTAACTAAAATAATGTAAAAACATGCAAGAAAGGCATTCATTTAAGACTCAATGAAATTGGCCACTGAACTTCCATAAAAAGCATACATAGATTTGGAAACAAACACATTGCAGAAAATTTTTTTATCCAAGAATCAATTAACTGAAAAAAAGAAAACAGCGCGGAATAACCATCCATTAAAGCTCAACGAACTTATGTACCGAACTTTCAAAATAATCAAAAAAGATTTGGAAACAACACATTGCATAAAATATCTTTCTCCAGAATCTATCAACGAAAATAACGAATAACGAGCAGAAAGTCATTCATTTTAAATCTTAACGAATTTGAGTACCGAATTTTCAAAATAAGTAGATTTATTTGGAAACAAGACGTTGTAAAAAAAGAATCGTTATCTTAGAATTTATTAATTGAAATAGGAAAAAAAGGCACGCAAGAGGTCATTCCTTTTAAATCTTAACGAACTTGAGTACCGAACTTTCAAAATAATTATAACAGATTTCAAAACAACACATTGCATAATGTGATCACAATGCCATATGGTTGCTGAGAACAACACAACAACTGAAAAGAAAAACTTGGAATCTATTAAGTCACAAATTCAAATGGCTATTGCAAAGTCCTTTTCATCATTTTATCCCTCCAAAATTTTCTTCAGGAACCAAAACAGATCACAATTCAGTTTTGCCTCTTAAAACCCTGAATTCTCGGTTGTTAACTTTCAGGCTTTCACTTCAAACAACAAAACCAAACACCCTTAAACCAATTCCAAATTGAATGAATGATTATAATTTAAAAAGCAAACCAACAAAAGAAATCAAAAAACAAAAAAACAAGTTTACCAATTTACCTCAAGTTTGCCTAAATGAAAGAAACCAACAATTCAACGGAGTATTTGAATTGCCAGAAACTTCAATCAATAGTTACACATTTGACATTCCAATTTGCCTTACTTCAGTGATCATTATTCTGATTAAAACACCAAAAAGTCTATCAGAAGTTCACAATCATGTCTGCAAATATGATTTTTAAAAAAAAAATTGCATGCAAAGCAAAATGAAAAGAGTATACTAAAAATGCAAAGAAAATAAAAAGTGGAAAGGAAAACTACCCAATTCAATCTGGAGTAGGTCATTGCAAAAATCCCAGTTCAGTGTTGATTTTTGCCTATTTTTTAACCTGAAACATAATAAAAAAATAAAAACCCCAAAACCTGAATTTTGAGAAATCTTAATTAGTGAAATAATAATATACTATTTATTTAATGGGCATATGAAAAAAAGTACATTTTCTATTTACTTATATAGGCATAAACCAAAGCATTGTATAAGGTTAACTATGGTTCATTTTTAACTATAGTTAATGGAAACATTGCTATTTGGCTGAAAAAGGAAGCAAATTTAATTAGAACTTATCCTCGTTTAATAAAATTTTTTGTTCATGTTTTTCTAAATTTGGTGCTGAGTAAGGTGTAATGCTGTAAAATAATTGAGCTTGTTCATGAACTTAATGGTCAGAGCCAGCACTCATTTACATTAGGATTTATAATCTTCCCTTGTATGACAGAAATCTTTGGATTCTGTTATTGAAAGAAGAATCCAATTGTATGTCACTGATTGGGAGAGTGGAATCACATTTGAATTTGGTTGCCAAAAATGTCTGTAGTAGCCTAATTTTGGCTATGGTTACCATGAATGGAGGGTGCAGAACATAACTAATCACATGCTCTCTAAAAGGCATCTTATTCATAGATAGAAGGTTGCCTTGCATACTTGGTTACATTTAAAATTTCCCTTTTGGCTTCCATTTTTTCTGGCAATGTGAATTATAATCCACCAGATATGGAATTCTTTGATTTTTATTGCTATTTGGATGAAAATTTCAACCAATATGGCCTGCTGTATTAAGCTGTATGAATAGCTGTTAGATCATTAGATTGGATACTAGATAATACCATACTTTTTTGCAGTTTCTGTCATTGAAATGGGATTTCTTGTGAGTTCATCGTCAGTGCAAAACAATCTGGCTTATTTTGGTGCTTCTCATGAAGCATAAATTGTTAGCAAAATGAACCTTGTTGATACGACTTGGAAATAAAGACTGCCCCGTATTGCTGTTTGGACCTGTTTCTGCAGATGCATTATGGTTGAGAGCATTCATAATCCAGGGAATCCGAACTAGAAAATCTGAAGCAAATTGTATTTCATCAAAGGTACTGTCTATTTTTGTTATACATAGTGATTCCACCCTTCATTAAGTTGTAAAACTTTCAGTGATAAATAATGGAGACAACCACGGTTCAAGCAGCCCCAGAAAAGAATGATTCTTCATTTGTACACTGTTGAGTGTTGACCTAATAAAGCAAGGAAAGAAATCAAGCACAAGGAGTGACAAAGCCGAGTTGGCCATTCAGACTAAAAGAAAGGTGTTGCTTTGTTCTTGACATTTATCATTTATAAGTGGGAAGTTTTTAACAATGCTAATTGCCGGCTTTCCTCAAGTATGCTAATAAGCTCAGTCCAGCCACAACTGCAGCCCCAGCTGCAACAGCACTGTATGCAGCAGCCCACGCATCAGACTGAGCATAATCCAAGCTTCCCGAACCAGAACCCCTTCGTCGACTTTGTGTTCCTGAATAATCTAAATGCAATCTCAAACCCTGCAAAAGTCAATCATACAGATGCCTTAATTGAACTGATAAACCCAATGAAGTTTTCACTACCATAAATCAGATGCTAATTTACAAGTCTAACTGAGACTTGGGAACATAAAATCTGCAAAAAGGATTAGACCTTTCAAGGTTTCCAATCAAATTAAGGAGAAAAATGAAAAAACTAAAATGTGGAAAGTTACAAATCGTACTCTAATGCCTAATGCCGCCAATATCCATTGCAGCTTTAGACTTGAGTTCAACATGCATATCTGTCAAACACTATTATTTTGAATTTTACAAGTTTTGCTTATAGTTCGACAGTCATATAGTCATAGCCATGTCTACCTTGAAGTGTCAAATTTTAATCATACATAGATATGTTATTATTAGGGAGTCAGTAAATTCCACTGTAAAATGCTCCATTAGGTGTACATCCATATAAAGACACGGTTCGATCATACCTTCCACCCAACTAATTTAGCATGCTCCACTGCCGCTGCAAGATCATTGTCTGATGCCAATACAACTTTGTCATGGTCTTCATCTTCATACTGCATAATACACCCACCAATTAGCATACATCAAATACCCATGGTCTTCATCTTCATTATAAACTAATAACTTTTTTCTAAAAACCTACCAGAATTTGAGGCACCCTATTCCTGTCTATGTCATCCTCCAGCCTCTGAAGGATTGCAGTTATTAGATCAGTCATACTCCGTGTATCTGTATCCAAAAGCAACAAGCAAAAAACTTATTAAATACAATTTTTCTGGATACAATAGTAGGTATAAATGCAGGGTGTTGATGAAGAATTAGATCCCTGCTATAATATCTCCTGAACATAATGCTCAGCAAATGTGGAAAATGGCCTGCGGCTGCACACTAGAAAAGTGCTTCCGAAGCAGCAGTGCTAACCAATTGTAAATCACAAATAGATATTAACCATAAGATCAGAACTTGGACCAAAAAAAAGCGAAGGATCAATTCTTGAAGATAGTATCATTTATAAGTTAACTTGCCAATTTGATTAGGCTGCATAATTTTGACAAGTGAAAAGACAACCAACACTTGCACATGTGCCACATGCAAAAGAAAGGACCATATATTCATGGAATTGCTAGCTCATGAGTAGAAAACGGTAGCATACCACAAGTGAATCTATGCATTCGGCCCCTTTTATCTTGTATTTTGAAACCAAATGTATTTGGCATATTGGATGAAGGATAGGGAAGAGATCTCCCTGTCTCTGCTCCATCAGAAGGCAGCTTCAACGAATTATCACTGAAACATCACTAGCAATAAGTTAGAAAACAGTAATGGCACAAATCATAACTGTATAATCAGAGAAATATCAACATAATAAACCTTCGTGTCTCATCATCATCTTCATTGGGAGGTAAGGCCATTGCAGAATCCCAAAATTTTTGCATCATTGTTGTGGCAGCCTCATTATTGATTCCAGAAGTACTCCCAACCTAGTTATTGAAGAAAATGTTTGAGACCATAACAAAAAACATCGTGAATTGCCAAGGGAAATAGAAAAACAAAAAAAATCATATTCTTCTTAGAATTCTCAAATCAATCTACAACAATATTTAAACAAGTTTATTTCATATCAATCTACAACAACATTTAAAGAAGTTTATTAAGTACTTTGGAATAAATATTCATACACTAAAACACTTATCCTGTAAGACTACTTCAAGAACACCATAGTCTTAGAACGATACTGACTTGGCTTACTGTGGCAATAGCGGCATGTGTAATGTGGATTACATCAACAACTGCAACTATCTCTCCATCTGCACCCAACTATAGAAACTTATTAAGAACTAGTTCAATGTACATACAACACTATATTCTTTAAAAGGTAGTAATTCATATCACCTCCATCTACCACAGGAAGGTGCAAAAATTTCCGATCATGCATGGTATGCAAAGCATCAACAATGGGCGTGTCAACTGTTGCACATTCTGGGTTAGGAGTCATGACCTATACATCAAATCAAAAGTCAAATGATTAGAACTCAAGAATGTGCTTATTCTAGAGATTAAAAATTGATAAGCTACTGCTAAAGTGTGTAAGGTCAAGTCATAAGAATAAAATTCTGCTGACATAAAAAAAAAAAAAAAAGATCCAGGCAAATACCTTCTCCACTAGAGTAGTCTCTGGAGGCAGATTTTGTGCTATTACTCGCATCAATATATCCTTTGAACTGCCAGAAATTCAAAGGCATACGTTAGAATATTCACCATCGACAACTGTAACAATTAAAAATAATAAAAACAGCTTGATAATACTCCTTCCTTCCCTCGCTCAGCTACATATTGAACAATGTTGAATTGCAATTTGATTCAATAGAGACTCACGTTAGAATCCCTCGTGGTTTGTTTTCAACTGTCACAACTGCAGAGTTTAATCGAGATTCAAGCATCTTTTTTGCAGTCACTAGAACTGTTTCATCTGGTGAAACTGTTACAATCCTGACAGATAGGCATTATGTCAAGCAAAGCTACTCATATTATCATGTATGAACAAAATATCACGAATAGAGGTTGCATAAAGGACCAATACATATAAATCTCTCTCTATATGTATATATAAAAGAAAGTATTACCTACTTTGGATTGTCAGTAATAATCGTAGACAGTGAGGGCTTGAACATACGCTCTCGAAGTGTTTCAATGAATGTATTATGACCTGTATATCACCCCCAAAAGATAGCTCAGACTTAAAACTGGTCTGCTGATGGCTAAACTAAAAACAGAAAATGAATAACACAAGGACCGAAAATAAAAGAGTAAAAGGCACAAAAAAAAAAAAAAACAACTCCATTGAAGACAAAAGAAAACATTATCCACCAACCAGACAAAGATGTTCCCCAATTTTTTTCTACACCTTCAACAGCTGCAGCAATAGCTTTTCCCTTTTCAGCTGCCCTTTCCATTCGAGCAATCGCATCATACAAACACTTAGCTATATCGAGTAAAGCAATGACTTCCCCATTCTCTACAACGGGCAAGTGTCTAAATTTTCCTGTTTATAATGATATCAGAACAACATTAGAGGGTAAGATATGAGAAAATACATCACATAAAAGGGTGGTTGTCCATCACAAAAGGCCAACCTTGCACCATCTTCTGGAGTGCCTCCACAGCAAGAGTGTCATAAAGAACAAATACAGGGTTCTTAGTCATTACTTTGGAAACCGGAGTCTCCTCCAGATTAAGTTCCTGAGCAATCACTCTTGTTGCTATGTCCTTCAGACATAAAAATGAAAATCAATAAATAAGAGACATCATGGTTATAGTTCACTAAAGGTCCGAATGCAGTAAGCAGGCAAGACACTCCCCCCCCCCCCCCCCCCGCGGGGCCAAAGAATAAATAAATAAGAAGAAAGAACGTTCTTCATGCAAATGTCAAATCCAAAATGCCTGAGAGAGCATGGTTTAAGATATCATATCAGAGTGAAGAAATTAAATCAGGTAGTTATCTCCACTTGTTTTGATATTTATGCGTAAAGGAATTTGTTATAGTCTACGAGGATATAAGTTATACCTTGTCTGTGAGGATCCCACAAAGTAATGCATTAGAGTCAGTAAGCAATAACGCATCAACTCTACGAGCAGCCATCCTACGGCAAGCCTCATAAATGCTTGTACTCTCAGGTACCGTCAGAGCCTTTGACAGCCGCAACCTCTTCACAGTACGCTCTCCTGCTAGTCCCCTTTCCACATGCAAGTTGAAACAAAAAGTCCCATTAATACTTCTTTGAAGATGAAATTTACATTAGTTAGAATCTGCAGCCATTTATCATCACTGATTTGACAGAATGTACACATATAAAATAAGAATTTTCACAAATTATTACTGACTGCTTTGAATTTTCACCAATTAGCAAGATTAATAGAAAATAAATGTACACGATCCACTGTCTTTGCAAGTTGCTATCCAATAGCAGCTTCTACTCTTCCAGAATTAAAATTTCAAAAAAAAAAAAAGAGGCCAAACATATTTTAAAAAGAATAAAATAGGTTCATGTTCAAAGCAGTGCAACTAGAAGAGAAAACATATTGTTCCAACCCTTCAACTTTATTTAAGTACCTGTGTTAAATACATATCCGTCACTTCAACGTGTGCATATCCTTATCAATATGAGAGTATGACCCTCCGAATAAAAGGAAAAAAATTGAATGCCCCCATGTTGGACACGTTGCCAAGCAACATAGGCAACACATACAAGATAGAGAGGAAAATGAAGATTATGGTTGCTAAATTTTTTTAACTCACATCCTTTTGAATATCCCTGTCCACACCCTTTTCCTTTACATAACTCACACTTGCAACGCAACATTGAAGAGCTAACACCAAGTTTTAAACGCAGAAACATTTGTAAAGAATCATCCAGAAGCAACAGACGAATTTTCCAATGGGCAGTTTTGAAGTAGTTAAGATTATGCAAGCAGTAGCAATTAAAGTAAAGATTCCTTTCAAAAACAACTAAAAAAATACTAGTTATATAATTTATAGTCTTTCTTCAATTCAAATTCAATGATTCTTTTTCTTAATAAAACTCCAACAAGCCTTTTACACATCATAACCAGACCTGACAATCTAAAACACGACACCATGATACGACATGAACACCATACAAAAAAGAGACATGAAAATAATACAGTTTAAAATTTTAGCAATAACTACATAAGAGTTTAATAAAAATAAAAAATATATATTTTATGTTTTCACGTCCACACGAATTTTAATAGGCAATTTTCATATAAAGCATGATACGAATATATGAATTTCAGTATTTTACACAACACGAATACACGAATCACCAGGCATAGTCCTAAAATTTTCCTTATCCAAAACTTCAATAATTCTGTAAAATTCAAGTCAAACTAGTATGTTTTAATAAAGATAAAAAAAATGAAACATAAGATTTGAAATGAAAAACTTACATAGGACGAGAAGATGGTAAGAGTTTTCGGCCGGAGTCGGAACCTCCATTATCCAATGTTTTTTTCCGGCCTGAAGAGAAGTTCACCACTGATGAACTTCGCCTCCATGAACCACTTTGACTTGCCATCTCCAGTCCCTGATAAACGCATACAATTTCCAATTTTCACATATGAAACAAAAACGAATAGAAACAAATCAACAAAATAAATTAACAACTTACAAGAGGTAGAAACTTATTTGATTTCTACGTCAAATCAGGTGATTACAATCAAACCGCTAAAAACCTATTAAATTTGCAGGCTTTGCAGCTCGATTTATTGATTAAACAAATTGAGAACAGGTGAAGCGGGAAAATGAAGCGATTTGGAAAACAACAAGAACTGAGGACTCTCGGTTTCAAAAAAGCGCGGGGAAGTTCTTCGAGTTTCGAGATTTTGACGAGAAAAAAGGAACAATCTTCGATCGGAATTCGGTCGGGAAACTTGGATTTCCCGGCACCGACCGGAAAGAGGGGAGAGAATAAAGAATAGGGAGACGAAAACCCTAAGAAATGGGAAGGCATGAAGATTTCGGGGAAGTGTAACCAATCAGATTCTCCCACGTGGACTTTAATAAACTGAAATTGCTCCAATTTGACGGGATTTTCTGGGCCTTCCAATTTTGGCGAAGGCGGTTGGAATTGCGATTGTAACTATATTACATAATAAGTAATAAAGTTAATTACGGTAATTACATCTTTGACCTTACTGTAATTATCATATATTTTATGTTTTAAGTTCAAACCACCTTTATTTTGTTTTTTTTAGTCACATTAATTAATATTTTTTCCAACATATTAAAATTTATTGTATTAATTGTCAAATATTATATTAATATAAAAAAATTATAAATATTATTTTAATTATTTAAAAAATATTCCCATTGATGCAACATATCAACACGTGAATGCAAAAAATTTTGGAATTAAACATGTTTAGAAAGGATTTTTTGTTTTGAAAATTCAAAATTTTATCCTCACCATTTTAGCTTTTTTAAAAAATATTTAAATCTCGATAAAATAATGATAACCTTTACTTATAAAGACACATTCTATTTCTTAATTATTAAATATGAAATAATTTTTTTCTTCAATAAAAATATTCATTCGATCGATTCGATTAATTTTAAATCAAATTATTTATAACTAAATTAATTAAATTATTTTATTTTTTTATAAATCAAACCAAATTTATTAATTTTAAAAATTAACTAATCAAATTTAATTTGATCAATTTAATTAAGTTTTTTAATTAATCGAATAATAAATATATTTAAATTAAATTTTATTTTAAACTCTTAATTTCTCATATTTTAAATAAATTAAATAAAATTATTTAGCAAAATATTCAAATAGAAAAGTATTATGTTAAAAATTCTAATAACTTACGAAATAAAATAATCTATTTTATGTATTTTTTATTTTATATTTAAATTAAAATTTTGATTAATTCAATTTTTAAATTGAATTAATCAAAAATCAAAATTTTTTAAAAATCATTTTTATTTATCAATTATTAATTCAATAATCAATCAATCAACTGAATTAAATCGATTCGATTAATTAATTCAATTAAAATCGTATTATAAAAACCCTAACCAATTTTTTTATTTATAGTTTTAAAAGGAGGAGGATTTATCTCTTTTTTTTATTATTATTATAAGGTCAAATATGGGAAAGCAAAGATGAAAAATCCAACATAAATACCTTTTAGCGGGCAAATTTGTTTCTAAACTTTGTGACTAGCACAAAGAGCATGGATGGTGATGGTCCAATTTGGATTTTTTTTTTTCTTTCTATTTCTTTTCCATTTTCTATATATATAAAAAACTAAAATTGAAATGCCAAATGGATGAGACTGTATGTCAGATGAGTCATCCATCAAATTATTCGAATGTTAATAATTTTAATCTATCTTAGTTGACTTGGTAATAATTAAATAACTAAAGCATGATTATAATATGAGGTATGGTTGACAGTCAGCTAATGATAATGATTAATGTATAAGTATGAATATGAAATTTAACTCAAGTGATTTATATAATTATTTTTTAAAAATAATATTTAATAAATTTAATATTTAAATTTTTATATATGTAATTTTTTTTATTTTATATTATTATCTCTTCTATATTAAAAAAATAGCTTACAAGCACCAATTCATTAGAGCCAAAGATAAGGCTTGGTTTCGAATTTTGACACTCGGGTCAAAGAAGAGATGTTTTACTGATTATTCTGGGATAAAAATTTAATAATTACTGAAGTTTTTATAATTTTATTACAATCAATTAATCCTTAAAATATTTAATTAACTTCATCGATTCAACTTTTATTAAATAAAAATTGATTAATCGTTAACTTTTATTTTTATCTCATCAAAGACTCAATTAAGATAAAAATAAATATTTAAAAATTTAATTGATCCAAAATAAAAATTAAAAATTTAATTGATTATAATAAAATATCACGAACTTAAATTATTAAAAGAATTTTACTGAGGACTTTTTTAACATTTTGTTTTTTTTTTTTTTTTTACAATGGGGAGATGCTTAACCCAATTGGATAGCTTTCTTTTATCACTATATATTACTGGTTGCATTTCTTTGAACGAAAGAAAGAGACCTTCGCATAAGAATTTGGTCCTAATTTGAGATTTCCCAGACTTCAGTTAAAAAAAAAAAATTAATGAACTTTGCCTAGAACATTAGAAAAAAAAAAAAAGAACACATTTTAATGTAATTAAATTTATTAATTCGTGTATTTACGTGTAAAATATTAAAATTTATATAATCATATTATATTTTACACAAAAATTATATATTAAAATTCGAATTAATACGAAAACGTGAAAAATATTTTTTTTATCTTATTAAATTTATATATAATTATTGTTAAAATTTTGAATTATATTATTTTCATTTTTTTTTATCATATTCGTATCATATTACATTATCATGTTTTAAATTAACAAATCTAAATAGGTGTTACATGCCATAGTCGATGCTTTCATTGAAAGAAAAGAATTTCATCGTACAAGGAGCCTCTATCTTTCCTCTGATCTGTAGGAACGTTTGCTCTCTAGGCTTCTATATTCAAAGCATCCCAAAGCAAAAGTATCAAATTAACTAGCTAGCTTTTCTTTTCCATAACATTGCCCATAAATGTGCTCCATTGCATTCTTGAAATCATTCTTGTTCGTTGCCTTGACTGTTCAGTTTCAGTGACACTGTTGCAGCGGAGTTAAGGGTCGATCAGCAATGCTCGATTGGGCACCGATTCTGATAGGGCTATTGCTCTTCATACTGCTCTCCCCTGGCCTCCTCTTCCAGCTTCCAGGGAACACCAGGACAGTGGAATTTGGCAACTTCCAAACAAATGGGAAAGCCGTTATGATCCACACACTCCTCTTTTTTGGTCTCTTCACCATCCTCATCTTGGCACTCGGCATCCACATCTACACTGGCTAAATTTTTGTATGCAGAAACCATTGATCACTGATCATCATATGATCAGACCTTGGTTTCACATTATATTTTAAAAATTTTTTTAGATTTTTTTTCTATATAGTTTGGTTGTGTTTCAATCACTCCTTTGGGATTTCATCATCTCTCTCCCCTGTAGAAACTGCATAGTAATTTTCTCTTATATTTTCAAAATGTAATGGTTTTGTTTTGGGATTGAACTTCAATGATGAACGCTGCACCGAATTAAGGTATTTTTGGCATAGTTATGTTTTTTTTTTTTTTTCATTTTGTAAAAGTTGTCATTTGTTGTAATCGAAATTGGATAAACTTAAATTAAATTTTTTAGTTGAAGTTTGTGAAATTTTTTAAAAAAATATTTAATAAAAATTTTAATAAAAAAATTCAAATCGATAGATCAATAAAATTCAATGTAAAAGTTAATAATTTTTTAAAAAAATTATTTATAATTTAAATTTGATCGATACATATTGAATGTTAAAAATTTTGTCAATATTTTTATTAAAAATATATCTCAAAATTTATTAAAATTTTTATAAATTTTGTAAACTTGATTTATGTAATGAGATATCAAGATTTTTTAATCTATCAATTTTAATTTTTATTTAATTATTTTTAATAAAAAAATTTCATGAATTTTAATTAAAAATTTTTATTTAAATCTTTCCCATCGAAATTTACCCGAATTTCAGTTTAAATTGGGATCTATTATTGGTTTTTTTTTTTAATTTTTTATTTTGAGGATAGGGATTTCAATTCTTTGAGTTTGAGCCGAAAATATTTACAGTTTATTATTGAATCAAATGATGTAATCATTATGTTTAGGCAAATTAAAATGTATAATATTATATTCTTAAAAAAAAGAATAATATTATATGTAAAAAGGTATAAACATAAATTAACTCAAGTGTAATAAAAATTTATTAATATTTATATAAAAAAATAAAAATAACACATTACAATTGTTTTCTACAAGTATTTTAAAATTTTTTATTATCAATATTATAAAATATATTTTTTAACAACCAACATGCATATTTTATTATTTATATTAAATTTTAATTAAATAAACTAATTTCATAATGAAAAATAGCTTAAAAATAAATTAATTACTTCATTCAATTTCAATAAATAGTAAAAAATTCATCAATCTTAATTCATTTATAATATAAAATCATTAGCCAAATTATTTTATTAAAAATTTTTAAATAATACTCTATTACATTCACAAACTATTAAAATTAAAAAAAAAAAAAGCAATTACTCACTTGAACATCTGGGAATCTTGAAAAAAAAGTGTGATTAATTTATTTCTTTAACTTTCTTTTCTCTTGTTTCTTTTTCTAAAAGTTCTTATTTCTTATTAAATATATTCTTTGATAATTTTTATTGGATGAAATAGAGAAAACAATTGATGATCATAAAGTAAGATTAAAAATAACTTTAAAAAAATAATTTAAGCATTTAATAATATCGTAATTTTATCAATTTAAAAGTACATTATTTGATTATTTAACACTCATTAAATCTTTCCTTGTCTAATTACTACTCACTATTCCAAGTAACCCAAGATAATTGCAAGAACCAATACACAATTTTTTCTTGAATCAACAAAAAAAAGGGGGGGGGGGAATTCATTTACAATAATAAAGAAAATCAATAAAGAATTAATAAAATAAATAAAAATACAATTCATTTTCTTTCAATTATAAAAAAATTAATATTAAAAATAAAAATGCAAAAACTTTTTATAACTTATCCTCCCTTTTACAAACGTATGTATTTTATAAATTATCACAAACTTAAGTTATTAATTTTTATAAATACAAATATATCTTTTGATATCTCGGAATATCGTATTTTCTTAAAAATGAAATAAAAAATTATATTGAAGAATAAGGAATATTTCATTGGAGATTAAGACAAGATTATGGGTTAAGACAAAAACTTTTTTGGCATTCTAGAATAAAGGGATGGAAAAATTAGTTATTGAGTCATTATCAATACAATTTATTTAAGAGTAAATAGCTTAGATTATTACCATGACAATGGTAAAATAGAGTCAATCAATACTATATAACTTAAAATAAAAATTTAACAAAATGGGATTCAAATAAAAAGGAAAGATTAATACATTACAAAAAAAAATTATTTTCAAGCGAATTCATTACTAAATCATGAATATAAACAGAATAAAAATTAAAAACAGAATCAAGAACAAAAATATAAAAATATAATTTTAAAAAACATTACAGATATGATTTTTTATCATGTAAATTTACTAATTATCAAGATTAGAGGGACTCTTATACTTATGGATCACCATTAGTAAATACGAGGAAGAGATTTCTTATAATTACAACATGGATAAACAAATTTTTTTTTTACAGTGGGAGATATCCCTATCCATAATTATATAGGAGAAGACAATTTTTAGATGTTAGGGGAAATTTTCCATAAAAATTTGTTTACAAATCAATTGTGATTCATACGAGCTAAATCTTTTAATTTATAATTGGATCAAAGAAATAACTTTAATTTAATTAGTTTCTTTTTATCACTATCAAAATGTTTATTTTTATTCAAAACTTGACCAAGGTTTTTACATTATTTAAAAATATTGAATTTCTATGTATACCATTTTTATCTTTTGATTTGAAAGAAATTCGAATTTGTAATTATCTCTGGTGGTTAGAGGATAAAATACTTTCATGAATAAATAAATCATAATGGATTTTTTTTTATTTTCAGTTATTTTTTTAATTCTTGCACTGGATTCATCAAAATTCTTTTTATTAATATAATTTTTTTATCTTTGATTAATTTGATGTTTATTTTTATGGATCAATAATAAAATACTTATATAGTTTAATATAGAATAAATTGTCCATCATTTTTTACAAACAGGCGAATTGGTTCGATAATCAATGTTCCTTTTTTCATTAATTCTTCTATATTTTGAGCCTTAGCTCGATAAAACAATATGCTACTATTAAAACATTGAAGAATTGAAATCTTAGATCAAAATACTATGTATAGATGGTATGAACTGCCTATATAAAAATTATTGAACAGAATAGGTAAGTCGTCAATCCCTAAAATGGATTATGTAATTATTTATCTATAAGTTATCGATGATATTTTATTAAAAATTTATATTGTATCAATTTATTTTTGTGTGCGTGATATTTATCGAAGCATCCTAAAATTAAAATTTATTTTTTATCATAAATATTCATTAATAGTATACCATATCTTAATATATTGATGTAATTTTTTTACCATGTGTATATTCCCAAAATGATGGTGTTTTTCAAGAATCAAATTTTGTCATCTTGGACTAATCATTCGTTAGAAGGTATCGATCATCAATTCCTAATAAAATGGATATAATAGTAATTTGCTGGTAACCCAAAGTTTTTACTTGATCCGAGACGTCTGATATATATATCTTTCGGAAGTGATCTATTAATCTACTAATGAGTCTAATGAAAGTTTCATCTATTACTTTATTATGAAGTATTGAAATACTAGATCGGCCCATCCTAGCATAATTACTGAGTTGACTTCGATTGAGTCTTTGATCGGAAAACTTCCAAATTAAAAAACAAGGAGCGGATAATGCTCACACGTTTGCTCGCTCGTGTCATGATCGAGAAGGACCCAATATGAATGCAAGCCGTCTCATTTAGTCTTCTTTCTGTGCCCCACGTCCCACGTCCCACGTCCCACGTCCCACCTCCTTTACTCTCTTGTCGCTCTATTTTCTCTTCTCTTTCTCCAAAACTTTCCACATTCTCTTTGCACTTTTCTCTCCCCTTCTTCTCTACTTTTTTTCTTTCTGGCAGAAACAAAAACAAAGGAGGGGCGCAAATGGCAGATTGGGGTCCTGTCTTAGTAGCAACAGTGCTGTTCGTGTTGCTGACTCCTGGACTGTTGCTTCAGATACCTGGTAAAAACAAGGTTGTCGAGTTTGGGAACATGCAAACCAGTGGAGCTTCCATTTTCGTCCACTCTGTTATCTACCTTGGTCTCATTACCATCTTTTGTATTGCCATCGGAGTTCACGTCCACGTTTCCGAATGATCTTAGATTTTGTACCCTTTGTTTCTCAGTTTAGTGGGGTTATTTTTTATGTTGCTATTGTTGTTGATTTCGCTTGATCTGTAATCATGGAATCCGTGTTTGCTATTAAACTTTTCCTCTTTCTTTTGATCTGTGAAATGGTTTTGACCTTGTACTTGAATAGATGAAATGGACCATAGTTTTCATTTCTGATTTGTGGTTTACATTTCTGTTAGGTTTTGGATAGTGATGGCAACCGATCGGGTAGATTTTTTTTTAAGTCTCGATACTCAAATTTTATCTGATTTATTTTAAAACATTAAATTTTATATTTAAATTCAATTTAATTTATATATGTTTAAATTATTTAATTTGAAATTAATAAAATATTAATATAAAATTACATAAATAATAAAATATAATATATATCGCAAGACGAATTTTCATAAAATTCGATCTCCATTTTTTTTTTAAAATATAATTTAATCCGAAATTTAACTTTCGATCATACAAGTTAAATTTGAGTTGCTAATCCTAGTTCTTAGTGCTTTGGTCCTAAAGTATGTGAATCAAATCAAATTGCATTTTCCTTGACTTACAGCCTTTTTTCATGGCAATTTGGTGTGACATTGACACTCTCCCACCTGTTTTGTTTGTCATTTTCTGGAGAATGATATGCTCCACAAATATCAACTTGGGTTGGACTCTTGGGAAAGTTAAGTCAACAGTAATAGTTTAGCCAGCCTAAAATGATTAGATCTGAGCAAAGCTTCAACAAAAGTTAAATTTCAAGAGCCCGTGGTCTTCTCAACAATGGGCTGTCAAATTATACTTCATTGGCAAAGTCCAATAATAAGGCTAAATTGCTAAAGTTGGATTTGAAAAAAAAAAAATTGGTAAAACGAGAATTTCTTTCGTCAAACTTTCAAATGAAGTTTAAAATTACGTTGAAATAATTGAAAAATAAAACATTAAATAGAGATTGATATGATTTAATTCAACATTTTGTTCGATCGGGTTTGATTGTATCATAATTTTATAATTAATTCGAATTAGATTTATCATTGGATTAAAGATGATAATAAATAATAAATAAACGGATATTCGTTCAATTTATTATAAATTTAAATAATTAATAGATTTAGATAAAAATTTACTATTCGTGATAAATTCGGAGTGGATATAAATAGCATTCTCTAAATATCCAATATTTAAATCTGTTTAAGTTTTAATGAACAGTAATGGATATTCAAATTTATATCTAAATCTGTTATCCATTTACATATATAAATATATAAAATTTTATACTTGTAGAAAATTTCAGAACTTAAAAAATAATTTTTATTTATCATTAATTAAAAATAAACTTAAATTTTAAATTAAATTTTTATTTTTTATATTTTGATAAAAAATTTAAATAAACATATTTAGATATTTAAATAAATAGTGCTTGTTTAAACGGATTGAACTTTGGATAATGATATTAAACTTAAACAAATATTCAAACAAATTCATATATTATAAATATTAATTAAATTCGGATATGAATATCTAAAAAATGACAGATATCCACTTCGTTATCATTCTTATATTAGATGAACTGTATTACTGATATTGACTCTAAACTATAAGTACAATTTGTTCCTGAAAAACAAACTATCGTATTGTTAAAATTGGATAGATAAATTATGTTTGATAGGAAAAAAATTTTGAGTGCACTTCGAAATAAAATCTAAGATTATGTTTGTTTAAAATTGGTATAAAAGAGATTCAGCATATTTCTAAATATACCCTAAAATTATGTTTGAACGTGGGTGCAACAATAATTGCCTATTTCATCCCACTACGCTGGATCCCCATGAAGGGAGCTCTACCCTGTTCAGGCCACAAATACATGGACACAAGGTAAAGAAAAAAATAATGAGATTCATATACCAACTTTTTTCTTTAAGTGATATGAACAAGTTGGTCGTCGGCCAAAGTATTATTATTATTTTTTTATCAAAACAATGGAAGGTAGAAACTGAAAGTGGAAACATTTTGAGGTCAAGCAACCCCACATTTCAATATCCCTAAATCCATTTTTTCTTTCTTCTTTTCTAGTAAGTCAAAAGCGATCAAGAGATGATCTTTCAATTATTTTTATAAAATATAAAAATTATTGTATTATAATTTATGTATGATATAATAATTATGAAATATATTTTTAATTTTTGTTAAATTTTAATCGTATTATTTTTGTATTATATTATCAATAGAAGTGTTTATAATTTGGTTTTAATTCGATTAATCGGTTGATTATCGAATTAATTTCGATCGATTATAAAAAAATAATTTTGGACAAATTTTAATTTTTGATTAATTTTGTTCAAAAATTAAATTAATAAAAAATTTGATCGAAATATTATAAAACCTATATAAAATTAAAAATATAAATTTATCCATTTTATTTCAAGTTATTAGAGTTCTTAATTTAATACTTTGGTTTTTGAATATTTTTAATGAATTATTTTATTTAATTTGTTTCATATATGAGCAAATAAGAATTAAAAATATAATTTAATTTAACATATTTTATTATTTGATTAATTAAAAATTAATCAAATTAATTAAATTAATTTCAATTGATTAATTTTTAAAATTAAAATTTTTAATTTGATTAATAAAAATAAAATAAAATAATTAATTTAATTTAAAATTAATCAAGATTGAATGAGTACTTTTAAATTTTAATTCAATAAATTACCGAATTAAAATTAAAGGACTAATTTTGAGATAGTGGAGGCTTCACTATGCTGGAAATTTCGGGCTCACCAGAAGATATTTCGACACGTGTTTTACCAAAGTTTTTGAAAACTCCAAAAGGTTGAACGTGAAACGTCAGATTCATATTTTCATTTCAAAAAGTGCATCATGATGAGATTCACTAGCTTTTTAACCTTTTCATTCCATAAAGATCCAATCCCAAATTCCCGATTCCCATCCAGTTCTGTGAAGCAATCAATTTCCAAAACACGTGTTTGCCTCCCATTGGAGTCGATAGGATCATGGACTGTACGATGATACCTGCGTGTCGATCTCCCGAAGTATCTTGGTGAAAACGCCGAGCAGATGACTGTTTCTGCTCTCTCTCTCTCTCTCTTTCTCTCCGGCCTTCACATTGTTCGACATAGATTGCCTGTTGTACCCTTTGCTTAGCACCGAATAGCTTGAACTGGCCAGCCCTGTACGTTGACTGCGTGGGACACATAAAAAATGTCAATGTTTAGAATATTAAGCCGATAAAATATTTTTTATTGTATTTTTAAATTATTATATTATATTTATAGTCAATAAATATTTTAAATTTAAATTTATTTTTATTTAAAATATTTAATGAATATAAATAATTCTTATATCTATAATTTTTTAAAAAATATAAAAACCAAAATTATTTTTTAATTTTTATCTTATATATTTATGTAAACTTTTTATAAATATATATTAATATTTTTTAAAATAAAAATATATTAATTTTAATTAATTTAAAATAATAATTTATATTATTTAATAAAAATTTAATTTACTAAATATTTATGTAAATATATATAAGATATAGGTTTGGTACTATATTATCCGTTTCTATCTCATAACAATAAAAATTTAAAATTATATACATTCTCATCTCAATCTCCACAATGTAATACTCATCTCTATTTTTTTCGGATAAAAAATTAAATTTTATATTAAATATGAATAAAATTGATATCTTTATTTATGCATGTGTCGTTCCGACATATTATGGACTAAAACATTCTTCCTTATTCTTTTTCTCACATTGCCAATCATCTTGTAATTGAATAATGAATATAATCATTTTTTTAACCGATGCCAGCATCTCAATTTTCTATAGGCAAATTAAGGGTAAGGGTTTTCAACATTGCTTGAATATGAACACAAACCAATTAGAGTTTCAATATAACATAATGTATATATATATATATATATATATTTGTTAATGTAACAAATCGATGACATTATTGATGTAAAGATTATCGGATTACATTTGTTATAAAAGTATTATCCGTTCTGAATACGTTGCATCAACAACTTTCAAAATATTTTTTTAGAAAGAAAATCGTACTATAAAGATAAAAATATTATGCAGATAATAAAATTTGAATCATAAATTTATTAGATGTCATTTATTGAAGATAATTACATAAATCAATTGAATTATAAATTTCGGATTCTTATATGCTTTATCAACGAATCCGTTTGAAAATTTACGAGGTCCATCTCTCTCTTAACATGAGTGCTTTAATGGTAAACAATAGCCAAATTGATATTAGTAGGGATGCATATAAAACAAAACAAATGGTGGGGGTAGTAATAATAATGAAAAGGAAGGACAATGATGAAAAGCATTTTACTAGTGTGGTCGTGTCACCGGAGTCGTCCATGCCAGACTGGACACAGCCACACCCAATGACAGCATAATCACAGCACCTGCCGATGGATGGTTCCTCGTTTTGCTATTTTAATTGCATGGACCGGAACATGTTTTCATTTTTTCAATCTTTATATATTTATATTAAGTAAAATTTTGATTCGTGTTATGTTTTATATGATATATTAAAATTTATATTAATACGAAAATAAAAAATATTTTTTTTATTTTGTTTAATTTATTTATAATTTTTGTTAAAATTTTAAATTATTTTAATTTTATCTTTTATTCGTATCGTTTATATCGTATAGTATAAATGTATTTAAATTTTTATCTCACCAGAGCTTTTTTTATTTTTTCTCTTTTTTATTTCTTGTATAAATATATAGCTGAACATAGAAGTTTATGCAACAAGATTTTACTTGATTTAGGTGGGTTTAAGAAATGAGGAGGGGAAAGGTAGAGCTGAAAAGAATAGAGAACCCAACAAACAGGCAAGTGTCCTTCTCAAAGAGAAGAAATGGGCTTCTAAAGAAGGCTTTTGAGCTGTCCATCCTCTGCGATGCAGAAGTTGCCCTGCTTATCTTCTCTTCCTCTGGAAAGGTTTACCAGTTTGCCAGTCATGGGTAAGTTTATTTCTCTCTCCGCCATGCATTTTCTCATGGAAGCATGTAATTCATGCAAGGCGTAAACTGCAAACCAGTCATTATCTTGTTTGATATATATATATATATACATATGTTAATTGCTGCAGCATGGACAAGAGTATTGCAAAGTACAAAAGGGAAGTAGGGCTGCCTGATTCAAATAATCCTCAATTTAGAACCATGGAGGTAGATTTCTGATCAAGCGTTTTTTTTTTTTTTTTCAAGATTTGATGCATGTGAATGATATTGAAGAAATTCAAGTATAAACCATATACAGCTATGTTATTTTGAAATTTGAAGTTGTTACCAAGTAGTAATTAAATACTCCAAACAGCTTCTTGTTTTCCTTATTCCTTTCTTATATAGAGAAGCGGAGCAAATCTTTTGGGAGATGGAAATAGATAAAAAGAAAAGAAAGATATGTGTGCATTTAAACCCGGAGCTTAGTTCAGATGGTTCATGCAGTCACATTCACAGCCTTGCAACCCCTTTTTTTATACCGAGGCCACAACCTTCTTTGTAAAAAAAAAAAACGATCTGTGTGCGTTTTGTTCTCTGAAAACTTTGTTTCTGTCATAGCTCACTGGCATTGTTAGTTTATCTTTAGCTGTAAAATTGAAGGAATAAGTAGTTTGTAATTATAGCTGCTGATAATCTCACCTTTGTTATTTTCCATTGAAAACCAAACACTTTTTCATGAACTTGATTTAGTTGGTTGTACTAATAATTGCCCTACGCCCAGGGGATCTTTTTCCTTTTTGTATTTATAGTCTAGGATATACACAGCTTAATTGGGATCCATACTCTGAAGAAAAAAGCATAAGGCAAAATATTGATAATTGGCTCAAAAACAGACTTCATTAAGTTTGTGTATTGATGCCTTAATGGGGTTCAGAGATTCACCTATGCCAGGATATATACGGTATATGCTTCTGCAGGCAGGTCAGGTTTTAGCAATTCTTTTCACCTGTGGGCTTAATTCCATTGTTTTAGTTTCATAATATGGGCCCAGAAATGAACTTAATGAAAGCACTATTTAGTTTGTTGCTTATTGAAATCTAAAACTGAATTTTCCTCCTATTGTGCACCGCCCAAAGGTTAAACCTTCAATTTGTTCCTAAATTATCTGCATACTAGTCAGTTTAAACTCTATTTTGATCTACATAATGTGCCAACAGCTTTTGATTTCCTGATGTTCACAGTTTTGGAGAAGTGAGATTGAAGAGTTAAAAAGATCCATCAACACCTTGGATGCAAGACTTAAGTATGTAGCTCTGTTGTTGTTCCCAACAATTTTACATGTTGTCGTGATCATCAATGTTTTTCTTTTTGCAGGCACTTATCTGGAGAAGACATATTAGCATTAGGCATGAGGGACTTGAAGCAGCTGGAGCGACAGTTGAAGATTGGCGTTGAACGCATCCGCTCAAGAAAGGTAAAAGTGGCTGATCAATACATAGTTATATGTATGTGATACATGTATCAGAGAACTAGTCAGGCACTTTTATTTGAATGGAAACTGAATCAGAAGAAAAAGTTTAACCATGATTTCATAGGTGAACTGGCATTGAAAAACTTGCAGATCTATGTCACGCAGTGACATGATAATATATAGCATTGTTAGAAAAAACTATTACTTCTAAACAATAATTTGATTTTTTGCTCATTTGCAATTCCATTAAACAGAGCCGCATTGTTTCGGACCAGGCCACCCTGCTGAAGAGAAGGGTAAGAAAATGCTTAGAACAAGAAAATCCAATTCCCTGATAAGTATTAAACTTTATAAGTCTTGATTGGAACTTGGAAACAAGGTGACTTGTCTTTACACTGCTGGGAATGGAAGTAATGATCAGATTTTTTTTAGTACTTGAAACTGTCAGGATCAAAACCCTTACTAACAGCTGCATTGCGGCTGTTGGCAATGATGATCAGATTTTTAATAGGAGAGAAAAGATGAAATATTTTGTCTCCTCTTAGTCAATCCCCTAAAAATATTTTAGAACTATCATACCAAATTGTCTATGGTATACCCTTCCAGGAGGATATGGTAAGGCTGTCTTCCATCTGAAATATTAATAGCTTTACAACTTACTTATTACACTGAGTTTGATGAAATATTATCAGAATGCAATTCAAACTTACTTCTAGTTTCAATGCAGCATAAACAATTGAAAGAGGAAAACACTCAGCTCCAGAAAAGAGTGAGACTTTCTCGGGCACTTTCTATTACTATTACTGATGTATTTAGCTTGGAAACATAAAGTTTTAAAATGAACTTTTTTCTGTGAATTTTGAGGTTAAGTTGGACGAGGCACAAGAGAGTAACATCAGCTCAAGAATTGTGGGTGAAAATGCTTGCAGCATGTTTCAGCAAAGGTAATAATTAATTATCAATAATCACTGTTAAGTCTTCAAGGCTTTCATCGACTATATATATCTAGCACTTTCTCCTGATCTATGTTACATGGACTTGGGTTAGGAGCAGACATAAGCGTATGTATCAGACACGAGTACTCCATTTCTTTTTGACAATTTTATACTTTAATTTTGAGAATCTAAGCTTCATACTTTTATAAATAGTGAAATGATCAATGAGCTGTTAGTTCATCGATATTGGAATCGATTCTAAACTTGAGAGTCTCGAGTTTAAACAGTGTCCATGAAAGGCTGGACACAAGTACTTGTTAAAGGTAAATTGATGAAATGTCAGTGTAACATAATTTGTGATATATACTTGCCATATAAGTCACTCAAAAGATTTATAATTGCAGCCATAGAATATGTAAGAGTCCTTAACTTCATTGTTGTATATCTAAAAACTTTGAACTATATAGACAATGCAACCTTTTCATTGGATATTGATTCTGAAAAAATTCTCATACCAAATAATCTTATTTCTGATGGATTTGTGAACTTTCTGCAAAACTTGATATATTACTGCTCTTCATCTATCATTGCTAGCCAGACTGAGGGTCTTTTATCATATGCAACTGTTAGCCATGTTAAAAGCTTTTGTTATTTGGAATATTGCAGGGTTCTTCAAGATGAAGATCTCGTTAACGAAGCCGAATGACTAGATATGTATCAGTTACTTCAGCTGCACGCCTTAATAGACTATTGCATGTATAGTACTATTTGACAGTGACAAATTGTTTGCCCTGGCTTTATGTTTAAAAAATTAATTTGCTTTGGATGGTTTTACTTATACCACAGGAGCCATAAAGTGTAAAAAACAATATTTGTGGAGAATCCCCGTCTGTATGACAAGATGTACAGGAATTATAACATCGTACTGCCATCGTTAAATAGCTCTATAGCTTGGGTCTTGGTATGATGCTCTTTCCAGGTTGATTCATGAACATCTTCCATTATATATCTGAAACATTATAACTTTTTAAGGTAAATATGTGATAAAACTTATCATTTCATATGTTTTTGATCATGTACACAAGCATATATATTACTTTACCATAAAGACAAACTACTTACATATTACATCATCCATCAAGAAATGAAGGATGAATCTACTGAACAGATAAGAAAAGGAAAAAAAAAAAAACCTTCCAAGCAAGTGAATACTTGCAGATGATCAATCATTCAATCCCCTTTTTCTAGACTAAAACGATCTAGAACACCTGATATATAACTTGCAGCCCTAGCATCAATGGCTTCATCATAGTTGTATTGTTCCAAACAGCCATAGGAGTCATTTCCTGTATCAGAGGCAATATAAGAGTGCTTCTGCTTTTCTAAATGATCCATGAATGCATCACTATGAAAGCCTGTAGAAGCCACTGAACCTGCTGATGGTGTAGGCTTAACTTTGTTGCTACACCGTACCAAAGATAATGGCTTTCGTGCCTGATACAGAGACATGATCACCTTAATTTTCTTGAATCCTTTACGCTTAGACTCCGTTAACTGATCTTCGAGACCCATTTTATGTTCTTCATTGTAAAATAAGTTCTATCTGCATCTTTATATAGAGCAGCTATGCGCATTGTTGGACAAATAGCTTGGCCCGATGATATTGGTCCAAAAATAAAATATCTTGTGGGATCTGTGTGCATCAGGCCGTAGATATATGGAAATAAAAAACCAGCTCAAATATTATATATATATATATATATATTTATTTATTTGTGATATTTCAATCTCACGATAAGATATGTTAGAGAATATATAAATATAAACTTAAATTTATATTTATGAAATATTTTTATAAGATAAAATCATAAAATTTTTTAAATTAAAATTAATAATATATGACAAATTAAATACGAATTTTTACAGATAATATCTGAATTAAGATGCTTCCAAACCTAAAAATATGAATAAATTAAACGTTATCTATCCTATACAACTTTTTAATCATACATAATAATATCATCTAGTATATATTTTTTGTTTGAATATTTTTTATATTGTAATTTAAAAATGAAAAAAAATTATAAATGTTAAAATTATTTTATAAAATCAAATATTGATATTTGAATCATAAATTCATTGAATATCTCTCTTACAATTCGTCGCATTAAATTTATTTAAATCTTGAATTTTTCTATATGAATATTTGTCTTTTGCTTGAGATAAACTTGTGATGAGCACTAGACCATTGTTATTGGGTGTAAATGTGGCTCAAGCCCCTCCTGTCATCCTGTTACTGTGAAGGACATGGCTACAGGATCAAACTGATGAATAAAAAAAAAAAGAATATAAATGGGACGATATGCTCCGTCACTTCAGTTGGACAAAATAGCCATACGAAACCTCTTCTGGTTGCTTTGATTGGAATATCAAATTCAAAAGTCCAATCAATCCTAAAACAGCTGATGTCTAACCCAGGTTAGGTTCCCTCTATTTCTGCTTTTACCAGCAAACCTACTGTTTAACTGTTTTAAGATGCCAAAATACCTCAAAGAGTCCAAAAGCACTGCAACTTGACTGATGTTTTGTAGCAAGGGACTGGCTTTTGGAATAGCCGTAAATGTGGTGTCATGCTATCATACGAAAGCAAGTGACATAGAGCCCCATATGAAAATTTTTTGAATTAACATGATATAAGAAAGTTTGTGGAATATTACATAATTATGGCATATATGCAACCTAATTGACTACCAGGTTATTATGAACAAAGCGAAATAGTACTAACAAAGGCTGATATAACAGAAATTATATGTAAAATCATGGGGTATCTGAATTATGATCAATGTTTACAATGTTGTTTTAAAATTCCATCTCCAATATTTATCCTACAATGCCATTTCTAAACTTATTTTCTTACTTTTTTTTATGGTAAGTAATTCGTAGGGATTGCAATAGATGATAAACAAACAGATATATATCATTATTCAATATGTTTATGTCAAATTTAAATAATTATAAATGAATAATTAATGAATTTAAATAAAAAAATTTACTATCTATGATGGATTTGAAATGGATACGTATAATATCTTGGATATTGAGTATCCTAATCCTTTTAAGTTTTAATGAATAATAATGGATATTTAAATTCATATATGAATCCGTTACTTATTTATATATATAAAATTTTATGCTTCTAGAAACTTTCGAACCTTAAAATATAATTTTTATTCATTATTAGTTAAAAATGAACTTGAGTTTTAAATTAAATTTTTGATTATTTTATATTTTGACAAAAAATTTAAATAAACAAATATTTTAACGATTTAAATATTTAAATGAATAGCTTCTATTTACACGAATTTGAATGTTGATATTAAACTTAAATAAATATTTAAATAGATTCATATATTATAAATATTAAACAGATTTAGATACGAATATCTTAAAAATTAAATATATCCATTTCATTACCATTCCATGTAATTAAGCTCCTATAGGTAAATATAGTGATTAAATGTTTTGTACTCAAAACTTAGTTTGATTGGTTCAAATGATAACTATTAAAAAGTAATATTCAATAAATTTGAGATTCAAATCTTAGCATCTATAATCTATTTTTTTTATATTCCAACTGTGATTTTTTTTGCATTAAAAATTTTAAATGGTTTTTTTTTATTCATAGGACCAAAATTTAGATGGAGAGAGGACTTCATTTATTAAGTTTTGTAAGATTTTAAATTCAAATTCAAATTAAGATATAAATATAAAATAAAAAACAAATAAATAAATAGATAAATATTATTCTAAAAAATAAGATGAAAATTATAAGTATATAGAGTTTTTTATTAATATTTTTGACTAGTAAAAGAATTTGTCATAGTATTAAATAAAGCAAAAAATAATTAAAATTTATAAATATTCTAAATTTATACTGAGTATAAAGAATTTATAAATTTCTTCTGTTTTTCTTTGGGCTTATTGGCAGTTCCTGGCTCATCTTAAAGCCCACCAAAAGAATCTGATTAGGGTTGGGCTTCTCTTTAGCCATAAACCCACCAAACGATCTAAATCCCTTCCTCTCGTTCTCTGAACTCTCCGTCGTTACCACCAGAGATGGCGGCGTCTATAGCAGCACGCGTCTCCATAAAGGCGGCGGCCTCTGCCTTCTCTGCTCACCGCCAATGTATCGGCTCCCGTAGTTTCGTGAGGGAGGCGGCTAAAACGATCTCGCCGTCGTCGGATCTTGTGAAGTGGGACTATAGGGGCCAAAGGAAGATAATTCCTCTCGGCTAGGGGGTCCGGAAGGTAGCTGTCGACACTTACGTGGCGCCTAACGTTGTCTTGGCCAGTCAAGTAACCGTCAACGATGGAGCCTCGGTGTGGAACGGCTGCGTCCTGCGTGGCGATCTCAACAAGATCACGGTTGGATTCTGCTCTAATGTACAGAACGGTGTGTCATTCACGCTGCTTGGTCCTCACCTACCGGTAATCCTTTCATTTCTCTTTCTTCTTTTGGTCCTTTTAGTCCTTTTTGTTAAAAGAAAATTTAGGGTTTTGGATTTTTTGGACTTGCTTCTAATCAAATTTTAGCTTGAAATTGGATTTGGGTTTGGTGTTAATTCACTTTGGAATGAGCTCAATTACTTAAAGCTTTTACTGAATGAGACTTAGTACATTATGTTTTAATTTCTTCAAATGCAGCAGAAAAATGAGCAAGGAAACAAAATTTGTTAGCTAAATTTAAGTGTTGCAGTTTCTAGAATTTAGGAGCCAGGTTCTTAGGAGCTCTTGGTGTCCGTATACTGCGGGCTCAATGAAAGGACAAAGATTTTGTAGTTTGTTTATGAGCCTTACTGACAGATGCAGAGCAATTTGTATTTTTGTTTGATTTTGAGCTTGACAGCCATCATTAGCCTCATTTTTCTGATGACATTCATCAGATGAGGTCTACATGTTGATCCATTGGGTGATAGCTTGAAGGATGATCTATTACCTTGCAGTTCAATGTTTTGCGTTATCGAAATGCCCATAACTCAAGGACCAAGCACAATATGAATAATGGATAAAAAATGTTGGTCTGTAATGCAGCTTTGATAGTTGTTAAGAATGTAAATGTTGATGCCAAGAAAAGTGTATTTATTCTGGACAGACAAGGCAAGTGAATTGCAATAATCACTCTAAGCTATGAACATGGTCCCTTTTTAATGTTTTTCATTGTGTAGAGGCTTACATGTTCTAGCTGTGGGATATGAAAAGGTGATGTGATAGGTGCAAAAAGAAAAAAAAGAAAAAAGAAACAAGAGAGCTGTGAGCTCAGTTGTTTAGTAATAGTAGCTTAGCACCATCTGCATTTAATCCTATTTTAACAAAAGGAAGGACATGCTTCACTTTATAGATTCAATCTGTGGATCCCCTATTAGCCAAAAGGGAGTTCTTTTAATGAATGATTATGAATCTGTCAAAAAAATATAGTTACATGCAGCACTATGGCACATAAATATCTTCACTGTTTTGTTAAGTAACAATGACAGTTTATGGCAAGTGTGTGCCTTACCTGTGACATTGTTTTTAAAACTTTTTGATTGCTAGTGAATTGAAGGTCCTCATGGAATGCTGCCTTGTACAGCAGAAATGCAGTGGTCTAATGGCTTTCAGTAAAAGTATGGAAGCTAATTACAGTTAGAGGGATACTATTAGTGCTCTTTGGTTTATGTCGTACATGTTTTTGGTTTATTTAATGATTTGCTTTGATGCATTAGTTGATGGTAGGACGTAGGTGTCAAAACATGTAAATATAGGTTAAAAAACTGGAGAAATATTTGTGACCCCATTCCCCAACTCATCAACAATATCGTTCCCTAGAGTTTTCATTTTCATTGCCTTTTCTAATGGATAGATAGAGACATAGGAGCTATCATATCATCTTTTATTCGCAATCTGCCTCTAAATATGGTATGCATAGCAGCTATTGAATTCCGATTGATCAGTATAGGAAGTGGAGACATAGTGATTTCTCACTTTGATAATAGCTTTAGTCAGATTATTCACCCACATTGTCCATAGGAGGGTGCTTTTTATAATAATGACATTATTAACTGATGAACAAAAGTCTGTGTGACCCCACAGAGATTCCTGGGTTTTTCACGTCTTTTTTATTAATATTTTCAGGTATCTGATATTTGCAACTTGCTCCTTCTGGTGCTGTTACATGTCTTGCTGAAAATGCCCTCCTTTGTTTCCAAAACAACGGGTTGACTGTCAAGAAATGCTTCATTCTTGAATCTTGCTTTGCTTCTCTTTTGCTACCATTATTTTCTAGTGTGGCTTTTGGAACTTGCAAGCTCATGCTTGATTGCAAGTCAATCTCATTCATGTAACTGGAGATTTTTTCAATGGTTTATGCTGTGCAGTAAAAATGAATCATATAAGAAATGTTTTAGATAGAACTTTATTTTGTCCATGTGTCACTCAGGGATCAAGTCAATTTCTGTACCTCATTGGCATCATTATGAGAATACTATTTTTGAATTCTATTTAATTTGAAATGTTTTTCTATATTACAGGGCTGCCAGCAGAGACATCAATTGAGATTTGAGAAGTTTGTGACAATTGGTACATACAGTCTCTTGAAATCATGCACAATTGAACCAGAGTGCTTTATCGGACAGCATTCTATTCTTATTGAAGGTTCCCTGGTGGAGGAGACTCACTCTATCCTCGAAGCTGGTTCCGTAGTTCCTCCAGGTAGGAGAATCCCACCATCTGGTGAGCTTTGGGCGGGAAATCCAGCTAGGTTTGTCCGGGCTTTGACCCATGAAGAAGCCTTAGAAATCCCTAAACTTGCGGTAGCAATCTATGATCTAAGCAAAGAACATTTCTCAGAGTTCCTTACTCAACAGCATATTTGGAAGTTGAGAAGTTCAAGAAGTCCCTGGGAATTTCTATTTGATTGCTTTTTGCTGTCATTTTTCCCTATATCGGTTTACTATAGTTTCCCTTGCAAGGAAATAAACAGCCGAAGAGCACATAGAAGAAGCTTTTCCATTGTTCATCCATGTATTTGATCATGTTGGCTGTTGACAAACCAAAACAAAAACTGTAGTTGTGAATTCCAATGAAATGGTATATAGTTAGCAACAGAAGGATCTTGTGGACTAATTTCTTTTGTATGCTGAGCACCTTATTTGTTTACTGTTTTTTTTCTTTTTTATTGTTTTAAACGAAACACGGTAACAGTACAAAAGAAGACAGAATAACAGATTAAAATTTTAATTAAAATTATGTTTATCACTTGCACAATTTTAACGAAATAACTTTTTGCATTTTAAACGTGTTTAATACAACCCAACATGAACAAATTTATCATGATATAAATTATTAAATTATTAAATTTAAATAAATACGATACAGATATGCAAATATTCGAATTGTCGGGTCTAAATAAAAGTACGAGTTTGTTGGTTTTGTTATGCTATTGTTAATTCTTGAAATTCACGAGAATGCAGCCTTCCCGGAATGAAAACACTTGAACAGCACCAACAGCAGGTTACTTTTAGAGTCATTCATCTCAGAGACCGAACATTCCCATAGGGTAAGATCTAATGCTCGGATTATAGGACATCACCAGATAAACAGTGCTATAGACATGTAGAAGGCAATGAGCAGAGCCTTCTTCTTCGCCTCCATGCGAAGTTAAGCTTGTATAGCCACGCCCAATTTCCCCACAGCAAAATATTCCTGCCAGGGGAACTCCAGGAAAGTTGTCCAAGAATGGGGAGCTGTCAACGTTAAGGTGCCCAAAGAATGACTCCCCACGGCCACAGCAAGAAAAGATAAAGCCTCCAAAAACTTCCCTCTTATCAACGGGATTAACAACAGCCCTTGTGCCGAGACTGCCTTTAGAATCCCAACCCAACTTCAAATTTCTAAGGGTTGAGGAGACATCTCTGCATGAAGGTAATGCGGCTTTGGGATCCGAACGGTAAAACTGGAAAGAGTCACCTTTTCTGATACCAACACCATCAACATAAAGGTACTGCTCATCTCCTCTGTTAAAAAACATTTAATTGATTCAATTAAAATGTAAACGAAAGGAAGCATATGCAAAAAAAAAAAAAAAAGCCAATGTGTGCAAAAATGCAATCTTTGCCTCAGTTTTAATTGTTGAATTTGTTCAATCGTGTGCTTCAGAATGAAGTCAAACAAATATTCTACTAAAATTTTTACCTCCATAGTTTCAAAAGTAGTTCTCATGAATCACTATGGTTAGCCCAAAAAGAGAAACAGAGCAAAGAGGGTGAAGTTTTCTTGATCAATGGCCCTGTATATTATCCATCTTAGAAAATCCGTGATCGAATTTGGAAGACATATATCCTATTGGACTTACAGACTCGAGTGACAATGCTTGGTTAACTGAAATACAATTACTCATAGCCCAGATGAAGCATTAACAATACTGCATTTTAGTTTGCTCGTATCCAACAGTGAAAGTATCAACTAATCTAAAATTGAATGCACTTTTTGCAATTATGGCAAAAAATAGCCTCTTGTAATTTGTAAACAAATGCTAAGTATCATACCTCAGAAACTATAACAAAGGGCCCCGAAAATCACTATTTACCTAAGTCGATTCAGCAAGTTATGTCTATGAGCATAGCAGATGAGTAGTTAAGTACCATGAGTAGGTCTACGTCTAATACATATTGATCTATAACTCACAATTCAAGAAAAAAGGCAAAACTTTGGAAAGCAGCAACTGACATGTAGATAGCAGAAAGATTTCCAAAAGTGGGCAGGGCGAGGTGTGGAGTGAGAGAAGGTATAGAACAAGAAAGTTTGATAGTTATACATGACAATTATGTAATATGCTTATACGTGAGCATGTCTGGGCATGGAACCCATGCAAATGAGCCCATGATATGAATGTTGTATGATATATGAAACCAAAAAAAAATGTTTAAGTATCTTACCCTACAACTCCGTGGAGTGCCAAGGACGTCATCAACCTAGGCTTATCTGAGCCAACAGAACAGTTCCTTTGTCTAGTAACCCCAATGAAAAGATCATCGCATTCCATATGATTTTCCATCTGCCACATTTTTCACTTCAGAAAGTTTAAGAGTATGGAAGATTCATAAAGAATACTAAATGCTCATAAGCACATGGATCTTTTGATATAGTATCATTGCATTGGATCAAAATTTTAGTAGGAAAGGGAGAAACAGTCAGTTCATACAGCATCCCCATATCTTACATACTGATTTCCCTAAAGCTCATGCCGTCTTATATTTACTTAGAAGTGCAACGTACCTCATTATTGATATAATCCAGCAAATGTTGACCATCAAGAATCTCCTGCTGTCCTCCCCTGGCAGTGAGACAAGTAACACTTTCAGAATCTTTTACTCTAACAGAAGCTGCCTTAAGCCTTGGTCCAACTGCTGAGACACCATTTGACAATGCAAAATGAAATTCAATATCCCCTACACCTGAAAATCTATGGCACATCAGCAACAGACTACCAAAAAATGGGAAAAAGAAAAAAAAAAAGAAAGAATCTATGAATTGACATCATGTGATATGTTGTAATTTGTGTAAGCAACCAGGATAATTAAACACTAAATATTGTAGCCAACAACGGGAAGAACCAAGAACAAGCCCTTAATGAAATAGTACGTAGAAAACGAGGAGGGAAGATCATGTAAGAAGCAATCAGCAACCACTTAATGAAATAATGCTACAAGAAAATAAGCTAGCAAAACTGTTAAAAAGTGACAGCTAGCAAAACTGATAAAAAGGTGAATTCTGGAATTCTACTAATTCTAGCCAAAATTTTTCTTTGGAGAGGGAGAGCGAGAATAGAAAGGGGGGAAAGGAACCAGTGCCATAATAACTCTAAACTCTGAATCCAAAGCTTAGGGTCTTGAAAATGCCACTTATCTAAAGTGGTGTAGCCTCATTGTGCAAGGTAGTATATTACTGGTAACATGAGACCAAAAGCTGTACAAGGGCACTCACTAACATCAAGCAAACAACAGTTAACAATAAAAGCTAGCAAGATAAGAACTCCTAAGTAAAGGTAACTAACAAAATCTTTACCTTTTATGTAGACATGTGATATCAAACTTTTACTGGAAATTAACTCCCATACTTTAAAAAAATGGAAAACAAACCATTAAATATGGCGCAGATTTCCTAGCGCACATGCTTGCAAACACTCCAAGAATGAATCTTATTCCATTAACAAAATGTTGCAAGTGCAAATGTACTTATTGACATAATAGGATTGACATGTAATACAGGTGATACTCAGATTTCTTAGGGAATGAGATCAATGGGATCAACTATCTTAACTTCTTATACTTGCAAAAGGAAATTATGCATATGTTAGCAATTAAAATACGTAATAAGTTTCATAAAAATAAGAAATAAAGAAATAAATATATAATAAAAAAAAGTTACCATGGGCTTTGTATCTATCTTTGGCAAATACAAGAGCAACAGCATCAGGAGAAAGTTTCAGTTTATTGCTGATGTTTCTTGACTCATTACCACTTCTATACACAAATTGACCTCTCTCATCACCCACAATGATTGTCTCCATAGGCATGGCAAAATCTGAAATGGACAAGATATTAGAGACAATAATAAAGCATGCACAAATTTTCTGAATAACAATGAAAGGAGGTAAAATGGAGCTAGGATTAATCTGACAACCACCTAGGTCACGAGATGGGAGTTTTGAAAAGGTGAGATGGAATCGGCGTAGAGATCATAGGCTATGTACGTATGATTGATCTGACATTTATATGATCCATTTTATATATTGAACAAAAGGCAGAATGTATTATATGCACTAATGGCCGTGCCTCCCTTCAGGCCAATGTTTGTGCTGCTAACAGTAGAATGAGATGAGCAAATCATTATTTGCTTATTATGACTATCAGTTTGATGGAAATGAGAGGCCAGATTTTTTACTATTTTTTCTTAATTATATGTTCTTGCCAATTGAATTTTAAAAAGAATAAAGTTTTGACTAAGCCAGAAAGAAACAATAGGTACATTACAGTGGATTCCTTTGAATTTCCTATGAACAGATGGTTTAAATAGTTACTTCCCCTCAGTTCATGTTTATCAGAGGAAGGTACAATTTTGTTCCATTGAAAGCAAAATGAAAAATAAAAATAAGGGAAATGGAAAAACTTGCCTAACTTTTCAATGATAGGTTTCTGGTCAACATCTTCATCCTACAAAATCCCAACACTGCAGGTCAAAAGTACAATCAAGTAAAAAAAAAAAAAAAAAACTAACTTGAGGAGACAATGGATAAATAAACTAACTTGAAGAGACAATGGATACACAAGGAAACAGAGCAACTTACTCCAATCATTATAATAGCAAGGGGTGGTGTGCAACCCGCTACAGAGTACGTGTAACTCTTAATATCCATCACAAAATTGTCGATATTTGACCCTAGAGGTGCCTGATATATCAGTAAAGTTCTCCATGTTAATTTTCCTTTAATAAATCCAACCCAACACACACAAGTTGATAATGCTCCAGCAACAATGGTCATCAAGACTGAATTTTTGTTAGCATCCCACGATATTACTATTTCAATAGCAGAAGAAAGTTTCACCTTTTTCTGTCCTAGAAGAGGGATAGCATCAACTTTAAGTCCTGGAACATATCCAACGGTCAATACCATGCCAGTATTTGTAGAAACTTCATCATCAATATTACCATAAGTCCACTTGACCTGCCATTTGAAAAAAGAACATTAATTGAACATCACAGTCATAACAAAGAACAGAAAAATACTTAAAATTAGAGTGAAAAAACCTCTCTAAATTCATGAGTAAGGGCATCTCGACCAATGATTCCGCTAACAGAAGATAAAATAATAGGAGTTCTTGTTCCCAATTTCTCTACCATCTGACCAAATAAACACAAAAGGAAAATAAAAAATATATATATTTTAACCCATAAAAAAAGAAAAAGCTTAAGCTTTTTGAATTCATACGAATTGGAGAACATATTTGAGGTCAAATCCAGGACCAACACTGGCAATAGCAAAATGGGGTCGAATTGGTTGTGACATAACCTTGTCAAAAACCTCTTGTATAGCAACCTATTTTGAACCCAAAAAAAATCAGCTAGAAAAATGATGAGAAAAATCAAGAGAGAGAGAGAGAGAGAGAGAGAGAGAGAGAGATACATGAGGCGAAGGGTTGAGGGAGATGGCGGAGGAGAGCTTAGGGCGAGAGAGAATGCGAGTGCAAGCGGCGTTCCAGGCCTTGGAAACGCCAGAAGCGGAAGCGAAGGAGTTGGCGGGTAGCCTCGAAAGTATTTTCTGAAGAAGATCATCGTTCATTAGAGAAAACCCTTTGCTTTCCATGACTTCAGGTGCTGAAGGTGATGGAGATGATCGATTTTTCTTCCCCAATGAAGTGAAGACTCAAACAACTGAAGATGAAACAAAAATGTCAGTTGCTTGCTTTGAACTTCAGCCTAGACTCTACTTTATTTACTAAAATAAGTTGAAATTCGTTGCTCCTTAATATTAGACTTTGATGAGGCTCCGTTTGGAAATCATTGAAAATGGTTATCAATGGAAAGTAATTTGGGATCCATGGAAAAACTAAAGAAGAGACGCGAAAATCGTCCACCGTTTCTTTTGGGCAGAAGACAATTCTGGTGAAGACTGAAGACCTACAAGCAGCCCCCCAAGGCTCAAATCCTATGCATTTGTCTCTTTCTTTTTGTTCTCCATAACCCACGTCAGGGTTCTTCAATTTTTTATGTTCTTTAATTTTTTCTCAAAATTTTCACAAATAATTTATGTACTTCAGAAAACCCATCAAAACCTTGAACCAACCTCCACCGTCTTCATTCCTACTTCACCTCTTTCTTTTCCTTCAACTTGCATCATCATTTTGATGCCTCCAAAAGAACCCATAGAAGGATACATCTTCAAATCCCTTGGCTTCTCCATGATTTCTTTTATTAAGCTTTTAATCTCAAGCTAATCTTTGCTTATGATGCCGTCCTTACAAATATATCTAACAGTTCGTATATTTAAATATTAAATTTATATATTTATATCATATGTTATATAAAAATTATATTTTATAATTTTTATTAATATAAAAATATAAAATAAATTTTTATTTTATTAAATAATAAAATATTATTATTAAAATTTTATATCATATTAATTTTTTATTTTTTATTTTTTTCATGTCATATTTTAAATTATTATATTTAATTAAAAAAATAAAAAATTTCAACTCCAAAATCCTATATATATATATATATCATTCTCTTTTTCACAAATTTTACTTTGTGGTTTTTTTTTTTTATGGGTTTTTATGAATTTGAGATGTGTTTTATATATTTTAAAGGTTAAATAAGAGGATGAAAGAAAAGAGAAGATAGGATAAAAAAGAAAGTACTTTAAAAAAGGTCAAATGAGTATTTAAAATAATATTTATTTATTTGTTATGATTTAATAATTTATATTTGTAATTGAATATGTTAAAATTCGAACCGAGTGCGTATCATCAGAACTCCTTTTACTCGTGAATGGTTTTATACAATTTGGACTCTATTAATATTGCTGATAAAATGGATTTTTTGCATTTTCAATATGCTTTTCCTTTTGCTTTTATTTTTTCCAGGAAAGAAAAACAAAAAATAAGCAGTTGAGTGAACAATTAAACTTAAAACACTGAAATTTTGGCTGAAAAGCCTCAATCTCCGAATGAGTTGCATGCATGCATTATTGGAAAGAGAGATTACCTTAATAATCGAGCTCAATTTAAACATTCTAATGCTTGAATAGTTCATCAACTTAATTAATTTATTCTATTCAATTTGATTATATCTTTAATAAATCTTTGAAAACACCCAGTGCCAACAGTAATAGTAGTAGCCATAAAACAGTAAAGGTTTTTAGAACTTATAAACTATTTGAGATTACTTCAAATAAAATTTAAATTTAATTTAATAATTATTTAAATAAATTTAAAGTTAAATAATTTGATTCATTAAACGAATTAAATTTAAATATTTTAATATTCAATTCGAATAATTTATGAACTTAATCAAATTGATTCGAGTCTCCGAAACCCTCACCATTGCCAGCGGTAGCAGTAAAAGCCATGAAGCAGTAAGGGTGGTTTTGGGAACTTGAAGCTGTTTTCAGAAATTTCAGGTTTTCGAAGGCTTTAAGACAGGATGATAATGCAGTGTCCGAGTCCGAATGGTAGAATAGGAATGTATATCCAGGCCTTATGCCAACACCATCAATAACCAAAAAGTCTTCATCTTCTCTATCGAAAACCAGAACATGGAATCGTTTCTTCTTGAACAAAGACATGGTAAAATGACAAAATCCTGATGGCCATTATTATTTGGTTTTAGTCTCCATGATTTGGATGGATTTGGACATTTAGTTATGTTGGAAAAGATGGATTTAAAGTTAATGTTTCTGGTTTTTGAAAATGATTCGTGATATTCATTGAATTTTCGCAATCCAAATTTGAGGTGAGTAATTGATTGATCCAATCAATTTGATTTGAAAAAATTAATAATCAAATAATTAAATTAATTAAAAAATTTTAGATAATTGATCATAATTAAATAAATTAAAATCAATTTGATTCGATTAAATAATAAAATTTTTAATTATTTTTTTATTATAAGCAATTATTTAATAATAAATATAATTTAATAAAATTTAAATTCAAATATTATTCAAATTAAATTATTAAAAAATCTAATAATTTCAACAATATTTTTATAAAAAAATAAAAATACTCATCTTGATTTTTTTATCTTTACTTATTAAAATAAATTAATTTAATCGATTCAATTATCAATTTTAAGAATAAAAAATTGATCGAATTAATCAATTTAATTGATATCTAAAAAATCAAATACAATCAAATTCGAATAAATTAAAATAAATCGATCGAATTTATTTAATTTTGATCAATTTAATTAATTCTAACGGACTTTTACTCTCCTCTAAACCTAAAAGCCAATTTATTTTCTAGATTTTCCTTTCATATTTCTTTGGAGAAGGTAGATATAAAAAGCTACAATAATCCTTCAAAAATATGTGCCATCATCTACTGAACCTCCAAGCCACAGGCAACAAGGCAAAGGTTCACCCAAGAACAATGGGTTCCATTTCCCTGACTTATACGAGAGACCTGGCTCATTAAAGGAAACAGGCCCCTGCTTTTTTTTAATCAGGTTAGGTTCAATTCTGGAGATGCGGGGTATCGATCCCCGTACCTCTCGCATGCTAAGCGAGCGCTCTACCATCTGAGCTACATCCCCATGTCTCTCCCCGGCTGCAAAGAATTCTTTTACCCAGTCGAACCTAAACATCTGGATAATAGTTGGGCGGCCGCAAAGGTGGAAAAGATGAAATTATGAGTGAGCGCATTTGGGATTTATCCCAATCAGTGGATAGGCGATGGTGATGGTGATGATGCGACAGAGGCCGAGTAGTAAAGTCAAAGCTGATGCTAAGTAGGCGTCATCGAATATGAAATCTGACATGGAAATGATACATGACAGAATTATCGAGGAAAAGTTGAAAAAGCAATTAACTTTATTGGGTGCATGCGCAATTTCTGAAAGTAAGTTTATGTTTACTGTGATCAGGTTGATTTACAACATAGAAATGAAGCGTTACTGTCTTGCCCTTTCTTAAAATCTATTATGCCACGTCTATTAAATTTTTAATATTTTAATATTTTATATTTAAATTAAATTTTTTATTTATTATAAATTGATTTTAAATACGATACTTAACACTCTTAACGCATGAAGACAAACAGAGTAGGCATGCTGTTGGAATTAAATCTTCAATGGCGTTCGAGACTGGGGAGAAAAACGAATCCAGCCCCATGTTGTCTTGTGGTGTCTTGTCTCAGGATTTCCACATCCAATGAACTGGCAGCCTCATCAGCCAGCCCAGGTTGAAAGTAAGCTAGCTATAAACAGGGAACAAGAAATGCTTCTCGAAAGCACCATTTGGTTCTGCTACACCGGTACGTGACAAGCAAGTTAAGCATTAAATAGCAAAATTGTTATGACCCATTGTCCGATGCAAAACCAAAAATACATAGGAGAGCAAAACAAGAAGAAACTAACTCATTATGAGAATTTAAAATTATTTCAATTAATTCATTCAATTATTTTAAAAAATAATTTTTATAAATTTAATATTTAAATTTTAACATTTATAATTCGTTCTCTTATATCTATCTCCACGACGCGGCTTTCTTTGTAGTCGGAAAAACTTACTGGCTTTGAATAATAAATGAACTAGCAAGAGATTAGAGCTCAATATCTGACCTCTATCAGCCATGCTTCCTCTCTTACTTTGCTGATAGCTTAATTTCTTAGTCAAATCTATCCTATACCTTGCAAAATCATTCTAGAGCGATCTCTGTAATTATCAAAGATGACATGTTTTGGCAAAAGATCTTGCCCAAAAATAAAAGGATAAAAACAAATATATATATGTATATATTAAAGCATGTCTTCATTATTTGTCTTTGATGAGGAACATGACCGACAGCACGAGAATGTTATAAACATGTCTTGATGTTGGACTGTGGGTTAACAAACAACACATTTTCACAAAGGATTGTACGTTTGTATCTGTCTGAGGATGTGTTCAAAGGTTTCAGTGAACTTCTCCACCGGATGCGTGTGTATCCCTTCATAGGTAGTCACCACAATTTCATCATCTTTGGAACTGCGTTGGACTTGTTTCTTAACATTGCACTCTTTATGCGTACATTTGTAATAACTTCTGCAAATGAAAGAAAGATCCAAAATGAGTAGTTATGGAACTTTGGTTCATTTGGGACTGTCTCTTTTCATATATATATTAACATAAGTTTTCATGTTAAAGGACATGAAGTCATGAACTGCCAAATTTCTTCCCTTGGTTCTTAATTCCAAGCTTTTAAACTACTTGGTGCAACTTTAATTTAATGTCTATGCTATATATGACTTATAATATTAGTGGAACTACTTTATTTTATAAAAGAGGTCATAAAGATAGATAGAGATGACCGATATTAAGATTTGAAATTAAAATTTATCTGATGTCATTTTTTAAAGATGATCATTGATGAATCTATTTAATCATAAAATATAACGCGTAAAATCATTCATGAACAATAAAATTTCTTCCTTTTCTTAATTCCAAGCTTTTAAATTAATTGGTGCAACTTTAATTTAATGTTTATGCTATATATGCCTTATAATATTGGTGGATCTACTTTTTTTCCTTTTTTTTTTTACAAAAGAGGTTGTAAAGATAAAAAAAAAAAAAATTACAGATCATATTGAGATTTAAAATTAAAATTTATTGGATATTAATTTTTAAGAGTAATTATTAATGAATTTACTTAATTATGAGATATAATTTACAAAATCATATGTAGATCGAAGATTCGAATCTCTTAAGAGAAAAGAAGATTAGTAGAGAAGATCATATTCATACCTTGGGAATTTGCTATTCTTAACTGTTTTTTGCCCATATTTCCTCCAACGATATCCGTCATCAAGTATATCAACCTGGCTTCTTGTTTGAAATGCATATTTGTGCTTCCTGACTATCCCCTTATTGTTTCCTTTCTTCCCAACCTTCACCTCATGACTCTCAGACACGTCCTTGGCATCCAAATTCTCACATTTTTCACTACTCGTTTTAGTAATTACATCGTTGGCTTGCAAATAACTTCGATGATTCGCCATGGTTAACGAGGAAGGGGAGGCTGAAGATCCTTCCGGGAAAAGTATGTGGTAATTTTCCATTAAAAACGAAGGAAAAAAAATGAATAAAGCATAGGAGATTCGGAAGTTGATATGAGTGTATATATATTAGAGAAAAAAATAGAATATATGTAGAAAAAAAGGTGGGCGGCGCAATGGCAAACGTCCATAGTCACTGAAAACAGAGAAAAATCGATGCATGACCGGAGGCTAACTTTGTTCATGGATGCATCCCAAAGAAAGTTGAGTCGTGAACGTCACGTAACATCTTGATTAGAATATTTGGCTAAAATAAACTTAGATGACATTCTGATAATATCATATTGCATGCAAAACAATAATAGAAAGGTAGGGTTTTTATGTAACTTGTAATTATATTAAGAATGTGTATTTTATGTATTTTTAGTATATAAATTTTATATATTATTGTGAATAAGAAAATAACACATAATTAATAAGTTAATTAATGAGTAAATATCGATCTTTAAAATAAATATATAAATTTTTTTAATTTATTTATTAATGAAATATTATTATTTAATTTACTTCATTAATGAAATAATATCATTTAATTTACTAATAGTATATAATATATTAAATATAATTCTTTTTAAGAGTAAATTGTTTAGATATGTCAAATGAATAGGGTATAGACAAGTAAAACATTCTCTATTCATATCTTCAAATTTAATATTATACACATTTTCATACTTATACCTTGCGGATATTTTAAATTCATCCATATCCCATTCCTCATGAGTGTTTAATAAATATAAATAATCTCTATACTTGTGATTTTTTAAAATATATATCTATTTATTTTTATTTTTATTTTTATCTTAAACATTAATTTTTTTTTTATAAATATGTATTTTTAAATACAAATATATTAGTTCAATAAATTTAAAATAAAATTTATATTATTAAAAAATTAATTTATTAAATATATATAAATATATATAAGGTATATGTATAGGGCAAGAGCTGTATTACTTATTTCTGTACTCGTACTTAATAAAAAATTTAAAATCATACTCATTTTTATTCTCATTCTCAAAATTTAATATTCATTCCTATCTCCATTAAGATAAAATTTTGATTCTTTGTCGGGTTTGAATGAGATTGACATCATTACATGCAATAATAAAAATATAAAGATTGTAAAAAATGAGATTAGAGTTAAAATTTTCATTATATTATGACTCAATGTTGAAATTTGTTATTATATTTTCAATTTCTTTAATTTTGAACAAATAGTAGAATTAAAATATTTCCTGAAATATTAAGTTATGTAAGCATGAATTTTTATTAATTTTACTATTTTTTACTAAAAAATAAACAAAACTAAACGTTTAATGGCAAATTCAATAAAATTAAAATATGATGTCAAAATTCAACATTAACCCATGAACTATTGTCAAATTTGGATTTAATCTAAAAAAAAAGAAGCAAAATTGCATTGTAATTAACTGGAAAATTATATATAACAAACAAAATAAAAACCCAATAATAGTTTTTTTTAAAGAATCCAAAAGAAATTGGGAAATTGAAAACTCTAGTATAATTGACAAAGTTTCAGCTTGAATGTTGTGGCTTTCTGTTTTTTAATTATTGAACCTTCCCCAAAGTCATCTTTCAAGCATGACCTCTTTCTAAGAATTAGGCGATGATGATGATATTTTCCAAGACTTTGAATTAATTTTGAAGATTGGACGGTGCATGGATTATTTGAAAGTGATATGAACAAGAAATAAATGTAAAGCTCTGCGTCAGATCAGATTTTTGGGAATGATAATCAATGGCGGATCAGAATTTCTTTTAAGAGTGTTCATTTATAATATATATATATAATTATTGTTATATTTATTAATTTTATAGTGTTCAAGAAAAAAAATTTTCAAAATTTTTTTTAAATATTTGAGGCTGTTAATAAAAATTTTTAGGATGTTCAGTAGAATTTTTTTTTTTTTAAGTTTTATTATTTTTCAATTTTAAAGAGCTCATAAACACCCTTTAGTAATGACTCGAATATATTTTTATTAAAAAAATCACAATATATATTAAATATTATATTTTAAAAATAATTACGAAAATCAATTAGACTTGATTTCGAGTTCAAATACATCTAATTACCTAATCTTTAATGTAAATTAAAATGGTTAATTTATGCCATATATATTCTCATAGGAAGTTATTAATTTCATCTGAATAATTAAGCTGTAGTTATTGCTTGTGATATTGAGTTGAGTCCATGGGCAAATTCAATGACGTCAGATGACTCTGTTCATGGCATCAGCAAAGCTTGTTGAAGTAACAAGCAAGTCCCCATGTGCTTTCTTTTTCTTTTGAACCTCTCGACGAGTTTCAATGCCGCATTGCTTCAGGCCCCGAATTCTTGCATTGGACAATAGGTTGGAAAAGCATCGCCATTTGATGAGACTAATATGGTTTAATTCAAATCTCTAGCCCGTGGGTGACTCTGTTTGTGGCTTTTTTTTTTTTTTTTTGTTGGAATGTTCCTGAATTTGCATGATTCTAATACCCTTTCGAGCGATTTAAGGATACATTTCTTGCAAAGAAACCTGGTTGACAAATGAGAGCTTGAAATTTGTAAACCAAACAAATTGCACATGCTTTTGTTTGTGAATCCAATAATCACACTAGACATTTAATGTGACACCCTAATTTTATATCAAAAAAATTTTGAAAATATGTTATAATATATATTTAAATTTAAATTTATAAGATATTTTTTATAAAATAAAATTATAAAATTTTTATATTAAAACAAATAATATTTCACAAGTTAAATATAATTCTTCACAAATGATATTATTCGATCATCAATCAAATTAAAATTAAATACTATATTATAAAAGTCACTTATAAAATTTAAAAATAAAGTAAACATTATATATTGAAAGTCACATCTTAAATTTTAATATTTGATGTGATTTAAGTTTTATATTTTATTATGTAGTTCTATTTGTGTTTTATGTTGAGTTTAACATTCACCTGAATCATTATGTTTTAACAAAAAAAATTATAATATTTTAATTGCACATAAAAAGATTTTAAAAATTTATTATGATATAAATTTTAAAATTTAAATTCAAATTTATAAATTTTTTTTATAAAATAAAATCATAAAAATTTTAGATCAAATTTACAGGCTATAAAAACTTTAAATTAAAACAAATAATTCCTTGTACCTAATAAATTAAGGGCCAATCTTCGCATTTTAGAACATCGTACGATCAGGCCTTTGCTTCCAGGCATTTGCCAAAAGGCAAAGGATAGCGTCCAAGGGGAGCAAAACGTGACAGAAGTGGACAATTTCCTAAAATAATAGCTTGTCCTAATCTACTAAAAAAGTGCCAAAGAAAGAATAAAATTAACATAGATTTCGCTTTGAAATCAAAATTAAGGCATTGCCAACTGTCACGATGAAATGTGATTAATTCATGCAAACTACACTTTCTTTCAGCCCTTTAGCCCCTGAACTATGCAACCAATTTGACTGACAACAGTGCGACAATGACAATAAGAAAGGATGCAAGTCGGAAAACAGCTGGAACGAAGCAAGTTTTTCTCGAGAAAATGAAACAAAGAAAGGAAAATTAGCTCCTAGACACTGGGACCCCACAGGCTCCATAAACGAGAGTTGAATAAGCCCACCACGTCCGGCAAAACCTTCCTGGCCAAACCCTTATGGCTAACCGCAGTTGATACAGCCACCACCTCCATTTCCAGGTTTCCCGTCACCTCCTCACCCACATTTTCTTCACCTTCTTGTTCACAGCCACCACTGTTCTCAGCCTCCAAGCCCTCACTTTCAACCATCAATCTTTCACTATCTTGGGACTGCTCTTCTTGTAATGCATTAACAGATACAGCATTGGATTCACAAATGCTCAGCATTACCTTATCTTTCTTCCTGGAAGCTTTACAGTGTTTCTTGGATACCTCATTTTGCATCAAATGGTCTTCAAAGGCCTCAATGACTTGATGAATAAGGTCCCTGTTGGGTGAAGAATCCCATCTGTGCCAAAACCTGGTGTAACAATCAAAGCATCCACATTGAAAAAGATGGTTTTTGCTTTTCTTGCACTTGTTCTTGGGTTGATGGGTGAGGGTTGATGGATTTGTGGTGGAAATGATGGACCTTGTTATCATGTAAGCCAAGACTTCTTGGTCTTGGGGTGGGAGAGCTGAGGCTAGAGCTAGAATTGCTACTGGGAGAAGCTTGAACACAGTGTTAGGATCTCTATACGAATCTAGTGATGAGGGAGGTGACGATAGAGAAGGGTACACTCTGCCTTTCTTCTTCACCTTCATTTTGGGCTTTTCTATTTGTCTCTCTTCAAACTTCCAAGCTTTTCCTTTTTTCTTGAAATTTTTTCTGGGGGGTGTTTTGCATTGTCTCAACTTTCAAGAAAAAGCATCCCGTTTGTTGAAGAGAGGGTAAGGCTGGGGTGGCTTGGGTTGGGAAGAGAAAGAGAGCGAGTTTCTTCGAGAGGTCAAGCTTAAGGCATTTTTGACATTAAAACAATAGGAAATGCCCCTTCTTTTGGGTTCACACCACGCTTAGCAGCTATTGGAGGTCTGTCTGAGGACCGCAGCTTGCTTTTCAGGATGACCATATGCAATTTTATGAAAAAGAAACCATTTTTTTATTGTTCTAGGGCTTTGGGCATGGGATAATTGCCAGCTGTTCTTTTTCTTTTGCCAATGGATACGTTCCAGCTTTAAAACTATACTATTAATGAATAATTGACGTAAATAAAATGATACTTTGATATCTGTTTCAATAAGGCAGATTTTTTTTGTTACATCGCTAAGGTAAATCTCTAATACAAGTAAAAAAAAGAAAGGATGTTTAGTTCAAGTTTTTAATATTTTTTCAAACGTTTTTAATTATTAAATTAAAGATTTCAAGACTAATAATATAGATTATAACTTCAGGAGTTGTCATCAGATTCTTTTCTTTTTTTCCTCATCAAAACAAAAGATAAAGAATGAAACATTGCTGATAGATTAAGGATTCATTGGCAGTGATGGTCGAAGAAATTTCATGGCGTCACAACTGAGAGTCCAGTGTGAAAGTCTCTGCCATCATGTTCACAACTAATAGACTGACAAATCAGGTTCATACCATCATCATTCATAATCGGCTTATCATTTGGGCTTTTGTTATTTTGCAATGGCAAATGAATCCCTTAACCCTTATCTTAGTTTATTTTAACAGCTTGTGGACATTTTATTGTCGAAACGTTTGTGTTAATGCTACCCACATTGAATTAAGAGTATAGATATTAAGGTCTGTCCCTGGGACCCTGACGATTGATCTCCTTCAGGTCCAGGCCTTTAGGCCATCCTCTATAATTTTCTAGAAACGAAACTTTTAGTTCGTGCAACTGATCTCAACCCAGCCCACAAACGAAGCAAAGTTTGGTTTTTTTGGCTTTATCTCGCGTTTGTTTTACACTTGAAACTATCGATCATTGAATTTTTATCATTGAAATCGAAAAGTTTAACACTCTGTCAACAAAAACAGACTATTAAATCGAAGAAAATAGCATTACTTTTTTAACCATGTCCCCATGATTGATTAGGAGGATTAAAAAAAGACAGATAGGTTTTCTTTGAACCATGGCCTAGACTTGTTGGTGGCTTATTATTAAGAACCAAAAGAGTATAGGAAGCCCACTACACAAGGTTTTTGAGGCTTTTCACTTAAAGCTACAGAGCCCAATGATATTATAGGTTGGGGCACAAATCATTGAACTCAGGGTCTAATAAATATATTTTGTTATTAAAATTAAAATGAAAAATCATTTTTGTTAATTAAATAATGCTTCCAATTAAAATTGGCTTTGAAAATTTTTGTCCAAAGTCCGATATGAATCGAATTGAAACCCACGAACAAGTTCAGTCACGAGACTTCTTCTCCATTGGTTGGGTATTTTGTACAAATGCAAGAAGTGTCACATCCGTTTTAGCCTTTCTTTGTGATTTTAAGTATTGGAGGCAAGAGGCAAAAGAATGGTGGTACCGGTGCATGTGAGGAGTGTAGACGGGCTATAAAAAGGTTTGCCATGACACCTCGTCATGTTGGGGTTGGACGGACTGATCGATGGCTTGGTGCCTGCTAGCTGCTGCCTCACCATTTAGATTCTCCCCCATGTTAAAAGTGGAACCAAAGGGCTCCACAAAAACATCATCACATGCATGGCCAATCAAATAATGTTACCATGATATGTAAGGCTTTTCACAGACAATGAGTGGAACTTGAACCTCTTTGGATCATATGATTAGTACGGCAATTATCAAAAGTTTTCTGCGTGAATCTTGTTTTCAATGGTTGTTTATCTCCTCCTGTCTGAAATGCCAATTCCTTTTCATCGTTGTCTGAGACTCCATTTGGTCTTGGATGATAGCAAGAAATCGCCTAAGGGGACACCATTGATATTAGACAGAGGAATGCACTGCGACAAAACCTGATGTCATTATCTGAATACATGAAATATTTACATTGAGACATCTCACACCCGGTCTTGTCAATTTTTTTTTCACTCTTTTGTTTCCTGCCAACCCCTTATCTTTTGTTGCTTGAAGTGATTTCAATTTGTGGTTACCTTGCCTGTCATTTAGTCCTTAAAAGGCTGAAGGTTGCATTTTTTATTTTTCCAATCCTATAATAACCTGGTCAAATTTGGCATTTTCAAAAGATACAACTTCAACTTTCAGTCCTATCATCTTCGACACAAGGCGACTCGATTTTTTTGGCATTGATTCAGTCTAATATTGTGACTCGGTATTTTTGTTGAATATACATAGCTCGAATATTTTTCAGGTTTATGGATTTTTTTGGTGGTTCAAATGATCCCAATTCATTGTAACAAAAAATTTGGGAAGGGGGATCAGCAACATTTGTAATACTAGTCCATGTTGCTGAAAAGCAAATATCTTTGTTCATTTGTTCTCCGGTGAAACATCTAAGTATTGTTTGGTCATTTCTAACATGCCAAAGTCACAACCTGACCTGGAACCAGCTTGCTGCATGGATTTTGAGCACATTTTGCCAAGCGTCAGCAATTCAGAGTCAAGAAATGACGAGTCATTTTCCATGTGGCATTTACATATTCCATTAAAGAAGATTACAATGTGTTTCCTTGACAAGGAATTAGTTGTCTGGAAACTTCGGATTATTCAGAAGAAAAGTAATGCTGTGTTTATCACCAATATAATGATATCCAATAAAAAAGTATAAGCTTATCTGCTTCATAACTATTTGTTCATCATTAATTTATTGAAAAAAAAAAAGAGAGATTAAGATAAGAAATTTTCTCTAATGGTTATTTCCTTAAAAATCAACAGATTTTTAAACTTTATTGGAGAAAGCATAATATTTTGAATAATGAAAATATGTATTCTTTTTGTCTCAAAATATTTGTCATACATTGATTTTTATATAGTTTAAAAAAATTAATTTTAATATATTTAATATTAATTTTTATTTTTTTATAAAATTAAATTTTCATAATTTTTAATGTTAAAAAATATAAAAATATATAAAAAAAAAGACTTTCAATGCTAAAAAAAAAAAACCATGATTTTAAAAAATTTCAAAAAAATTAAAAAAAATGAAACAGAGGAAATATTTCCTACAATGTCAAACTTCTAAAGTTCAATGTATATGGAAATAACATCTAATTCTAATCTTGTCATTAGAATTATTTAATATCACATTAAATCAAATCAAAGTCATGTCTCATTGTCATCCAAATATGCACAGCCTCTATTATATCTTATGAATCAGAGCCAAAATGTCTTGTGGCTTATGAGTCAACATTATCCCCCACTCTTTGAAATTTCAGTGACTTATTTTGTCATATGTTAGAGATAATCAATTTAAATTTAATTCAATTAATTTATATAATTATTATTAAATATCAAAAAATAATATTTAATTAATTTAATATTTCAAAAATAATTTATTGTATACTGTGACTTTTTTTATACCATTATACATCATTTTCTAATCTTGGATAGTCATTATTATTCTAATTAAATTCAACTTCGCTAATTAATTCTAAAGAATAATGATGTAATAATTGTAAATCATCTTGAATTCTCTCATTGCTTCTTGAGGAAAGGAAAAATAATAGATCTGACAACTTAAAATAGGACATGGTGACACGATAATGGTGATATAATAATAGTATAAAAATAAGATACGAAAGTGGTATAGATTAAAATTATAGTAATAACTATATATATTTAACAAAATAAAAAATTATATTTTATATTTTCGTATTTATACGAATTCTAACATATAATTTTCATATAAAATATGATACGAACATATGAATTTTAATATTTTAATGACACAAATACACGAATCATCAAATCTAAAAAATAATAAGAAACTTTATACTTTATTTACCTACCAACAAAATTATTATCATGCGATATTAACGTTGTCCTAGTGGATTTATTTAAGGAGGTTTAGTTGGGTGATTAATTAAGTCTCGGAATGCTTGAAAAGTTGGTTTAAAAAATAAGTTTATATTTAATGTATTATTAATATATAAATATTATATATCGATAATAAATCATACAACGATATTTTATTAAAATTTAATTTTATAAACATATTTAAAATTAATTTTTTGATGACTTATTATTATGCAATTCATCGACAGCATTTTATATTATATATTTATAATATATTAAATATAAATTTTATATGATGTTATATTGCAGCTGAACATGTTAAAAACTTTTTCTATACTTGAATTTCTAAAACCTTCCTTTAATTCTGTCAACATTCGATATTAAAAAAAATTTTTTTCATTAATGATCATGTGAATTTAACCTCCAACTTGATTCCGAGTTATATGAATTTTGGGATCGAAATAGAATAACTATTTTAAACACAAGAATGAAATCCATGAATTTTCATCTTATGGATTCGACTATGGAGAATTATCGTTAAATCTTGATAAGACATAATTATAATCATAAAATCTTAGTTCATAACATATATATATATGTATAGATAGATTTTTTTAATGTTTCAATTAAATAAACAAAATTTTTTTATTTCAATTGAAATTTTATAATAATGATTAAGGATGTTAATTTTATCCATACCTAATAAAAAATTTAATTTTTTACCCGAATGAGGATAATATCGAATAATATAATCCATGTCTTATATTTATATCCATAATTTTCATATATATTTAGATATATTTAGTAAATAATTTTTTATTAAATAATATAAATTATTATTTTAGATTAATTAGAACTAATATATTTTTATTTAAAATATGTATTAATATATTTATAAAAAAATTACATAAATATACAAGATAAATTTTTTACAAAAAGGTAAAAAATAAATTTTTATTTTTATTTTTTAAAAAAATTTATAGATACAAAAATTATTCATATTTATTAAATATCTATAAAAATAAAAAAATAAATTTAAAATATACGTTAAATATAATATAAAAATTTGATAATGAAGATAAAGAATACTTTATTTGTCTTATGTATTACCCTTTAACATCTTAACAGTGATTAAACCACATTAAAAATCGAAATTTTGGTGATAATTTAAGCAAAACCAACTTTATGAAACAAAATTTAAAACTTTTCTGAAGAATGTTAACAAATGTATAATGATACTGGTTGAAATAACATTTAAGGAAAAAATATAATAAAATTTTAAAATTTTCTTCAAATAATTTTTTAATTATCTTTGACACCAATGCATGAAAGCACCGATGACTAATCGAATCAACATTTTTAAGAGGCAAATCGGCGGTTGGTTGATTAATTTAATTGCATCGGTGAAACAATGAATTTGGGTCCACCAGATTATTCTGATATCTGAATCACACCAATAATGTTTTCAATCAGGAGCAAAATCAATCTGGTTAGATAAATGTATTTATTACAACACACTAAAATAATTCTGTAATAAAGTCCACACATTTATATTTTTCCTGACTTGGGCTGCTACAGCTAAGATAGGAAGGGACCACGTTTCTGACATCTTTTTTTTTCCAAATCACATTTCATAGCTGAATTAATACCCTGCTTCTTATTGGTGGAGACCCGTCGTACATGATCTGTCATTTGCATGTATGCCACGTGGCTAAAACCACTCAATCAAACGGCTGTTTGTAATGTTATGTTTTGGTTTGATAAAAAATTCGAGATAGATAAATTATTTAGTTCAACAGATCAAGATAAAATATATATATAATAATTTATGATAAGTGATTGTAAATCGTATATTCGAGATGATTCTAATAAATAATTATCGATAAAATTCGAAGTCAAAATTTTTTCGTAAAAAAAAAAATTTTAACCGATTGAACTAATCATTTACTATTACTTTGTGATGTTACTTCATTTTGTATTTTTCGGAGGTATCTCCTTCGATTTTGTCTATATATTTAATTTGGATAAAAAATGATAAATATGTTAGAATTTATCGAATTTTTACTTAAATCAATTTTATAAGTTTTTTTTTGAAAATCGAATTTTAAATTGGAGTTGAATTAAAAAAAATTTGAGTTCGGATCACAGTTTTAGATAAATTTGTTATGTTTAAACTTGATTTGATATAATATAAAATATATATTATTATTTATTTAATTTTTATATAGTATATTAATAAAAGTATTATTTAATATTTTAATTTAAGATGTTAATTTAATAAAAATATTATATTTATATATAATTAAAATATTATTTATATTTAAAATAATATTTTATAAATATTATATTAAATTAATTTTGAGTATAATTTAATTGATTATAATTTTATAAACATATAGTTCGGATCGAATTAAATTAAATATAAAAAATAATATTTTAATATTAAATCATATCAAAATCAAATATATTTTTTATAAAATTGACTCAAAATTGAATCGAATAAAAATCTATCCTAACCTAATTTATTGTTAATTTAATATTTTATTGAATCAAAATCGAATATATATTTTATGAAATCAACTTAAAATTAAACAAAAAAAAATTCATTCCATTTTAACTCGTTGCTATTATTAGTTTAAATAAACAATAATAGCGGTTCTCTTCATTATTTATCCAAAGAACCCTTAATTATAAGTTACTATAAACAGATAATTAATCACAGTTTAAAAGTCTTAATCCACGATCCTAACCTCTTATAAAAATCTGCATCGGTTGATAAAATATAAATTTAATAATTTATATATTTTGTAATATAAAATATTTAAATTTAAATATTTATATTGTGTTTTTCATTATATAAATTTAACATATAAATATAAATTTTAATATTATAATTTTTATATTTATACACATTTATTTATATAAAAATATATATCAAATATCAACAAATAATTGATTCAAAATTTTTTTTTTTTACAAAAAAATTTTAGGTTGAAATCTTATCGATGATTATTTATTAAAATCATCTCGTATACATTATATATAATCATTTATCTTGTACTCTTAGTTATGTTATATTTTACTGAACTAAATAATCTATCTATCTCTGAATTTTACTTTAAAAAAATAATTAAATACACAAACTATGCTATTTATTTTTAAGTTCAGTTCTGATGGTTCAGGAAAGTCCCATAGTTTAAGAATTCCTTCTTAAGACTTTTTATAGATAGAACACAAAAGCCGGAAGGAAAGAGTCTGTGGAGAGAATAAACAAGTTCCGGAGCTTTATCTCAATCATCAGAGTCTTTGTACTTTGAACCCAGTTTCACTAGGCTGATGGGGGAGGTGATGCTCTTAAAATATTCTACCCTTTCTGATTCTTTACGGTTTGCGTGAGCCAATAATATGTGTATTGGAGTCTTATTGCTGTTGTGTTTGTTTAACAGGAAGAGAAGAAACCGGCAGAGGAGAAGAAAATGGAGGAGGGAAAGGCTGAAGATGGAAAGAAAGGGGAGGAAGAGGAAGCAAAACAGGTTGAAAAGCCAGCAGAGGAAAAGAAAACTGAAGAATCAAAAGATGGGAAAGAAGCCAAAGAAGAATCCCCTGCTCCTCCACAGGAGATTATCTTGAAAGTTTACATGCATTGCGAAGGCTGCGCCCGCAAAGTCCGTAGGTGTCTCAAGGGCTTTGAAGGTTGAAAAAAAGTACCCATCTTCCTCATTTTGCAATGTTTTGCTTTGTTTTTTCTCATTTGATTTTGGTTTTGTAGGGGTGGAAGATGTAATGACCGATTGCAAGAGTAATAAGGTGGTGGTGAAAGGAGAGAAAGCGGATCCTTTGAAAGTTCTTGAGAGAGTTCAAAGGAAGAGTCACAGGCAAGTGGAGCTTGTCTCACCGATCCCCAAACCACCTGCACCGGAGGAGGAGAAGAAAGCAGAGGAGAAAGAGAAGCCTAAGCCCGAAGAGAAGAAAGAAGAGGTCTTTCTCTCTTTCCCCAACTCTCGATCTTTTGCCTCGCTTCAACAGATGTTCATACATTTCCAGCTTTCTTTCATTCCTAAAAGATTAATTTTTCAACATTTTCCCTGATTGTGCAGCCTCAGGTGATTTCCGTGGTGCTAAAGGTTCACATGCATTGTGAAGCTTGTGCACAGGAAATCAAGAAACGTATTCAGAGAATGAAAGGTGCGTTTTTGTTAGTATTCGATTGAAGTCTGGTGCCGATTGTTTCTTTTCAAGTTTGTTTTCCAGTTCATGCAATTTTTTTCCCAATTATATGAAAAAATATCACAAGGAAGTGTCTTTTCACCTTTTGAATCTTTTATGCTCTCACTGATGGTCCAAAATCTACCATTTCTTTTCTTTATTGATTTATTAAATTCATCAGGGGTAGAATCAGCTGAACCAGATCTAAAGAGTTCAGAGGTGACAGTGAAGGGAGTGTTTGATCCACCAAAACTGGTAGAGTACGTGTACAAGAGAACCGGAAAGCACGCAGCGATAGTGAAGAAAGAGCCAGAGAGCAAGAAAGAAGAAGAAAAAGCCCAAGATGCCAACAAAGAAGAGAAAAAAGGTGAAGAAGGCGGTGACAAAGAAAAGAAAGAAGCAAGTGGAGAAGACAACGAAGACAAGAAAGAAGGCGGTGACAGCACAGAAGCCAACGTAGTGGCAGCAGCAGCAGCAGCAACAACAGGAGGAGCCGCCCCGGCAGATGCAACAGAAGAGACCAAAGTGGTGGAACTCAAGATAAATGAGTACAGTCATTACGCACAAAGGTATGCCACAGAGTTTTATCATGCATACCCTCCACAGATCTTTAGTGATGAGAACCCTAATGCTTGTTCTGTAATGTAAAAACTCGGAGGATTCAGGGGCATTGTAGGGATTAGCATTAAACAAAACATTGGGTCCTGACGTCCTGCTTACATGTGTAGGATCTGACCAATGGCTATCTAAAAAAAGTATAATCTACAGTTGAGCTGTAGAATTTTTTGAGGCTTTGTATTTTTTTTTTTTTCAAGTTGATATATATATATATATAAATAATGATAAATCATAACATAAATTTCATCTTTACTTTTTCTGAACGCAGCTGCAATCCCATATTACATACCAAAAGATATTGTTTTCATATGATTTTCTTGGAAGATCATCTCATCTTTAAGATCATGGTAAATCGGTTTATTTTACCAAAGATCGTCTATTAGCAAAGGATCCATTGTTTTCATATGATGTTTCATCTGAAACTTGGACTCGAAATTTAGGGATTTAGCAACCTTTGATTTATTTTTTCTTTGTCAAAGTTTAATTGACATGCAAAAATTAGAATTTGTATTGCATTTGGGCATTTCGATTTATATGATATTTTAATTTGATGATTGGTATATATTTGTTTTCAAAAGGTCGAATCATATATGATTTTGGATAGAGTAATCTGTTAATAGAGTAAAATCTGATGATCAAAAGTAGGGTGATCAAGGTTAATCACTACAATTTCAAATATTAATAAAGTTTAGTGATGAAAGTTTTAATTATTAATAATTTTAAATAATAATAAAAAACTAACATCTCCAAATATTTGATCATGATTTAGTCACAGTTTTAAATAAAAAAAGGATTTGAATTTTTTTTTCTTCAAATTACAGAAAAAAATGTGAATGAACTGTACTTTGCTGCAAACAGTGGAGTGAGAAAAAATCTAAAAATATTAAAAATTGATTAGAAATCGTGAATTATTTTTTTATTAATTAATTTTTGAATATTAAAAATATATATATATATTAGATTGAATTAAATTTTAATTTTAGAGGTGAAAAATAAAAAAAATCAATTGAATCAAATTATATATTTTTATAATTTTTTATATATTTTTCAAAATTTTATAATTAAAAATAATTATTTTATATTTAAATTTATTTAAATATATATTAAAAATAATATATAAAAAATTTAAATTTAAAAATTAATAAATTATATGAATTAATAAAATTTAATTCGAATCTAAATATATAAAATATAAATTAAATTTTAAAAAATTTTGATTTTATGTATTATTTAAAAAAATAAATTAAATTCGATGTAATTTAAATTATTATATTTTTAATTCAAAATTTTTATTTTCAGCACTAAAAATTGTTGTGGATGATTGAGCAAAGAGATATAAAAGAGGAATGATTGGTTGGATTTTTTTTGGTTTTTTGTTACTATTATTTTTGAATTTCAGTTTTTTTGGTGGACCCCATTTTTCAGCATAAGCCGTTTTCAAATTGACGTGAGCAATAGCCACTTTTCCGTAACGCTTTCCGATACTTACTATAATTGAAGTAGACGCGTGAAATTCCATATATAGTAAAACAGCCAAAAATTATGGCCAGGAAAATTGTGCTTGATAAATTTTGGTTTTTATTGGGATTGGGCATCCAATAAAGTTCTCATGTTAGATTTTTTTTTTTTTTTACATGATGAGGAAGGATTAGATTTTTTTAATAAAATATCATATATCAATTAATTTAATTAATGTTATAAAGTTTTACTAAATTAAATAAGTTTATGTATATTAAAATAAAATTTTACCAAATTACTAAAAATAATGGAAAATTTTTATTTTTTTTAGGGAACTATTGGACGAATTATTTTAAGGGTCCGACCAACTGATGTCTATAGAATTGCTCAAGGATAGTTAAAATTTTATTTAAAAACAATTTCATTTAATACATTATTTTCACTGAATTAAAACTTACATTAACAATATAAATATTATTTTAACCAATAGCACTAAGCACCGGTTAACATTTGTGTTCTATTAATTAGCATTTAGTGGATATACGACTATTTGCTATAATTAAGCATTTTCCTTCTTGATATATGTAAAAATTATAATAAAATAATTTATTTATTGATTAAAATTATTATATTTAAAAATTTATATAATTTAAATTATTAATATAATATTTAAAGGTATAATGAAATATGTAAATTTAATACCATAAATTAAAAAATTTTATTTTATTTTGAGATGATTGAATCATCTTATATTAAGAGGACTATTAATTCTCTTTATAATTTTATCATTTACTTTGAAAACAAACAAAACATAATATATGATAATTATCATTTTATCTTATTCATTATCATATGCATCAAATATGACCTAAACCTCTAATTTAATTCCATTCAATATTTTGGTGCCTATCTGAAAAACGCCTCATTTGGAAGGAAGATCAAAACTTGATTCCTAAAATTTTTCAAATTTGTGTTTTCTCTTGTGGAGCATCTATAGTTATTAATAAATTTGATAATTTATATATTTATATTATATAAAATATTAAAATTTATGTATTTTATATTATATTTTATATAAAAATTATGTTTTATAATTCATATTAATACAAAAAAATGAAATATATTTTTTGTTTTGTTAAATTTATATATAATTTAAATCATATTATTTTCATATCATATTTATATCATATTATTATATTATATTTTAAATTATCAAAATTATTTATTATGAACAACATTTTCGTTGTTCTAACATTTCTAGATAGGGTGGGCAACCCAACCCGTTCCTGACGGATTTTTATCCGACCCGATCTCATAAATTCGATTTTTTTTTTTGAAAATCGAGTTTTGAGTAGAGTCAGGTCAGTAACACTAAGAAAAAAATCGGGATCGAGTAAGATTCGAGTTTTAGATAAATCCGACCTGATCCAACCAAATACAATATTATATAAAAATATATTTTTAATTATATATATTAATATAATAATATTTTTAAATATTTTATATTTTAAAAAATAATATTTTATTAATTTCGGATCGAATATTATTTATATAATATCAGATTCAAATCGGATTCAGATATAAAAAAATGAAAAAAATTTATGATTTAATCAAATTCGAATTTAATAAACATAAAATCGAGTCGAATTCAAGACAAATGAAAATTTACTCCGATCAAACCCATTGTTAACCCTATTTTTGAGTGAGAATTCAAGGAACTGCAAAAACAAAACAAAGAAAATAATATATATATATATATTTATATATATATATATATATATATATATAATGTATGGAATGGGAAAAGGAATGGTAATTCTGGAAACGTCTAAAAGTGTGTGCAAGTTTGGTCGTAAAATAAAATACTATAGAACAATAAAAGTCATATCATTTCAACTTTATTTATATATTTATTGGTTCAACCCTAAATTCATATTATTATTTTTTATTTTTTATTTGAAATTATCAAAAATTAATTTTAATAACTTAAGTTAAAAGTTAAAAATTCAATTAACAGATCACAAGTGTGTTAATTTTTTTTTTTCTGATTAAGTAATAATATTATACCATAATAGTCAAGATTTAAAATCCACAATCGTTATTGCATTCTCTCCTTGAACAGGTCAATGGCTTCAGTGTTGGTATGCTTTTCAAAATCCAAACTCTAATGTCTTTTTGACTGTCTTTCGTTTTTTTGATAGATCCTATCATCTCAGCTGAACAATCCCTCCGAATCAATGTCTAGAGTCCCAGAAAGACAAAAAACAATTGAATATTCAAGTGCTCCTGAAAGATCAGGTTTCAACTGCATCACTAATCAATATTTCCTCCTGAAATTTCACGTGTAACAAAGAGTACTATAATTTATTGGTAACTGTGATTAGCAGCATCAATTATAACAGATGGAAAAAAATCTGAAACCACAGTCATTCAAATCAACTGATGTATTTCCTCTTTCTGCTAACAATTATGAAGCTATGGCACCAATGGGAATCCTATTTTAGTTGGTTTTCTGCAATGTAATCATGATTTCTTGTAGAGGTAGTAATAATTCAAGGAAGAGCAATCTGTCAAAACTGACATTTTTTATGTTTAAAATTATTTTTTTTAAGGTTAAGTGGGCTCGTTGAGCTCATCGATGTTTTATTAGCACATGCGTTGCCTTCAGGGTTTATTCAGTGTCGAAAGCCTATAAAGCTTAATCATGGCTTTTCTGTTAAAGGTTGTAAGGGAGGCAGAAGCCATGGGTCTCTTTAACCTTTTCAAAAGGTTTGATGACTGCTTCTGCATGAGATTCGACCATCACATGCTAATTCCATCGTTCCATATGTTTTCGTTTCTTTTTATGTTTTTCTGCAATGAAAGAAACCAGCAGTATGATAGTTGTGGAGAAAGGAAAGGAATGGAAACTGAAAACGTCCTTGTCTTCAGAATGACGAAACCATGAGTGAATTTTCTTGAAAGTGAAACAAAGATTTGTTTGGTAATCTTCGGAAAGATGAAATCCCTTTTTCCCCATACAAATTCCTTTCTTGTCGTCTTCCACGTCTTTTCTTTTCCCTGATTCTACTAGACTTTGGAAAAGAGATGCATTGTTTCCAACTTTCAACTCCAAAAGTTTGTTTTCCTTTTTGTTTTTGATTGAACTTATCGTTCAAAATCAATAAGCTCCCTACCCTTTTTCTTGGAAACTTTACTTCAGTCTTTCAATTTGTACCGCCCAAAACACAAATAATGGTGAAACTACTTGAAATTAACAATTAAAAGATGAAAGTAAAGGTGTACATATCTATCTTTTTGTCCAAACTTCAATCACTCCCCTTTGCCTTGTTCAAATCAACACAAAAGGAAAAGATAAATAGTAATTAGAGTTGGTAAATTATGTATTTATTTTATGTAAAATATTAATAATTTTTATATTTATATTTATTTTATGTGAATATTATGTATTATAATTTATATTGATAAAAAATCATAAAATATAATTTTTAAATTTATTAAATCTATATATAATTTTTATTAAAAATTTAAATTATATTATTTTTATATCGTATCATTATATTATATTTTAAATAATAAGTTGTAATAGTACCCATCCCATGTATGAACTAATATACTAAAATGCTTCATTTTTTGTGGGCATTGGAGTTTGGTAATAAAATTGTTTCGATAAAATTTTAAGTAGAGGTGACATTAAAATTATTTATTGTAGCGCTAAAATTGAATACTTTAATAATAAAATT